GGATTTTGAGACCAACAAATAAGCCGAGGGTATCAAGACCATTATCGAAAATAACCTGGCCCTGAAGACAAGGGCCAACCAACATCACGAGATTCGCCTAGAGAAAACGCGTTCTGTGACTACAGAAGTCTTACAGTGCCCTCATTCTTGATCTCGATACGCCGGAAGAAGCTAACTTCCTAGTAAACAAGGGAATAGCCTTTGAGCCAGAAATACACTCCGCTTCTAGAGGGAGAGGAAGGCCCAAAGAGGCACTTGCAACGCTAGAAAATAGACAAATTACGAGTTTCCTGTCTCAAAAGAGTTTCGTGGAGAACCTTGCGCTGCCTGAGCCCAAAGACACCAGCATGGAGGGAAACCCAGATTCCACCCAATGCTAAGTCCGCTCAAGATAGCACAGTACAACGTGAATAACAAACCAGAAACAATAATACTGCTGTCTGCCAGCGCGGAGGCAGCTGGATATGCAGTAAACATTCAGGCTACGTAGGAGCCCGCCGTCACACGCGATATACTGCGAGTTGAGCTCCTCTTACATTCCAGCTTACCCGACAAACCGATATGCGCGGTTATGTCTCCCCATCAACGAGGTTTTACAAGAATACTTGTGGGAGGTAGAACAAATATCTCCACACATAGCGACGATAACCGTGACAATCAATAAACAACAAGACTAAAATCACAATTACGAACATATATAATCCTCCTATCTCAGCAGCGAGATAGGATCCTGACAGCTCCCTGCTGCAGCTGCCGGAAATACTCTAGCGACCGACCGCCCACGTCCTAGTGGGCGATATGAACCTCCACCACGCCATGTAATCACTACCAAACGAAACAAAAGTCAGTAAGATAGCAAATGAACTAATCGAACTAATCGCGGAAACGGGACAGTACTTATGGAACTCAGAGGAATTGCGAGATAAACCCGAGGTCGACGAATACGCAACGTACCTGCAGAAGTTTATCATTGACCTGGCAGACAAAGCGGTCCCCAGGCAAAAAAAAAAAACGGAAGAAAATACAGGTACAACTGGTAGAACTCAGATGTCGCAGAAACAGTCCAAAACGAAAGAAAAACTAAATATTAAAAAATAAGCGATAAGCTGCTCAAATACTTTAACGAGAAAAAGTTTTTTTTTTTCAGAGAAACAAAAACGAAGTTAATAGTGAATATAACTTTACAAGTTTCGAAAAAATCTGATTCTGATATACAGATTCGCGAGATAGGCGAAAAACTGCAGCTATCTATCTTTTCAGATCTCTAAAGTACCCAATCTCTACGAGAGAGGAAAAGCAGTAATTACATTTAAAAAAAAAGATAAAATTTTTCCATAAACAATTCTGTCCAGAAAAATCTACAATTACAAAACTTTTTGTTAAAAGTAAATTATATTTTTTAGAACTCTGACTTACAGTTACGAGCGAAATGGTAACTACAGCAACCAAAAACAATTGCATTATAGAAAATATAAGAATCTGATATAATCTTTACAGATTTTATTAAAGCCCTAAAATAACTGATTGTAGAGACCTTAAAAATACTGAGTTAAGCCAGCTAAAATTACTAAGAAAGATAGATTTATAAAGTCAGTTCTGGACTTAGTACTAATAATAATACTATTGTTTTTAGATATATTTGAAGTCTTCGATAATATGATTAAGATTAAGCCTATCGACATACTACGCAGAAAGAGAATCTCAGACTATTATCGCCTAAATAAACAATTTTATAATAGATCGTTCAGTTATATTTATCTTCGATAAAAAAGAGTTAGACTCATTACTTACCAAAACGAGAATCTTTTAAAGATCTTTTATTTTATCTATTTTCTTTTTATTTTATAATTCTGATTTAAATTGATTAATATAATCTAACTGATTTAAAGGCTATCAGAATTAGCTTTATTGATAATACAAATATAATAGTTTAAAAATTGATCATACAGTTAGTTTACTTACTAAACACTAAATATATTATATAAGAGATGACTGAAATAGGTAACTGCTTACAGAACCAAATTTATACTAAAAAAATATACTAATCTACTTTTTATAATGTAAAAAAGATAATTTTAATAGACTAATATTTATTAGACCTATAATTAAATAACTATCTAAACGTATCAAAGCTCAAAATTATATTTAGATAAGATTTTAACTGAGCGACTTATAGTAATATTATATAAAAAAATTACCAAAATAATACATTTAAACAATTAATAGATTTAACCTAAGATCTTCTCATGTTATAAATCCAAAAAATCCATAATATAATTATCTGTTCAGCTTTTATTTTTGTAAGTTACCTGATACATTTCATTTGAAAAAAAAAACTATAAAATAATATTCTCTTTTTATTTAGCCTAAAAGGTCCAAATCAGACACAAAAGATTAAAAATGTTTTTAAAGTTATATCAATATTTATTTTAGAGGTACTCATTTATACTTTGTCAATCGAATACTATTTTACAGGAAAACTGGCTGAGTACCACACAAGAGCGCAAAACGACAAACTAGCAAACTTACAAAACAAATATGTAAAAGGGTAGAAAATAGCGCCTTCTAAAAGTTTACAAACAGAAAAATAATACTTCAATAGGCCTATATTACAGGGCTAAAATCAACATGTCAGATATATATCAAACGAGTGTTACTGCCAACAGCAAAAAAGTAGACCAAAAAATGCAAGAATTAAGATATAAGAAGCCGCCCTACAGAAATTTAAAAAAAATTCTGTTAAAACCTATCTGAAAAAATTTAATATAGATTAACTAAAGATTTGTTTAAGTTTCAGGTCAGTCTGTAGAAAGCCAAAAAATTCAGCATTAATATAATTTTAGACAGGTAATGTAGGACTGATAGTCTTCTTATATTATACAAAAGTACCAAGATAGGGATCTCTGATGTGCCCCAAATGCAATAGAAAAAAGAGAACCCTAAATATGATATTACATTCTGTATAGCATATTACGCATATGATAAAACGAAATACGATATAGAGATATAGACATTGAGTAACTGCTTATCATCCCTAAAAGAGTACAAAAAGTAATAAAATAGTAGATACAGAAAGGAATAATTAATCAATTTTAGCTAGAGAATATGTTAATTAAGGGTTAACAAGGCTAATACTAGCAAACAGATCTCTAAGGGTATATACGAAGAACGAGAGATAAACTACCGAGGCAGACAGATTTTTAACCCGATAGGGCCTCCGGCCCTACACGGTTTTTCCCTCTAGATAGCGAGATAGATCCGGTGGCCATAGACCCAACGGAGTAACAATAATAATATTATTGTTATTAATTAAAAAAGAAAAAGAGAATATTAAAAAATTTTAAATAATTAAAATTAATAAAATTAATAATATTACTAATTTGTTATATATTATTTGCGCGATATTTTACATTTACAAAAGAAATATTTATTTTTTATACAAAAACAGTTAATGTAAAGGATCTTTTATTCTATAAAATGGTATTAGAAAGATTACTATAATTATAAAAAATTGTAAAATTAAAAAAGGACATGGAAACGTAATAAACTATAATATAGGTAAAATAATGATAAATTATCACCAGTGTAATTATGAGTCAGTAACTTTTACAATTATATAGTACCTAATGTTATAGATAATAATAAAATTTCTGGCTACTGGGGCGTAACTTTATTTAAAAAAAATATTAGAAATTATATTTTTAACGCTTATTAGTGGCCAGAGATTAGTGGAAAGGTTTCACCTGACCACGGATGGTCACATGACACGCAAACATCTGAAATTGCACGGCGGCCGTGCAATTTCAGCACCTTGTGCAGTTAATTCTCAAATTGAGCCATACCTACACTCCAGGTTTTGGAGCCTCACACTAATAAACTGCACCATCTCATTGAATTAAACACTGAATCTATCGAAATGATGCTTTGTTGAATTGTTTGACTCCTATATTCGTTTATTTTGGCTACCGAGAGCCACCCACGATTACGACCCAGTATTGACGCACCCACCGAACCAAATCGACACCAGATCCGATCCAATCAGCTGAGATCCCTAGAAACACCTCGGGACATCGTTCCGTGCAGAATACCAATATTGAGACCTCCAATCGATCCTTACTGGTCCCCTACGTAACTAGACCCACCACTAGAATATCCACTGCGGGTCGACCCAGCAGTGCAGCGTCCTACCGCTCCATCGTGAACGAGGATGAACGATCCATCCAGTATCCCGATACCGCAGTCAAGGCTTCCAAGGAGATAACTAGGGTAGCGTCCTATCCAGGACAATGTTACTACCCCGGTTGCCGCAGCCGCAGGCAGCCTGGTCAACTTCGACAACCTCGACAAAGGCAAGCTCCTTTTCGCCCTGCCTTCAGCCATAAAGAAGCAGGCGTAAAGGACCCTTTTGCGACTACCCGCTCCCTTTTCAGCACTGGCTAGTCTTCTACTACTACCGCGTCTGCGTCCCTGCTTTTACCGCTTAGGATGTAGAGCTGCTGAAGATAAGGATCTAGGTCCTGGAGGCAGAGGCAAGAACCCACGAAGCCCTACTTCAATCTGCCGAAAACGAAGTGAAGATGCACGGGGCCAGAGCAGAGCGCTACAAGAAGACTGCGCAGGCTACTATCAACCAGAACGTGGCATTGCAGAAAGACCTCAAGCATTTCTAGACCACCTCCGAACTAGAGCGTCCGGTTCGTTTTGATAAAGCTCTCTCCGCTGACGAGCCTGTCGAAAGTGTCGAAGATGCACCCAGAACCCATACCCGTACCGAACGTCAGGGGACTGCAGACACCGTATGGACTGCCGCGGATACTGCTAACTGGCGTCCTCGTGGTGAGAAACCTCGCGAGCCTCTGGGCCCTGGAGATGTGGATAACTACCATACTTGGCGCTTTGCAGTAGACCAGAAGCTGCGGGTTGATCAGCCCCTATACCCAGATGACGCTAGCAAGATTTCATATGCTTAACGACAGATGTCTGGGACCCTCTTCATTACCATGAATAACTACGCTACTTGCACCCCGGGTGCCACCTATGATGAGTTTATGAAGGAGGTTGAAAACTACCTTGGCATATACCTACTGGAGGACGACGCCCGCCGAGAGCTGGTCCATATCAAGCAGGATCGCAAGGAGAACGTAACCGATTACTATCAGCGCCTCGTTCCCCTTTGGACCCGTGCCGGCACTGCAGAAGTCGACCGTATCCTCAAGCTTCGTCATACCGTGCTGACGCCTATCAGTACACAGCTAGGCACTCAACGATTCGGCTCAGTTATGGAACTTCTTGATGCCGCCCGGCAGGTCGAACGCAACCGTAAAGAGATGGACTTCTACTTCCCTCGCGGCCCGCGTTCCCAGACCGCCGCTACTGTGTCTGTTAATCCCGCGCCGAAACTACGCACTGCAGCTACTACTGCTACCAATCCTGGAGCCGCCTCGACGCGCTCGAACGCTGCGCTAAACCCTCGTGGCCGCAGCTTTACACCTTCAGCTACCAAACCCGCGGAGTGGCAAAGAGAGTGGTTTGAACCTCAGCGCAACCCTCCAAGACTAACCCCTGTGGATAGGGCCCTACTAGCCCACACCGGCCGTTGTTGGAGCTGCCGTGGCTCAAACTACCGCGCTAGTGACTCCTGCTGCCCGAACTACGCGTCCCACAATGGCAGAGGCAAATCCTTGAACGAAGTCGCTGTAGGCGCGGGCATTGAAGAACTCACTGATTCGGAAAACGAGTAGTCCCTGATCAAAGTCGTGACCAGGGACCTGTTATGGAGGAGGATCGTGATCACTGTTTCTTGTCGTCATTGGTACTAGGTTTGGAGGGACAGCTGAAGCTTGGTAGACACCTTGTGGTGTCCGCTAAGGTCCATCAGCAGTTCCGAACGACGCCTATTTTGGTAGATAATGGAAGCGAAGTTGAAGCTATCGATCCCTCTCTGGTACGCACTCTCAATTTGCCTACCTTAGATCTTGCTACACCGATTCCGCTCCATCTCGCGAACGGCACCCTTTATTTTACTGTAACCCAGATAGCCCTATTCAACTGCGATATCGACGGCCACACCGAACAACTGGCCGCATATATTGCCCCCCTGGCCCGCTATAAGATAGTGCTAGGGGACCACTGGCTGGCTACGCACAACCCGCATGTTGATTTCACGAATCGCACTCGTACGTTTAACTCACCTTACTGCTTCGCGGAGGGCTGCTTACCTCGAGGCACCCCTTGTACCGTGCACGCCCGCGGATCGAAGGCTTTATTGACCAAAACCACTGCTCAGATAGCCGGAGACCCGATTACTAGCATCTCAATCGTTTCTGCCAGGCGCTTTACCTCTCTAGCCGCCCAACACGACCACCACGGCTATCTAGTCATGCCTAGGGATGGCCGGAAGCACCTCTGTGTGTCTACTACGAACGCGGTACGCCCTGAGGACTACGACACCTTTATGACTAACAAAGAGGCCTACACGATTGACCAGTTGAAGAAGCGCGTCCCGGAAAAGTATCATTCAGTGATAGAAGTCGTCATGAAACACGAGGCCGATACCTTACCACCGCATCGCCCTGAAGACCACGACATTCAATTAGTTGATGGCGCTACACCTCCGTTTGCTAAGAGCTATCGTCCTATGACCGAGCAGGAGCTAGACGTCGTGTGGAAATATATCCAGGAGCAGCTCGGAAAAGGTTTTATTCGCTCTAGCTCCTCGCAGACCGCCGCACCCCTGTTGATTGTACGCAAACCGAATGGCGGCCTACGGGTTTGTGTCGACTACCGTACCTTAAACGAGCTCACGATCAAAAGCCGCTACCCAATCCCGTTGATTAATGAGACCCTCAACCGCCTAAAGCGAGCAAAAGTGTTCAGCAAAGTTGACGTGATCCATGCATTTAACCGCCTACGCATAAAAGAGGGCCAGGAATAGCTAACCGCGTTTAACACCTGATACGGCCAATTCGAATATCTAGTAATGCCTTTTGGGCTTTGCAATGCTCCCGCGTTTTTCCAGAGCTACATTAATAACTCGCTATCAGAATATCTGGATATATTCTGCATCGCATACCTGGATGATGTGCTGATCTACAGCGACAGCGAAGAACACACGGAACACGTTTTGAAGGTCCTACGCCGCCTACGAGATCGTGGGTTGCAGATAGATATCGACAACTATGAATTGGATACCCAGGAAGTCAAATATCTCGGCCTAATTGTAACCACGAATGGTATCCGCATGGACCCAGAGAAAGTTGCCTTCTTCTCGAAGATGACCCCCGCGGAGACTAACTTCATGATCTACGATAAGGAACTTCTTGCGATTGTTCGCTCGTTTGAGACATGGCGTCCCGAACTCGCTAGTGTGGTACCGAGCAACCCAGTAAAGGTCTACACTGACCACCGAAACCTGCAGCATTTTATGACTACTAAGCAGCTGAATCGCCGACAGGTCCGGTGGGCCGAATTCCTCTCTGAATTTAACTTTAAGATTATGTACCGCCCTAGCAAACAAGGGGAGAAACCCCATACCTTGACACGCCGCTCCCAGGATCTCCCGCAGGGCGCTGATGACGCCCGTAAGAAAGAGCGTTTCCAAACCTTGCTCCCGTCGGAGTGTCTTGATGAAGCAGTACAGAAAGACCTCCGTATCGTCAGTACACGCAGACGTCGTTTTCACACGCTGCCCCCTGACTCTACTACTTCCCTACAGAGCACCCAGGCGCCTCCAGCTGCGAGCAACCCCGATAGTAATTCAAGCTCTGCGCTAAGCGACCCCTCAGATATCCTGTCAACCCCGGAAGGATTCACTCTGCCCCTGACGGGTACACACAAAATGACCAATTGGACCCTCTTGACCAGCCGGACGATCAACTGGACGACCAATCGGACGAACCCTCAGAGTCAAACGCCTCAGAGTCGACTGCATCACAACAATCTAGCGCGTCAGCAGCTACTGAGGGGGATGATAAAATGCCGCTCGAGGCACTTATTGAAGAAGCCTACGAGAACGATAGAGTGACCCAAGCGATCATAAAGCCGAAGGATAAAGGCAAGCGTAAGTTACCAAAGATCGCTATTGAACAAGGCGTCAAGATCTCTATGGGAGAGGTGACCATACGATACCACTGTATGTGGATTCGTGATCGTTTATACATTCCCGAATACCATGTATTGCGCTACCGGATCCTTAAGGTGCTTGCATCGACATCGTTTATCGGGATATCCCGGCCCGAAAGGCATGTTTCGGGCAGTTATTCGCAACTACTTCTGGCTACGCATGAAGCAGGACGTCATTCAATACACGAACTTCTGTGCTACATGTAAACGAGCAAAAGCGCGTACCACGCAGGCGCAGGGTCTACTACGGCCGCTCCCGGTACCAAATCGCAAATGGCTTGACATCTCGATGGATATAGCTGAGGACCTACCTGCGTGCACTCGCCGCGGACGCGAGTTCCGCCACGTATTGGTAGTAATTGACTGTTTGACTAAGGCCAAGATCTTTGAGTCGCTCGCCACTAAGTCGGTTGACGAGCTTGTTGAGGTTATGCATCGTTGTGTCCTCTGTGAGTATGGGTTACCCATGCTCGAACGTTTCTGACCGTGGAAGCGCGTTTGCGAGTTGCTTTTGGAAACGATACTGTACGCGATATAGAGTCAAATGCAAGTTGTCAACCGTTTATCATCCTGAAACGGACGGACAATCCGAGGCTGCTGTTAAGGGCCTAAAGAACTACATTTGCGCATATGTCAATTTCGCGCAGGACGACTGGGTTGACTACCTTCCTGTTGCACAGTTTACTACAAATGACCACGTTTCTGAAACCACTGGAATGACCCCTTTCTTTGCGAACTATGGATTTTACCCCGGTACCGGCGCGGAACCACCTGGCTCGCTCTCCCATGCTACACACCCGGAAATGGAAGCTGCGGATCGCCTTGTTCGTCGCACTGAGGCTATTAATGAATTTCTCTGAAATGAGATCGCGTGGACCCAGGAAGCATACGCTCGACAAGCTGACGCCCATCGCTAACCCCATCCAGCCTACCGTCTTGGAGATCGCGTCTATGTAGATGCTAGACATTTTCGCCTACAGCGGGAGAGTCAATTACTCGCGCCAAAGGCCCTCGGCCCATGGTTAATTGTCCGGAATTTCGATAATAAGGCCTATGAGTTGCAGCTGCCCGACTATATGCTTGCTGTCGGGATTACGCCTGTCTTTCATCTCTCCCTGCTTCGCCTCGGCCCTACCCCTGAAGATGTCTATCCTGGCCAACATGAAGACCCGCAGGAGCCAGTTATGATCGTAGATGTTGACACACAGGAGGAGCACCCGGAGTGGACCGTTAGAGAAGTTGTAGATTGCCGGATGACCCGTTGACTTGGTACGCGCATCACTCTATATAGTGGTTCTTGGTCAGTTCGTCACAGTTTTGGTAATATCACAATATGCGGCGCTGGCTCGTTATCACGCCGCTTGGTTGTCCGACTACGTTACAGCTCTAGGAAGTCCTTTCTCTAATCACCGGCCGTCAGCAGGGTGCCAGGAGCGCAGCTCCTAACAGCATGTATTAACCCACTACTGCTTCATAAAGTATATCACTACATTTATGGGCTATATGAGATGCTCTTTGTAATTCGAATGGTATACTTCTAACAATCGTTTTTATCTTACAGAAGCTAATTATGTCTTATCCTGACTCGGGTTGAACATCAAACCTCATCCAGGCAACAGTATACAAAAAAGTCCTCGGAGTCACAGAATCTCAATAGTCAAGAGCTAATAGAGTAGAGTGCATGGATAAAATGCCCCCTTATAATATTTATTTCTTCTTTTTCGTAGATCTCGACTCTGGTTGGGATTTAGCAAAGGCTATCGTGCAAGAACATATCAGAATTGGATCTTACCGGCTGCTGTTCTTTTCTTCTTGGGTCGTCCTTTTCCACGCAGTTTCGCACTGTGCGTTGTGAGAAATGTCCTAGTTGCATGGAAAATGGCGGGCCTACATTTGAATGGCTTCTTCTCTGTCGTCCTCGGCCTCATCAAACACCGTCAACCCAACCTGTTTGTAGGTATCCTGCAAGTCTCGAAAAGCAACTGTCTTCCTAGGATACCATGACGCGAGTGCCGGACCTCGTAGGCGTTGTCGGAGGACCTTGTTCCCCAAACGTAAACGCTGTGGGTTAAAATTATGTGAAAACACGCGGCACTGTGCCTGCAATGAAGAGGTAGAGATCATTAGTAGATGCTACTAACAAGGGTACTTCTGCGTGCATACCTTCGCTAGTTCTAATATTCGACCATACGTAGCCATTCTGTAGGTTCATGCTATGATGGTGGTTGAGCAAACTCGGGGAGCAAGATGAGCCGATAAAGGAGCCATTCACACGTGACCCACGCCACACCTCCCGCTCAGATTAGACCCTTGTACTCCGTACGTGAATAGTTATACCTATTTTGCCCGCTCACCAATGGACCGAAAAAGAAAGTCTACGGTTCCGACGACTGTCAAAGATGGCAAGAAGAGACGGGTAAACACACATAAGTCTGCACCTATAGGTACTTGTGCTGACAGCCTAAGACTTATCTTCAAGGAGCTTCATCTGAAACACCGCATCTCAGCAGTGCCCTAAGGGACGAAGATGGAATCGAATATCGCCTCGATAGTGTTTTCGGGCTTGTGAAGGATATTGTTAGTGATATAGAGCGCGGACAGGGTGTCGATGGAATTTCCCCACCTATCAAACAAGCGGCTTTTGATCTAGACATAGCCTTGTCTCATGCCAGATCCTTGATCCAGCGACACCGCCGAAGCGCTGGCCATCCTGTCGACGTTGAAGAGTCGAGTACAAACAACGTTGAGCCCAGTCTACCTGCACTGCCACCCATTTCTGATCAGATGCTCGAAAAAGCTGTCTTTACACACCCCGGTGTTAACGGTGACATCGAGGCGACTTATGACCGACTTGAAATTCTAGGCGACGCTTATATTGAACTCTTTGCTACACGGCTCATCTGGGATCGGTTCCATAACATCCCTTCAGGTCAAATATCTCAGCTTCGGGAGCTTCTTGTGAAAAATGAAAGTCTTGCCCAGTACGCAATACAGTACGGTCTTGATAGCAGGGCAAACATCCCACAAGACTATCTGGGCCAGCCCAAACGATGGACTAAAACTATGGGGGACATATTTGAATCCTACGTGGCGGCCATTATCCTGTCCGACCCTGCCAGTGGCCATATTATAGCCGAGAAGTGGTTAAGGCAGTTGTGGTTGCCGAAGCTTACAGATGCCGGGCCACATAAGTTCTCTCTGAATGCGAAAGATGCCCTTGCTCGAAAAATAATGGGAAAGGGTGTGAAACTTAAATATAATGAAGAGAGAACGTCTGTCCAGGTAGCCGGTGGGAAGCAAATTTTCTTCATAGGGGTATACCTTACTGGCTGGGGGTGGACTGATAGACATCTGGGGTCAGGCCGAGGGCCGAGTAAAGCAGTTGCAGGAAATGAAGCCGCAGAGCAAGCCCTGAATAACGAACCATTGATTGGTGAAGTCATCCATGCGAAGAAATCTCATGAGGGAAAGCATTGCTGATTGTCACTCCGACGGCAAAATACTTACGACGAGTATGATTTTGTACGATAGTATTTGTCACATTAAGCGCGTGGTTACATATAGGCGGTGGGTACCTAGCATAGTCGGGTTGTTTTCGATGTACATACATAGCTGGCCAAATGTAAGATAATTGATATTGAAGCCATCTAGGTGGGTTTTCTCGCTTGGAGACCATTATCACGTTCTGCTCACACGCATAGCACCAAACACTAAAATGCGTTAGTAACTCCCGTAACACCGGGATATGTATAGACGTCTGCAGACGGCGCCGTCGAATCCGGTTAGCATCTTCGAGTTCATATATTTTGGGGCGGTAACCGTCATTCTAGAAATTGGGTCCGCTAGCCCTGCAGAGCTTGAAAGGTACGGGATGAACGGCGATATAATGGAAGCGATCATATTAGGCAAATAAGATAATAAGACAGCCAGTGCAGCGTTGCATTAAGCAGGAAATTTCCATGTCTAAGCATCTACAAAAGCCCGTATACAATACAGGAAAGATCGCTTTCAACTGGCCGAGAAAGAGGTCACATATTACCTATTGCCGCCCTCGCCTCTCTTCATCTTTCTTCATTTTCTTCCGGCTCTCATGTGCAATCATGTCGCTCAAATCTTCCTGGAACCCCCAACCGTGATGGTCTTGTTGCTGCCTTTGATTGTCGTACAGTTTCCGTATACCCTCCTTACTAAGTCCATCCCCGGCCTGTAAATCATCTGGGTCCATAGAGACATCAACATCGCCGGGCTTTTTGCGCTTCCGATTTTGATCCTCGGTTCCAAGGACAGGAAGGTTTCCTGGGGAGTCGTTCAGATCATACACCCTGTCGCCTCCAAAAAATCCTTGCACATGCGCCTGTCGTTCCGGGATAACTCTAAAAGCGCTTTTTTGGCTCTTGTATTCTTCGGTCTGAGTGCCTCGGTAATGCTTGCGCACGTCAAACTCGCCGGCCACGTTCTCTGTCCCAGCATATTCGGACGGGACAGCGGACGCCAACCCACTCGGTGTCTCCAGTCCACTAGGAGACTGCACTCCTGCTTCCTCATCCTCCTCCTCGTCATCCTCTTCGTCATCCTCGCTACCGTCGTCGGAGAGCTCAGGAGCCTGTAGCTCCCCCCAAAGGTCCTTTTCCACAGGCTCGCCCTGCTGCACAGTTTGCTGGGGTTGTAATACTCCAAATATGTCCCCACCGTATAGAGGTCTGTTATGCTCATCGACTGGGGGCTTTCCATAACCCCCTGGATGATAGCCCCACATGGCACCAGGCGGCGGAGGTGCATTCAGTCCCGCGATTTTCAGCGCCGGGTACGAAGGCGGCGGCCCATATCGTTGTTGATTTATCAACCAAGGAGGCGGCGCACCTGGTGGCATATTAAGTGCATCCTTAAGCTCCGCGCTGAGTTCACCTGGTCGTAGATGCTTGAGATTAGTTTCATATTCTTTGCCCTCGTAGTAAACTTCGCCATAGCGTGTCAACTCAGGTTTCGTCTGGAACCTAAAGAAAGCTTCGTATAGTTTCTGGTAGTCGATATCTAGCCTTCCCATTTTTGGCTGGACCCTTTCTCTTTGTTTCTGTTTCAAAGTCGCCTGCTCTTGCTTCTCCAAAGCAGCGTCTCGCATTTCCGAGATTCCGGTCTCTTGGATAAACTTAGGTAACGCAAATGGCGGTTTTTCTATGCCCCTCTTGGATGATAGATATTCTCTTTTGAGTGACCAGTGTGAGGGAACGGGGACAACATTGCGGTGAGCCTTGATGTGGACGAGTAATTTAGGGTCAGGTGCTGAAGTATCCGTCCACTCCACAATCTCAGGTTTCCGAACCATCGCCTTAAGCTCAGCAACGGAGAGCTTGTTAAGTTCCTTGCGCTTTTTTTTGGACAGTTTCGGTTCTTCTTCCTCTTCCTCGTCGGGTATTTCATCGTCGTCGTCGAAATAAATTTCCGGTTTGTCAGTTCCTCCATCTGCAATCGGATCCCCCCCATACTCATCAAACCTATCAATGACATTCTTGTACATCTCCCATAGAGGGTCTGTCGAGTCATCCTCAGCTTGGGACAATATATCTGGGCCAGACTCATTCATCGAATCTGTAGTAGGGGGACCCTTTGCCTCAAGGTTCGTTTCGGGCGTAACAGCCGATGACGCTGTAGTCTTGTCAAGTAAAATGTCAGATTTGCCTGAAGTTGTATAAAAGACCGAGAGAAATACCTCATTCTTTAGAGCCTTCTTCCTTGCCCTTCTGATTTGGTTCTTGCTCGGCTTCATTGCCGGAACGAACGAGTTCCCAAATTGAACAGGTAACTGTTACGACACCGGTAGGACGATAAGTGAATTGCAGTGTCTTGATATTCCTAGGAGCTGGCTGGTTTTGTCTTGATTTGCGGAGATATTCTGCGATATGACGATGAGATTCTAACAGCAGGGTAGTTTGCTTTTGCGCGCGCTAGGGAGCTTAGGATAATATCCCCGTATCACGTGATCATTTCGCTGCCTCGTAGTTTTCGTGCCAGGAAATTGCGTACTGTCTTTTTAATCTAGAGACGTAACTAGAAGTTACTGCAAGATGTTTTATACTATTTCAATTGTAGCTAGATGATTCACTACAACTGTCACCTCTATGTTAGTCAGATAGATGTCTTGCGCATGGACTCTCCCCTGTAGCATCACGTGACTGGATATGATTTTATCCTCACCTGCCGCCTCTTCGATTCTTGAACATCTTGCTCAAATATACTTTTCCTCCACGCACAGGCTAATACTCAGAAGCAAGAGATCTTAACTGGTCTGACACATTTACTTTGCACCCTGAATCTTGGACCTATCCCAAGTACGCCTTGATGGATTGGGACCGCAATAGAAGGTACGTTTTTACATCGTGATGTTGGTCGCCCACAACTAAACAACCCGTCCAAGGTTTGATGATCACCGAGGAGGGGAAAGTTATCGTCCAGCACCTAGAGGCTATATTCGACGCAGTAGATCGCCGCGAAATCGATCACCCCGCCGAGTTGCTGATACTTGGGTTCCGTCATCAAGCCGAACTTATAACCGATTGCGAAGTCGCTCGCCACCGAGTTTTAGGCGCCGTTCATCCCGAAGTCCTCCCTATTATGCCAGGGACACTGGTCCTCCTTACAACCAAACGTGCTCCCCTCCGCGCAGGTTTTCTCCCAGGCGGGAGCGAGCGCTTGTGCATACTTCATGGCGCCCAAGGTCGCCATACACCGAGAGTCGCTCGCGAGACTTCTCTCGAGGTCGTACAGCATTCAGTCGATCTCGGGAGATCACGCCCACCAGCCAAGATATAAGAACTGACAAGAGAGAACGTTCGATACTGCCGTCTGCCGAGCAATTTCCAAGGTCTAATTCACGTCCGAGGCGCGGCTCACTGCGTGAAAATTTACCTCGCCCACCAGTATCTCTCCGCTCTCGGAGCCCCCTTCAAGAGCGCCGCGATCGCTTCGAGGACCATCGTTTTCAGAAACGGCGCTCTTTATCTCCACGTAGTACCTTTTCAAAACATACCTCAGCTCCCGGATCTGGTTCAAACTCTAGACGCTCATCGCCATTCACAGACAGACCTCCCGCATTGGATTCAAGAGGACGATCACCGGCTGCTCCTTCTACAACTCGCCAGCCGCCATTTAAGATCCCGCGCGAATCACCCACTCTTCAAACCGGCGAACCCTCTTTCGGAAAAGATGAATTGCAAGAGAAGGCTCCTATCCCTAGCCAGGACCCTGTCGCATCCACAGCGCGAGTAATGGATCTTGACAAGTCTGACCAAGGTCGTTCTCCCGACCTTTACAGCAATAGATCCAAGCACATCAATGTCGCGTGTATCCCCAGTCACCTGAAGGCACCACACAGCGCCTTACAAAACCAATCGCCTCCATCTGGCCCCTCGCATGGTGCCAAATCTTTACCCTCACAGAACCGGGGATCAAGCATTTCCTTGCTATCCGCGCCGACGCGTCCTCGAGGGGGGGCTAGTTTCAAAGACACGAATACATTTGCGACCCCTACGATGCGACGCGGGCCTTTGACTCCCCATACTAATATACCTCCTTCCGGTCCACGCACTAGTCATGTACCAACCGGACCAAGCGCCGAAGTTCATCGCCCTCATGCCTATCGGCAAAACAGCGTTACATCGCCCTCGTACCCCCGTACCCCCAAGTATACCAACCATCTTACGGGTCTCTGCACAATTGTTCCTGGAGGAAGGCTGCTTCCCTCTAGTGTGGAGCTTACCATGGAGAAGCGACTATCACAACTAGATGTAGACAAGGTGCGACTTTTTGAGCAGATTACGGAAAGCCAAAAGCACAAGCGGATGGGTCTAAGAGACTGGGACAGACTGGATAGGGAAAGCTCTATCTGCGCCTTGAAAAGTGAGTTGGCGGAAGGGCACTTGCAGTGTATAACAGACAGCGAAAGCATGCACGGTGCAGCTATTTTTTGAGGAATCCTTTAGGCTTGGGATTGATTGGATGGTGATTGAAGCAATTGTTCTTTCGTAATTGAACGGTATAGAATGGTGACTTTGTAACAAATGTTTTTGGCCGACCTGTCAAGAGGGCAAATTGAAAAGAGCAAAAAATTTGACTCGAATGGAAATGTAAAATAAAGACTCGAACTAAGACACATAATTGTGAACCACGATTTGGCTAAATTTTGCAAGACGGAGGGTTTCACCACATGCGTGGCGTGGGTGGGGCGTTGCACTCCTCGTCGCGCATCTTGAGGCTTCGTGTCAACATTGATCTTTACAAAGACAAACAACAAACGCATCCCTTCCGGGTATCCCAGACACGGATCGACACAACATTCATGGCGATTGCTGGGAGGACTATCATTATCATCGGACCGCCTCTATTTTCGAATATCGCATATCTTCGATCCTAAATTGAACGACTTCCATTAAACAAACGCTATCTACCAAACCAGACGAGACAGACATCATGAATATCTTCAGGCTTCTAGGTGGGCTCTTCACCAATGAGCCTCTCAACCACATTATCCAAGCTAACATTGGCGCCAGCGGACTTTTCCCATCTCTCGTCCATCTTCATCCTTTTACATAAGATGAAGTCTTCGAGCGTAACTTGATCCTTCCACTTTATTCAAACGGTCGCCCGGGACTGACTGCCACCACAGAGTTGTTCTGGACTGTCGTTCAAGTCGCAGGCATTGTATTTGATGGTGTTCGTGACACGCTACCTCGGTGAGATTGCCCCCTTGAGTTTCGATTGCATCTTGTCCCTAACTAGTATAGATCTCTTTTGGGCATTCACCGATTCTCTCTACAACACAACGTTCAAGATCCTCTTCATTGGCTCGTCGGCCTATATCATTTACCTAATGCTGAACGACTACAAGCCAACTCATGACCCAAACCTGGACACTTTCAAAGTCCAATATCTTTTAGCCTTCAGTGCTGTTCTAGCTATCGCGTTCCCGCATGACTACAGAGTTTCTGAGGTACTCTCACCTTCGCATTCTTTTCCTCTTAGCTTGGAGTTCTCGCTGACGCGTCGAAAGATCCTTTGGACGTTTTCAATCTGGCTCGAGTCTATCGCCATCCTACCCCAGCTGTTTATGCTCCAGCGTACCGGGGAGGCGGATACTATCACGACTCATTATCTCTTTGCCCTAGGGATATACCGAGCGCTATACATCCCTAATTGGATCTACCGATATTTCGCTGAGCAGTACTTTCAACCTATTCCCGTAATCGCGGGTATCATCCAAACGCTCTTGTACTCAGACTTCTTTTATATCTATTACAACAAGTAAGAGCTCCTGCAACAACCCTCCCCCATCGCTCTACGTTTAGACTAACAAATGGAAGGGTTATGAAAGGCAAAAAGTTCTCGTTGCCCGTTTGAATGATCACCGGGCAGCTGGGTTGGATTGATTTGACAGATTTTTGGGAACGAGAAAGGAACAAATGGGCTTGGAATCAGTGAAACACATGGGTTTCTTGTATTTTTATTTGGCACAAAAAGATTGGTCGATCTCAAAAGACATCCATTGTCAAAAAAAATAAACACTCCCAGCCGACTCTCCTTCGGCAGTCTTTAGCAGCTATACTCAATGAGACGATTGCGCGGCTCCAGTCTAGAGTAAAGGGAATTCGTGTGTATGAAGAAATAAACGGCAGCTATTGCCCTAACGCGGTAAGATTGATAATAGCGAAAATATATAGAAGCAACATGACAATTCAGATATTAGGATGTTTTCCCCTTTCCTCCGTGCTCCTGTAGGAAGTCCGTATTCCGATTCTTATTCCTTTCTTTCTCATCTCTTTTGTCCTTTTCCAAACCCGGGTAAATGAAAGCATTAGTGGTGAGGAGGTCCCTGGCTGGGGGTGTACATTGAATTGTAGCTGACTTGTGATGACGGGGTTGATATGTCTGCATGAAAGGGATCTATTGTGGGTGGAACCGAGCTCGGCATATTGTTTATCGTACCTGCACACAAAGAGCGCATGGGGCCCATCTGTCGTGCATGTATATCCCGATGGTTATCCATCCAGCCATTGGAGCTACCGAGCTGATGGTAATAGTCGTGCTGGGATCTCTCCGCCGTTCCCTGGCCATTAAAAGTGGACTCCCGCCTTGACATGGGGGGTGATGGGAGCTTTGGGGAACGCGGCATACTGGTGAGACGGGGTGAGCCCCTCCTTGAACTAGGCGGCGTTAATCGTGAACCCCCTCGACGTACTTGGCAAGTTGGGCATATCTTGACGAAGCGTGAGATGAGCTCTTTTGGGACCCTGTGTACCATTAGCACTCTGACCCAGGGGCAGGTAGTCGTCGTATATTTTTAAACGGCTTTGGAAGGGAATGCGGAAACATTCACACCACTTACCACGAATAGATCTGTCGGACTTGGGCCGACGTTTTATCTCTTCCACCGTGCTGGCACTGCTGGTGTGCTCTGGTGAGAATTTTGAACAACTTCTCTCGAATAGCAACCGGCTTCCCTTCGTGGCAGATCATCTTGCCGCACTATTTAACGTACGTGGAAATTAGCATTGGATCATAATATCCACAGGGATAATTAGTAGGTGCGAACATCTGAGCTCATCCCACCGATTGGCTGAAGCTTAAACATTTTTTTGACCCAAAATCTGGTTTAGTCCAATGTTCGTTAGTGATTGCAATGAACCATACTTGAACTAATGCATGATAGAACGGAAGACGGCTGTCCAAGTAGTTCCGGTCTGCAGAGAAGTCTATACCTGAATTGAGCCGATTCTATGGCCGTATCTTTTGGGTCCAGAAGAACCGTCCGTATGTTCCGGGCACGTTTCGCGTGAATCAACGCCTTGTCCTGTTTCTTTACCGACAGATCATCGACATAACTGGATGAATAGATATTGTTAGTCTTCTATTCCGACTAATTCGCTCTAGCAACAGGGGTAAAAGCCTGGGTTGGGGAGGCTCTACCTTTTCATCAATTGATCAAATTCCCTAACATTGGGGAACCCATCTAGCTGTGGGATGACCGGCTCCGACAGCATAGTGTTCTCGTTTCGAGAATCCTGGCTTTCAATGTCGGTTTCCCCAAGTGCTTCACGAAGGGGTAGGTATCTTGATGGGATAAAGCGGTCTTGGGGCAAATACTGCACGGGTTGGTGCTGCAGGGCTGCATGCTCAGGTGTTGACGGCATTGAATGCCCAGGCGAATGATGCGAAGACAGGTGATGCATATGAGATGAGATGATCGGGTGGTTATACGGAGACGTGAAATGATGGGTATATGAATGGAAAGGCTGCTGGAAATGGTAGGTCCCAGGCTCATTTACACTGAACTCATGGCCATCAGCCTGGTTGTACGGCACAGGCAACGCAATTTGTTGGTTCATAATGTAGTTTTCGTGACCATCATTTCCGCGCTTCCCAAAGCCACTCATTGTAAACGCGGAACTTGCGAGGTATTTGGGAAACTGAAGGGGGAGATAGGCAGCAGAAAGAAGTGACGGATGGGAAGACTGGCTTGCGCGGACTTTGTAAAGTAGATGATGCACAATGCGACCTTGGTTTGACTTTCGTGGAAAGTTGATAGTCACGCCCAGGATCCCCGATGTAGCAATAAATGACCACAAGGAAATCCAAGAAGTAGAAAGGAAACCAAACTTGTATGAAGATGATAGAACTCCCGAGGCCGTGAAGCTTCTTCGAAGAGGAACCCAAGCTTGCAGTGTAAGAAATCCTAGCAGATAACACACAGGCGTGAGAGTCAGGCTAGGTCTCAATGAGAAACGAAGGAGATATAAGAAGGAAAAGGGATTAGAAAAGCACGGCCGCAGAGCAGTATTTGGGGTGTCAAGAGATAGGAACGCTAGGCCCAGTTAAAAGGCCAGGAGCTGTTGACCAACTCTCATAGAGGCCAAGTATGACCGGCATAAAGAGCGCTAGCTAATATGCATGAGACCATGAAACCCTAACCATCATAGATGCAAGGTAACCACAGACATGTCCGTAGGAAGCAGAGAGAACTGACTGAATCCCTGAACAATCAGCTAGGTTACCTCGTCCCATACAGGAATCCCCGAAAAAGGAATATGGATAGCAACTAACAGCAAATGGCATTGGGGTGGCAAAAATGAGTTTGATGAAAGCTTTCGTAATAGACTTGCTGTAAGTAGTTTTCAGAAGCGCTAGGTTATTTTGCTGTCGGTATGTGGATGGCAATGATAAAGCCTGGGCAAAAAGGGGCGACGTCGTTCGGACTGAGGGGAGAGGGAAAAGAAAAAAGAATAGTGTAAAGAAGGGTGGAAGAATGAGAGCAGGAAAAAGAAATTGAAAAAAAAAGGAGGAAAAGAAAAAGTGAGAACACGAAGCAATCAAGAGTCTCGTGAAACTGACAAGGATCAAGCATCAAACATTCCTTGAAGAAGAGCAGAGTGGATAATCCTGGCATAGTATGCGGTGGTAGCAATATTGATGGCAAACAAATACATTGTCAGCAAGGTCTCAAGGGCACGAAGGAACAAGCGCAAAAGAGAAAATGGCGTGGGAAGAAAAGCTGTCAGAGTGAGAAGGTTTGAACTGGAACGGTTGAAGCCAAGTAGATACACACAATATATAAAAAGTCAATGGCATTTATTCGTGTGGCAACGAGTGCCGGATGAGATCTGGTTTCAGATCAACCGGACCAGCATCGAGTTCCGTATCAAAATAGGACTGGTAGGAGCTACTGTTAACGGGATGTCTCGTCCGGAAAGGAAGCCCCCAATCTTCCAGAGGAGCAAGTGCAGAGGCGCGCTGCTTACCACTGGACACCTCGCAAGAAGGTTTGACAGTGTGCGCGCGTGTGTGCATGCAGGACATCTCTAGGAAGAACCTCATCCGGATCTGCAGGATTCCCAACCTCCCTCCCCAGTCGGAGTATCTATCTATCTATCACCTGAGCTGGGCTCGGTGATGGAGCCACGCAGCCCTAGGGCTGTTGGGTCCCTGTGCATTGATGGGCATTTTTGGGTCTTTGCCATCACCAAATAGGTCCTGTTAATTGGAAACTGGGAATTGAGAGGTTGACCGGACAAGTGCGCGTCGACTGACTAATCTGTACCACGTAACTAGTTAACTTGACTTGGATGTAGTAGGCAGGTAGCAGACCATGTAGGTTAGCCCTTTCCCCCCCCGGTCGTGTATCAAGATGCGTTGGCCATGTACAGTATGTACGGTATGTAGGTAGGTACCTACCAGTACAACCTAGGCACCCTACCTGTGGTACCTAATCATGTACGTTTGTAGGCGATGCTGTATTACCAACAAACAAACGAGGTCCCTCTAATCATTTGCGAGCATTGGATCCCGTTTAAAACATGCTATCTATGATGCCTCAACGCAGCCTCCCCTTACAGAACAACACCTAGTCAGAAACCAGAGAAGCGCTTCGCCCCTTCTCTTGGTACATAGTTCTGTCTGGGTAGGTACTCATTGCTCTGCATCTGCTGTACCCCTTCCCGTTCTCTTCGACAATGTTTCTCTTTGTTGTAAGCTCCGGCACAAGGCCCAGCATAGCTCAGTTGTATTACCATCATCGTCTTGGATAACATCTATTCATATATCATTAAGTCAGGCACTAACATTGGTACTGTTTGACCAATAGGCCACATTCCGTCATGTCCATGTATGTGTCTATTCCACCGTCACTCCTCTCCCTTCCCTCCCCGGAGAACACACAGAGTTGGCTTGAAGAGGAGGGGGAAAGAAAGAAGTCGACTCGATCAATTGCCGCCAAGTCCTTGAACACTCAGAGTGCTGTTAAATCCCACCAAGTCTCGTATGGCCCATCTCCAGCTGTCACCGAATTTCATGCGATCAAAGTCTGTCCATCTATTGACCTTGCGTCTCCATTTCTCTTCCTCTGCACGTTGACGTCGAATGAACTCCGGTCCAACATCGAACTCTTCCGTAATGGGCCACTCGTCTGAAGAGTCCCCGCAACTGCGATCGTCACCGCTCACGACAAGACCGAGGTCGTCGTTAACACCCGAGGGTGGTGGCATAGAGCCGGGTTTTTCCTCCAGATTACCAAGGCCGGCAAAAACATCATCCTCGTCCTGGACAGCCACCAAGCCCTTTGTTCCGGGTTGCAGCGGTGCCAACTTGAGCCAGCACATGCGCTGCGGATCGAACACCATTCCCCCCACCACCTGCACATTTTGCATAGCACCGACGTTGGTGATGAGTGCTGGTGCAGGTTTTGGAGATTGGGGCGAATCGGTATCGAAATCCTGCGCTAGGCTTTCATTCCCCTCCCAGCGAAATGTGGCAGGATTGTAACGCATGCCATTCACAGCTAACAGAAATATTAGTTTAGGATGTTACACGTAGAGATATCTGGCTTACATTTGCGCTCTTGGACCCCCGTACCCAAGGGTTTTATCAGATGAGGCTTGCTCCCGGATATTGTAGCAGTTCTATTCTTCTTGCTTTGTATGGACAATGGAGTCGTAGGGACACGCGAGATGGTTTGAGTATTCCAATTCGAGCTTAGGGAGACAAGCGCACTGTTCTCCCGACTTTTCGAGCCAGACGACATGGACGCGATGCGCTGTTCCCTAGCATTTCTCGAGGCATTGGTGTCGCGAGCAAATCGGGGCGTCTGGTCGTACCGTCTGGTTGGAGTACCTAGGACTGGCTGCTGCACATCTGTTCTCGATGGGATGGTCTGACTCCGGCCCAACTTGTTTTTGAGAGATCTCGGTGCGCCACGTCCGGACGGATGCTTGACAAATTTGCTTTCTGCTGTCGAGGACGTAGGCAGATCGTCGAATGACGCCAGCTCAGTACCGTCCCCAAAATTCCGCCGCCGAGTTGGTCGAGTGAGCGTTCGCTTAGCGGCTGTGACCTGGGTCCCCGAGTCACTCGCGTTATGCCCAAGCGCTTCATAGCGGCCTGGTCGCGGCAGACGAGACACTGGGCCTTGCGGTGGGACTGCTTCCTGCGAGCTGTCTGAGTTTGCGCGTCGGGTGTGCCGAGAACTTTTCACGCTGGCATGATGCGACTGATGTTCTGATGCCCCTGCTGGAATAAAAGGTGTCTGTAATCTACGGCCCAGCAGCGACCTTGCTTCATGCCCAACACGGTCAACGGGTGTCTTGGATCGGGAGTTTGAACTGAAAGGACAGCCCGTTAAGTCCTGGCGTGGACTTTGAAGGGGTGGCGTAGAAGCCGTTGGGCTTGAGTTCCGTATCGTAGGTAATGATCGCTTTGTTTTTAGTAACTGGTGCCCGGTAATAGTGCGCTCACTGTTAGCAGAGTCTCTGGACAGTCTAGCACCAACAATGAATCGTCGACCAGGACTCAGGGAATTTGGAGAAGTTAGTGATGTTCCGTGGGAAGATATGCCGGACATAGAAGAATGCGATGTGTGACCACTGGTTTTAGGGAGCGACGTCCGAAACTTCGAAAGAGGTGCACCACTCTCAGAGACAGTTTCGAGGTGTGTCGAATGTTGACGGTCGTGATTAGAGAGACGCGGAATTCGAGTTTTTGGAGAGACTGTAGTATTGGTGAAAGTGAGGGTGGTTGCCGAGCGTCGTGCTGGGCTCCCGGGGTCTGCTTTGCACTTGATGTTTGGGTTTATTGAGAGTTTTTTGGTATCAAAGATATCACCGCCTTCCAGCTCAAGACCAGAAAAAAAATCGTCCTGATCTGTCGTATCTTGACTAGCCTGCTTTGACTCTAACGTCTCTACAGCAGCGGTGTGGGGCCCGAGTCGCTTTTGCATTGACATCGTCAGGTCTAAAGGCCCTTCGGGAATGACGAGACCGTCCAAGCCTTCATCTTCACTCTCAGCAGTCAGGCAGCTTGACGCACTGGGGCTGACAACCGAGATCGATGAGCTGGGGTTTGACCGATGATCTCTTGCAGTGCCCCCGACTCGAACCCCAATGCTTCCCTCGGACCACTCCATATCGAAGTCCTCAGGAGACGGGCTTTGTGTTTCTGCGGTGGCCTTAAGAGGAGAAAGGCGAATTGAGTTGTCCGGCGGCAGATCAAAGTCTTCCTCGAAATTCTCCTCCGGAGCATCGGCCATGTTGCTTTCCTTATCTGACATCGTTTTATTGAGGACACTTGCTCTTTGAGGGGAGCGTAGCTTCGCAGGCTTGATCGTTGGAATATCATCAACATCACCGGCATCGTCCTCTCGATACATGTCCATGTGTGCCATTGATGATGATTGTAATCGCAGCGCGATATCATCACTCCAAAATGGCGAAGCCGAAGTTTTGACCGGGCTTGCTGCCACGGAGCTAATTTGCTGCAGTGATTCAGGAAAGGATACAGCCTGAGGACTTTTTAGTTCCAAGACAGCATCAGGATCTGGGAATTCCACGTCGTCAGACCAATCATCAACAAATTTATGCTTTGTTTTTCTGGGTCCCAGGCGTTTGATGGTGCCCCCAACTAAGGCCGATTTGGGAACGTTTGCAGGCAGTGGGATCCCAGCACTTTTGGCGGAAGCAATAGCCTCCTCGTTTACAGCTTCCTCATTGTCCAATAGTTGGACCTGCCAGTCCTCATCATCACCGGCGGTAGAGTCAAGATCGGAGCGAGCGGAGCGACGCGAGGATATGGAGTCCCGATGGCCAGAGCGGCGAATAGAAGAATTCGTCACCGATGTAGCACTCGACGCGGTGCGCAGCTGGATATCCTCGTAGCATTGTAAATCACCATCGTCGTCCCAAGACTCGATCGTCTCCTCATCGCCACGTCGCAAATGAAAAGTCAATGATTCCATTGTACAGGGGCTAGGCTGAATGGTCCACAGTCGTTCAGAGGTTGTTCGGGCGTCTGAGCCGATCCTCCGGGTGGCAGCCTCAGAACTCTCTAGTGTTGAAATCGGATACACAGAGACGGGGGAACGTCATCCCATGTTGGTCGGGCCAGACAGACGGAAAGATGATTCACGATTATGCTGGTGCGGAGGTCCTCACTAGAGCCAGGGTATCGGCGGATGAATTTCCTCCTTTTTATGTTCTTTGTTGTATCTGTCCTTCACCTCCTTTGCGAGGAGCTGGCTTGTATACGATGCAGCTAGCAATGTAGACGTCGATTTGGGAGACGGGCAGAGATAGAATCGTCTTTCTGCGATGGGCGGAGAGAAGACTTGCGTAGGTAAACGAACGGGGACCGGCCCGTGGAGAAAGAGAAGTAAACACGAGCCCCAATTACTCGGAGCGACGTGCAGGTGCTCGCGTGCGGTTTTGGTGGCTGGCAGGATTCCCCCGAGAGGCGAGAGCGTTAATAATTAATATGGATAGAGAGGGATTTGGGCCAGGCGGAGAGCGGTTCCCGGCATTATCTTTAATACCATGACAATACACTATCTTAAGGTATATACCTACATAACTACCCACAGGCACGGATGGGTAGGAAGCCTGGAGGAAATCAGGTCCTACCTTGACTTACATACAAGGATTTCGCCAACATAAGGTACTGTACATAGTACAGGTACTACCTAGGTACATACATTAGTTAGCTAACTAGTTAACTAGATTGATGCCTTACGTAACTCATATACATCAATACATACATACAGTAAAAAGGGGGTGGGAAATTTAAGGTAACTAAGGTAAGGTACATACATACAGTAAAAAGGGGGTGGGAAATTTAAGGTAACTAAGGTAAGGTACATACATACATAATCCGTACAGCAAGGTATGTATACAGTGGTATTTATAATGTTACCCGTGTTGTACGGACAGTAAGGTACTGTACCTACAGTTGTATAAGAACCATGAACACTGAATAGCCTACTCCGTACCTACTTACTACCTAGGCAACGCTGCCTATATCTAGCTGCCTATTCTTGCAGCGGCTTTTATATAGGCACCCTCCCATATCAGATTGCTCTCTTTCTTTTCTATCGCCACTTGCAGATGATTTGCAAATTATGAATACCGCGCCGCCGCTTTCCGAGTCTCACTCGGGAATGCGTGTTCTGCGCATTCCCAGATCTGACCAACCTGAATCATCCGTGCTCCTTCGTGTTGCTGGTTCCGACCGCTTTTCTTCTAGCCTAGACTTGATTGCAACAGAAGGAGAAAATCCGTTTACTCGGACGGGTAAGTCGTATAACACCAAAACGTCTGCATGGCTGCTAAGGTTCTGAAGTCCAGCGAGCCCAATTGAAGGAATTACGCACCAAGAACTACCACGGCAGTGATGAGGAATGGGCCCAAATTGTCTGGTATATCTTTGGGCAAGCCGCAGAGTCTGTTGGCCACGTGGGATCTTTCCATGGCATCGAATCGTCGGCTACGATCTGTGAGTCTGACAGCGCATCCAAGGAATTAGTCATCAGCATTCGTAAGAGAATAGAAGGCATCACTGTATGTGCTCGTGGAGATCACCGCATGTAACATCTTTGGTTAACGAAAAAAAAAATCATAGCAAAGGCTTGGGTCCGTGACCCTTATGCAAAACGATGAACAAGAAATTCAACTTCTCGATTGGTGCGGTACGGCAATCGCTTGCTCGAATGCCCTTGAACAACGCTGTCGTGCACTCCAAGATCGTGCCTGCGCTGCTGAGCATATGGTTGATCAGCTTAACGATCAACTGCAGCAATTATTTGGTGCTAAGGAGCAACATGAGGAGCAATTAATAGCAAACCTTGTCCGTTTGCTAAACGAGAAGAAGCTGAAAATTCGCAACCAACATAGGCTATTAAATACCGCAGAACCAGACCCCGAAACGGGTAAGGCTTGACTATACTCCGTATGATATCGGCGGTGAGTAGCTCTGACTGATATCGATTGTGTATGGCATTTTAGATCCAAATATCCAGACGCCAAGCCCCCTTGAGCATCAAGCTCGCTTCCAGCAGAACCCCCTGGGGAAGCGTCATACTCGTGGCCCCGAAGACCGTGGATCAGAAGGAAAAGCTGTTTCTGAAGTGGAAACGGACTCCGCATCGGATGAGAAAAGCTCCAGAGAAGTGGACGAGGGCACAGAAGGCAGCGTCAGTGACGGGGAATTATCGGCGCAAGATGGTGTGGAGAAACAGCACAGCGTGGATACTAATAAATCGTCTGCTTACCCTGTCTTTAACAACGTTGCTGCAACTCCTCCCCGGGCTGGCCTTTCAGCCACCGGTTGCCTATCCGGAGAAGGTGCTCAGGGTGATGCGGAATCTGCAGGGGAGACGGATGATGATGAATTATGAGTTGCTAGTTTCCTCACTATTACTAAACTTGCCCGTATTGTCTTCTGTAGTTTCTCAATAGCAAACAAAGAATTGAGCTGGGCCGAGAGGACGACCCACATACCCAGGCGCCGCCCCCTGTTACAACATGTACATAATGGCTAAGATTGATTGCTCAAATGACCCTTAAACAAGCTTTTAAAAAATAATTCAAAGAAACTTGCGCATATCCCTGGAGCTGGTTTTAACTGAATGTTATGTACAGATTTGGCCACTAATGATGTCTCATATTGTACCAGAGGGCGGTTGGAGCACATGGCAACGAGATAGCGAAGACAATAACTGACGGCAATAAAAAGGGGGGGAAGGTTAAAAAAAAAAAGAGAATAATAATACTAATAACAAAGGAAAGGGGAGGCAAAGAAATCATGAATAAAAGGGGCCGGAGAATAGGTGTTAAAACAACAACGCCTAGACCAATTGATAACTGGCACATACCAAGCGACCAAAGCCACTTGAGGTTTTCAAGGTTTAACCATACAAAGCTTGTGGAGACATTTCACCAGCAGCCATAAAGTTCGTTTCTGGGTTGCCAGTAGCCTTAGCGGCGGAACAGCGAGCCATGGTGGGCGAGCTATGAAGTTGGTCAGCAACACAATTCAACTAGTCAACAGGTCGGGGTGGTTGGTACCTTCGGGAGATAGAATCAGTAAAGTAAAAGTCTTCAATGATTTTCTTGAAAGGTGTTTCAGTCGGCTTGATGCCCTTGTTCTGGTCGACCAATTGGACCTTGCTCAATGAGCTCAACGAAGTTGGCTCGACGACATCATATCTGCGCATGACGGGACTAATCTCCTCCATGCGATCGCGAAGAGCTTCGATGTCATCATAAGGAAGCGGTGCACCGAGGAACTCGCTAACGGCGCGTACGATTTTCCAATCATCCCGTGCAGCACCAGGCAAAGAAGTGGCCGCGCGAGTGACTTGCACACGACCTTCAGTGTTGATGTAAGTGCCTGATTTCTCAGTATAAGCCGCTCCGGGAAGAACAACATCAGCAAGTTGAGCACCGCGATCGCCATGGTGCCCTTGGTAGATGACGAACGCATCGCTAGGAAGGTCATTCGGGCTAACTTCGTCGGCTCCAAGAAGCCAGACAATCTTAGGCTTCGTCTGGGCGACTTCGGGAGAAGGTGTAGTGAATCCAACCTCAAAGGCAGCAGCACGTGAAGCAGCACGCTGAAGAACGTTGTAGCCTTGCCATTCTGGAGTGTTGAAATTGCTCGAGTGTTTCTCCGCGAAGCTACCGACGGCCTCGTATATCGCTTTCGCGTCCTGATGCTCGGTCGCAGCACTGCCAACGATAATCATGGGTCGCTTAGCGGAAGCAAGTTTTTCGCCGAATTTACCTGAAAGAGCGGCCTTCAGAGCAGAGACATCGGCACCAAGGTGTTCATATTCAAAGGTGCTGTCAAACTCTTCTCCTACTAATCCGACCTCAAGCTCAGAGCGAAGGAATTGCTTGCGAATGCGTGCGTTAAGGACAGATGCTTCGTGGCGGGGATTTGTTGCAACTAAAAGGATGGCATCGGCGTCCTCAATTCCGTAAATCTTGGAATTGAAAAGGTAGTTTGCGCGAACATCAATGCCATGGGCAATGGGTGATCCGCCACCTGCTTGGTCAAGAGCCAAATTATCCGAGCCAAGTTTGTTGAGAAGATCTTTCATGGCCACAAGCGATTCCGCATCTACCAAGTGTCCAGCAATGGCTTTAACTTCATTTTCTCCCGGCTGCGACTTTTGGTAGTTCGATGATATATCAGTCAATGCTTGTTCCCATGTCGCTGGGACGAACTTGCCATCCCTTCGAATAAGGGGTGTAGTTAGTCTCTGAGTCTTCAAGCCGTCGCAAGCGAATCGAGATTTGTCATTGATCCACTCTTCATTGATATCATCATTCAACCTCGGAAGTATGCGCATAACTTCCATGCCTCTGGTATCTATCCTGATGTTAGATCCCAGGGCGTCGAGAACATCAACCGATTCAGTGTGCTTCAATTCCCAAGGGCGAGCACGAAAAGCATAAGGCTTTGATGTCAGGGCACCGACAGGACAGAGATCAACAATATTGCCAGAGAGCTCAGAGTTGAGGTTCTGTTCCAAATAAGTTCCAATTTGCATGTCGTTTCCTCTGCCGGTTGTTCCGAGCTCCGGGGCGCCGGCAACATCGTTCATGAATCGAACGCAGCGAGTGCAATGGATACACCGATTCATAGAAGTCTTTACCAGAGGACCAATATTCTTGTCTTCAACAGCACGCTTGCCACCAACCTCATGGAAACGCCCCCGATCGGCACCATAGCGCATGGATTGGTCTTGCAGGTCACATTCTCCACCCTGGTCGCAGATAGGGCAGTCAAGAGGGTGATTTCCGAGGAGGAACTCCATTACACCCTCTCTCGCTTTATGCACAAGGGGCGAGTCGGTCTTGACGTTCATTCCAGGTTGTACGGGCCAGGCGCATGAGGCCACGGGTTTAGGAGCACGTTCAACTTCCACCAGACACATACGGCCTATTATAATATGATTAGAAATCGATTGCCAAATGGTTTGGGGGTTTCAGTTTGCCATACAGTTGCCTGCGATTAACAGTTTTCTATGCTCGTAGTTAGCAGCTGTCGGCACGGTGCAACAGTTTTTGTAAAGGGGGAGGTATAGCATACTCATGATAGCAATATCTGTTCAAGTCTGTCAGCTGATGAAAAAAGGCTAGATTGGATAGCGCCGTACCTTGGAATTGTCGCGCCTGCTTTCTCACAGGCCTGGATAAGGGCCGAACCGGCTGTACAGGGTGTCAGTGGCTAACGAGCGACGAAAACCGCGCATTGGAAGCTCGAGTTACCTTCTACAGAGACTTTCTTTCCATCTGAAGTGAAAACAATTAGCAAGATTATAAAAGGCCCCCTGCAGGGCTACCTTGCCATACCAATTGTCAATTCCACCTCAGCAGAGCGAGGGGTTGTCGAAACAAAGGTTCTAGGATAGTTGTTGACCTTTGGGACCCGGAGTGACCGGGCGGCCGCACGATACAACTGCGGCCGCATGCTGGAGGGCGGGCGAATTGAAGGAAAGAGGGTATGTAAAACGGGGGTAGGAGGGAGGATGATGGAGTATCAGGCGTCGTGCTTTGAGAGCCGGGGTACTTGAAGAGCACTTTTGGCTCGTTCGGATTCTTGCTCGACACCGGTCCGTCACTCGCAAATTGCCGGCTGCGGATTGGCTCGGCTATCGGGGAAATAACTAATCCAACGCGCCTTCATCAGTCCGCTTACTCAGCAGGATTCCTTCCTTATTTTTTCCCGACTTTTCCTCCCGCTCCTTCTCTTCTTCTTCTTCTGTACCAAACTCATTCACGGGCTTGATTATTGTAGGTGGTAGGGTTTGCTCTGTTCCTGCCTCCTCTGCTACATGACCCAAGAGAACCGTGCCCTGAGCTGGAGCTCCTTAGGGCTATCACCATCTTCATCTAATGATCGTGGTTTTGTCTGATGAAGGCTTAGTTCCTTACCGACAGTGGCAACATTCTAACCCTCCCAGGATTTATTTTGTCTTATCCCCTCCCAGAACAACATTCAAACATACAATCCATTTTCCAAGCCAAACGTCACATTCATTTTATGCAGCTCTCCCGTAGACTCTTCATTTTGCTTGTACCCTTGTGCTCATGATCCCAAAATAATAGGAGATCTTGGTCAACATAGTTTCGGTACTCCGTGCGTGGGGCCTTTTATCGAATTAGAATACTAAAAAAAAATACATTGAGTTTTTACATCCTTCGAGCCATTATTATGTATGTCTTTCCCCCTGTTATAGAGATAGGTTGCTTGCGGCTGTCGTATCGCATCCATCCCGCACTATGATGAACCAACCAGTTATACACTTGAACGCCTGATACACGATTGATGTGGGTAATAAAGAGAGAACTACTTAGGAATCATTCGGGTGCCAGGTTGTCTCTTGTTTAGTACCAGGGGGCAGCCAATTCCGAGCAGTACTGTTTCCCCGTGGGCGGATGCGGCCAGGTCGATCGTCCTCTTTTTTAGGATGACTTGGAATAGACGATAAATCATCTGGAGTGGATTGGCCCGGTTGTCTCGCAGAGTCATACCCACCGGTATTCCATGTCTTTTCCGTGGAGACATTCAAGGGAAGAATGGCCTCTTTTGCGCGGAAGTGGTCGGCTTTTGCTCTTTGCTCTGCCGCATCATCATGGCTATTGCGGTCATAGAGATAAAGTCCGAGAAAAGTGAGAAGAATCCCAAAAGCTTGGATATAGGTAGTGGAGTTGCCAAACCATACAATCGCAACAACAATGACAAATACTCTTTTGACCAAAGACGCCACTGAGTATGACACCGGCGATGTCATCGTTATCAAGATAAAGGCCAGGATGTTTTGAGCAAAGTGCGAAACACCATTGAAGACGAATTCGAGGAAGAGCTCTCCATGGTCCAAAGAATTCTTTTTGCCTGATAGAGAGATGGCGCCATCTTGTAAAAGATCAGAGATGAGAGGATAGCCCTCTGAGATCACCCAGATCGGTAAAGTCAAGATCAAGGCCAATCCGGAGCAATAACAAAGCAGATTTAACTTGTCTAGTTTTGGTCGGTCCGAGGACAGGGGCTCTGATTCGGCACGAGACGTTTCGTTGAAGAGCTTCTTGGAAAATATGTTCTGTGAAACAAAGACCAGAGCCGCAAGTAGTGCACAGGTTATGCCGAAGAAGTTGGTAGAGAGCCCTGTGGAGCAAGCAAGCATGACCCCTAATGTCAAGGGGACAAGCGATAGATAAGTGGCTTTAGCATACCGGATGCGAAAAAACATGCGGTATGCTAGGACAGTAAAAAGGGGTGACAGTCCCTTAATAGTGTGCACCAGCGAAACGGGGATTTGTGAGGTAGCCATGGAGCTAAGTATATGACCTGCAAGCTGGAAAACTGCCAACGGCAACGTGGTTCCGATGATATCTCGTGATGGATAGCGGAGGCCATTCTTGAGGGCTGGTATATTGTGTCTGAGCCAAGGAATAACACTTGCAAGGTAAGAGAGTAGTAGGCACCATATTGACACAAAGGCGAATTGTATGATCGTGAGAGTGATGGGTTTTGGGAGGGCATTTAATATGGACTTTGAGGATGTGTTTGTGACGGCGGAGGTTAGATACCAGATGAGGCAGAGAACCTAGATAAAATGAGCCACAATCCAGTTGGGGGGGAGGGCGGATGACCTTACGATCAGTTTATACGAGACCGGCGCCTGGAGCGCATGTGCCAACTCCTGGGCGTTGGCGCTCACGCTGGCATTGCGTGTTCTAAGGGTGCTGATTGCCTCGCTAATACTTTTTCTTGGTTTGTGCCTAGAGTTTCTGATCTCCTGAGGGGCATAACTCGCTTTCCGCGGTTCCCAGCGGTCACTTTGCGTGTATCTGATAGAAGAGGCAGGGTATTGTGGTTCGCGCGTCGCCGCTATGTCGTATAAATCATCAGTGAAGGGTGGGAATTGATCCACTGGGCTCGTCATTGATTGGGAGCTGGAGGTTTTCGCTGGTATTTGCAGCTCTGGTTGTCGTATAGATGCACGTCGTCCGGAGCCAGTTACGGTGGTTGTTGTCATCTCCCCGGTTGCCAAAAAAAATAACCCCCCTCCTTATGCTGGAAGTGGCGTTGTTGTTGGATCAAGAATTGAAGCTGGCGTTGGTGTTTTCAAAACAAACAGACCCGGATAGTCAGTCAGATAAAATTCTTCGATCGGTTTGCGAAGGCAAGTCTCTATTTTTTGGGTGAGGCGGTTTAGAGAATCGATTGAAGAGGGGTTTGGGGTTGAAACCCAGGTATCCATCCCGTAGTAACGTTTGCGGCCTTTTCCAGTATCGAGGTAAGTAGGTACCCCAGCAAGTGCCGTCCGTGGGTAAGCAGTACGGCCGGTCGACTCGCCGAGTCTGTGGTGGATGACGAATCCCTTGTGGCGCTAGTTAACTCACTTCACAGCCGCGACCATACCTGTATATATATCTGTGATCATGTATGTACTATGCAGCACCCCGTCGACAGTACCCTTCATAGGTAGTACATACATCCGGCCTACCTAGAACTCTGGTATTATTTTTACATCCCCCCATGACAGGTATGTACAGAACCAATTACGAGTTCGAGCCCATGACACGTGATCTACATTGCCAAGATATTTTTGCTTACTCCGCCATGACGGATGTTCTCGACCGGCCCGGCGATGGGATCATGGGTCTACCAAGACCAATGAATTTGTGCCGACTCTTGGATAAGTCACCCACAACATGGATTATTTCTTAGCATATCTCTTCTTAATTCCCATGATAGGCTGGTTTTTTGAAATGACAGGAAGTTTTCCTGAGGCCAGGTTGGGCTTTATAAACCAGTGGATGCTTAACAAGGCCTTGCCCGGTCAAGGCCCTCTAGGGATTTCGTACTCTGAGGACTGGCAAGTTCTCGGTCCGTTTCGGTGCGGCACACGAGGTTAGTGGTGCACCTGCACCTTTCTAATCTTATACTGAACGAGCTTGGTTGACACATCACGACGTATATGCTCAGAATCCGTCTGGGGTGCAGACCCGCTAGAGTTTGAGGGTGGATTCTCCAAACTGCCATTCAATACTAGTGCGGTATTCAACAGTGCTCTTGCTGTCAACGGAACTGCTAAATGGGGGTTGCTTAGAGCTGACACATCGGCCTCTTCGGATCAAGCAAAAGCCAAGCTAGTAGTGAAATTCCCTGATATAGACTGGGGTCATTTTGGCTCCGTTTATGGATGGTCTGGTTTGCAATACCAGGCCTGGGCGCGCGGTCATTTGAAACTGAACAAAAGAATCAACCAGAATGTTGCCATCTTTAGTGAGGGGATACTAGAATTCTCCATCAACGGTCAACGGCATTTTGGCGGCGATGTGTATGGCTACCACAGAGTGCCCATCATCCTAAGCCTGCCACCAGGTGATAATGTGATAGAACTACGGTTAGTTCGTGATGTTCGGGCAATGGGCGGCATAGGAGAACCCATCATTGAGGTCGCAATAGAAGCAGATATACGCCATGATTATCTTACCGTGGATGAGCATAGTCTGATCCTACCAGAATTGACCGATAGAACACTTGGCAGCTCGTGGGCATCGGTGAATGTACAAAACAACATTCCTGATCCAATCGAAATTCTCTCCATCGAGTCTTCCGATGTTGGTACCTCGAGGAATCTTCAAATTTCTGAACCAAAGTAACAGCTGGATAGGGCGACCAACTCCAACTAACCGCGGAGAAGACATCACGTCTATCTCCATACCAAACCAGGCCTGTCGTATTTCAGGTTCGTGCCGGACATACTCCGACAAATGAGGTCTCCGCCGAAATATGCTATAGAGTACGAAAACGAGACAGCCAAATTCGATGTACTCGGCCGTTCGGGATCAAATTACCCCAAAGACTCTTATCAGAAGCTCAAAGGATCACCTATCTACACCCGGCGAACATCGTCTCGTATGCCATATTGCGCGCCCCACCAAAACAGTTCTGTCAAGGGAACGAGTCCCTTCCGGTCATAGTTGCGCTCCATGGTGCAGGGCTCGAAGCAGATAACATGCAAGTACGCCGAATGTTGGATGCTGCGTATGGGCTTTGCGCATGGATGCTGTTTCCAAGCGGTACCACCTCCTGGAGTGGTGATGATTGGCGTGAGTTTACAGGATGTTCTTTTGCTTTTGCTTTTCGTACTGCTTTGAAGCCTCGATTCATTGGAAAAGCTTACCCCCAAACCTACGCTTTCACCGAGCATGGAATATAGCAATTACTGACCCCCTCAGACTCATGGGGCTCTTCTGATATCAAGGCTGCCATAGACGCAATCCCAGTGTGGATAGAGAGTCTTCATTGGAAAGGACCGGACTTATCACATGCTACTTGGATAGTCATCGGCCACTCAAACGGGGGTGGGGACCCCTTTGAAAAGCTTCAATACATTTTAATGATTCGTTCGCTAATTTATACAGGTCAAGGTGCATGGTATCTTGCCACTCACTACCCCGACAACGTTATTGCCCTGGCGCCCGTGTCGGGATATTCGTCAATAGAAAGTATGTGCCCAGATAATTGACTCAAAAGGCGACTATCTTACTGATATGGTAGACTACGTACCTTATGCCATGTGGCAGGAATCCGAGCCTTTACTCTTCTCTGTTCTCCAAAAGTCACGCTCCAGTTTCAGGCATGAACTGCTGCTGAGCAACATCGCTGGAATCCCAGTATTACAGCAGCATGGCGCAATTGATGACAATGTCCCAGTATATCACTCTCGCCTCATGCACCAGCTACTAGGAGAAGAACATTGGCCGTCCGAGTACGAGGAAATAGCCGGGAAAAATCATTGGTATGAAGGGGTGATGACATCCTCGGCCCTCTTGAGGTTCTACCGAGAACATGCTCGTTCCGAATCTCACTCGACGGTCCCCACTTCATTCATAGTGACCATACCGTCCTGTGGGTATATATCATCTAAGGGTGGCATTTTTGTTGATCAACTACAATCACCTGATGTGGATGGCCAAATAGAAGTTACCCGAGACATCAATAGTGGAGTGTGGTATCTCAAGACTCGAAACATACATCGTTTTCACCTCTCAGGCAATCAAGACCGTGCAGAACTGCCTACTTCCTTGGTACTTGATGGCGCAAAAGACCCCTTCGAGATCAACAGAGACCAGCACAAACAAACTTGGTTTGTCAAGGATGCACGAGGCAAATGGAATTTGTCCCAAAATCACACCTGGAAGAGTTTAGCTCAAAGACATGGTCGTCAGCTTGGTGCGATGGATGCTATTTTATACTCGGAAGGAACATTCACAATCGCCTCGTGCTCGCCTGAAGTTGAGCACATCGCACTTCAAACCAGCCGTAACCTTTTACAATATTTCGGTGCAGATTCATTCTTAACACAATGCAACGATACTGTTTCCCGCACAGTCCACAAAGACCGGCAGCTGATAGATGGCAATATCTTGACTCTTGCGTTAGGAAACGATCTACCGCACTCGGAACTCAAGGCATTCCCAATTACTGCGAGTGAGGGCCAATTGGTTTTGTATAAGAAGTTACACTATTTTGAACCTGAACAACATGATTACTTTGGAGGGAATCAAGAACGCGTCGACTTTCGCTACGAATTCGAGGCTGGAATGGGCGCGCTCTTTCTTCGCCCATTAGAGAATGAACGACTTGAGCTTGTGGTATGGGGGGCAGATATATCTGGCCTGGAACAAGCTGCACGTCTTGTTCCCACACTTACTGGAGTTGGTCAGCCCGATTTTATCATACTGAGTGATGCCTGCCACTGGAAAGGTCATGCTGGACTTTATGCTGCCGGGCATTTTGATAAATTCTGGCAAGTATCATCGGGTTCCTTTATAAGCGCAGATCCACAGCCACATTGGAAATAATCTGACCTAATTAAACTGAGTGTTCTACGCAAGTTGATTTTACTTTTTGTAGTACATTGGTTTGGTACGGGGTTTTTTTATTTTTATTTTTTATTTTTGTTTTCATTCCCCAAAAAAAGAGAATTTATAAAGCGCCAGTGGGTAGTCAGGACCAGGTACTGAAGATCCCTAGGGCTTTTGAACGCCTTCATGTCTTTTCCAGCAATCTACCCTTGGTCTTTATCCCTACATCCCAAAACCACCATTTCGATACTTTTCCGTTCGAAGAATTGATCCTAGTGTGGAGACCCTCCCAATAAAACAATTGACAGTTCCCTCCTCGTTGACTCGAACCAGGTGTTCCTTCCTTTTTCACTTTTCAACTTGACCTCAGTCCCCCCCTTCCCCTCCCCTTTCTCACTTTCCCTTGCATTTGTTGAGATTCTCCATTGCTACTTCCTAGTGCTCTTGTTTCCAATTTCCGATATCTATCTTTCTAAGACACAATATATTTGGATGTTCAAACTTCCGATATCTTCTCTTCTAAATACTACTTATCTATCTCGAGGCTCACTCTGCGACGAGATAAGGCCTATCTCTTCACTTATGACCGCATTTTAATTGTTTTTTGTTCAGTTCATGAACAAGCCTGCTTGAACTTGGGTTCTGGAAACTGTGACGTCTCACAACCATCGTGAATTCAGCTCTCTCCCGTTTTCTCTAAATTCTTTTTTTTTGTTTCACGTGCATCATTTCCTCCCCTAGAATCAATCTGAGCGAAATGTCTTTATTTTCAACAGGGTCCCCTAATGCTAGCCACAAGAATTCCGAGGGAATAATGCCTTTGACCGATGAAAGTATTGAATCGAGTATCCACGAGAGAAGCTTATCATTTGACTGCGAAGGATCGGTGAGTTGATGCAATGAGATTTTTCATGATTCTTGGAGCCTGAGTTGACCCAAACCTTTACTCACAGAGCAAGAAGAGTTTGGCCGGCTCCGGCGGCCATCTTGAACCTTTGTTGTCCTGCAAATTGGGGAATTTCAAAACCGTGGCTGGTGAAGCTGGAGATAACCCCTCAAACAAGGTCAGACTCTTACAAATTCCAGAATCTCCGCATGACTTACAATCCTAGAAGCAGAAGTTGGACCATTTGAATACCCACACAGTCACCGAGGCTTCTGAAATGGAGAAACTGCTTGCCAAACTTTCTCCCAGACCCCAGTCGACAGGCGTCAAATCTTTTGTGGATTTGGAAGCTCTCGCCAAGATACCTGAGCAGCAAAATTGCTCTGACGGGGGAAAGCGTGTTTTCACAGGCAATAGCGAAATTCCAGAGGGCTATGTGGATGCCACCAAGCTTGTTAGCATGTTGCCCAGCACTCCCACACCCAAGCCGTTTGATATTTCTACTTTAATAGACCCTGCTGAAACAGATATGACACAGACAGGGGCCTCGGAAGTGTTTCGCTTGAAGCAAGAATTGCTTGCTGCCAACTCGAAAATCGCGCTGCAGGAACAAGAGCTGGCTCAAACCCGAGTTATCAAGCATACTTTGGATCAAGCCCTTGGCCCTCCCTCTGAAGCGGAATTCAATGGCCGTGAAGTGACCGAGCAGACAATCAGTCACTTACAGAATGCGTTCAACGCAACCAGTCCGCCATTCAACCAACTGCTGGACGGATGGACTGGACAAGATGACTCTCAATCGGATATCTCGGATGCTCTTTCCGCTGGAGCATACAGCAGAGCTCAAAGGTTCTGGATTTCCCCTACTCAACACTCATTCAGCATGGGCTCCAGTTCCTCAAATCCCGACAAATCCTACGGGGATGCTTTACCAGTTCCTTGTAGCTCATTGAGCCAGGAATCAAGCAGACTATGGGGCACGTCAATCCACACCCCCAACATTCCTGGACACACTTCTCTTCAATCAAACCGGGTGTTCTCCAGCAGCTCATCCGGGCCTAACAATTTTGATGCACGACTTCCCGGGGAGCAGGCTCGATACCTTCAGGGACCAGGTCTTGGGTCACGTAGGCCTGTTTCCCAATCCAACCGTGGTGGATCTTGCTTCCCAGCGCAGAACTCTCCCTGGGGCACATTCACGAATGGCTCTCCAAACAACCCTGCTCCTAGGTCACCACCCGGCCGACATGGGAATACTTACCAACAAGTTGGCCTATATCCAGTTCCCTCGTATCATCAACAACCGGCTGGGACTCCGCTTTCCCCAACGGCGGCTGAGTTCACTTCGGCCACGAACACGGGTGTTGTACCATGGACATCCTCACCGGTGAGTCTTGGTAGAACCTGAACCTTTTTATTTTCCCTTTATTTGTATGGTAACTTAGACATTTTAGGTTGGAGGGACGCCCGCCCATACTTATGTTTCGCCCCTGGAGCCCCTGAATTATCGACGGCTTCTGGACAAAAATGTTTCCTGCGATTGGAGATATATTGTGGATAAGATAGTCTGCAATAACGACCAGCAAGCTTCTATTTTTCTTCAACAAAAACTCAAAGTTGGAACAGCGGAGCAAAAGTACGACATTATAGAGGCAATCGTACACCAGGCCTATCCCCTTATGATCAACCGTTTCGGGAACTTCCTCGTGCAACGATGCTTCGAACATGGAACCCCAGAGCAAATAATCGCCATCGCCAATGCGATAAAAGGCAATACTCTAAGTCTTAGCATGGATCCATTTGGATGTCATGTTATCCAAAAGGCGTTTGATTGCGTACCTGAGGAGCCAAAAGCCATGATGGTCCATGAACTCTTGCGGAGAATTCCTGAAACAGTAATTCACAGATACGCTTGTCATGTCTGGCAGAAGCTTTTTGAATTACGCTGGAGCGGTGAGCCTCCGCAAATAATGGCCAAAGTCAATGATGCACTGTGTGGGATGTGGCATGAAGTTGCTCTCGGAGAAACTGGAAGTCTTGTGGTCCAGAATATCTTTGAAAATTGTGTAGAGGATGAAAAGGTACAGTTACCGCAGAGACTCCCAACTTTATGTTTTCATATAAAAACAATTAGGCTGACCCATGCAAAGCGCCCAGCAATTGAAGAAGTGCTAGCGAAAATTGATATACTTGCCCATGGGCAGTTCGGAAACTGGTGCATTCAGCACATATGTGAGCATGGTGCACCTCATGACAAAAACCGTGCTGTTGAGCACATTGTTCTCTGGGCAGTTGATTACAGCATGGATCAATTCGCGTCAAAGATCGTAGAGAAATGTCTGAAGATAGGGGGCTCTGAGTTCTTGGATCGCTATCTTGCTCGAGTGTGCACCGGACGTACCGATCGGCCGAGAATGCCTTTGATTGACAGTATGCTCAAAAACCCTGGTCTCTCTTTTTTCTCTGGTATACTAAGATACTGCAGTTGCCGGTGATCAGTATGGGAACTATCTCATTCAATGGATTTTAATGAATGCTGCACCTCACCATCGTGAGCTGGTAGCAAGTCATATAAGGTATCTAAAAGTGCTTTTCTTTTGATTTTTCCTTTCTTTCTATGCTGTTCAGAACGGGGAAATAACCCTCTGAAACACCCTTTACCCCCCAAACTCATGCATATTTTCTAAACATGGACACAGGAAGCACATGGTCTCACTCCGCGGATCAAAATTTGGCTCACGCGTAGCCATGTTATGCTGCAACCCATCTCATGCAACACGTCCCGGACCAGGGGCGGGCATACAGATAGGCCGATTCAACAACTTTGGCGACGAGCGCTTCCAGGTGTCAGGACAACATGGTGCACGCTTTGGTCGCGGAAATCAATGGAACCCTGGCTATCCACCTTTCCGCTAAGGAAGCCTATTCAAAACCCGTTTGCCTTCCAAGGAACGAAGTAACTATCTTTTGTGAATCGGTCTTCACGGCGCTTTATACCTGGACCCTGGGCAAGCGGTGGTCTAATCCCAGCATGCATAGCATGACATTCTCTTTCTCTCTATTTAAAATTTCGAACGCGAACATGATCTCTCACTCTATCTATGCCATGGATTCTTCTGAGCTCTGCCTTTTTCAACAAGGGTTGGGAGAGTGTGAAGATGTTAGAATGTGCGTTGGTGAGTGAAGGAAAAGAGCGATCAGTGGCTACCTTGTGTCGACTTATTAACAGGCAATTAATATTTTGCTAGTATGGAAGAGATTTTACAAGAGTACAGACAGAGTTACAAGTGTGGGTTGTTTATGGAGAAGCTTTGGTTTACAGAGAGAGTACTACGTGTCGCGAGTCTACCTATCGATGACCATCTTTTACGTTCCATCTCTGACCGATTCCTAACCTGTTGATACTATTATTCCCCTTAATACAGCGAAATTAACAGTTTTTATGGAACTTCTCGAGGACTGTACTTGGAAGATATCTCACTCCATACCTTTCTTCGGCACGCTATCAGAGCCACAGCCGTCTCGAGTAAACAAAAATCTCGCCTCAATGCACAAGAGACATGGGGGAAATTATTCGCCCTTGTACATAGTGCAAATAGTGAGATTCACTGGCTCTCCTTTTCCCACGGCTTGCGTCTCTTTGGCTTGGTACTCGGGGTGTCATGGCCCATTAAGACGGTGTCTGGAATTTGCTGGATGCCAGGAATCGGTTGGCCGGAGGTGATGAGATCGACTATATGCGCAAACGAGGAGGGGTACGAAGGATCCCCCTGTGTATGTGCCGATTCCTGCTTCGTGCGAGGATTTATTTGCTCGGGCATAGTCTTAGTCTCACATGGACCTGGAGATCTTGCTGAAGGTGACGACCCTTGTAGCCAAGCCTTGTAATCTTGAAAATTCAACGGCTCCGCAAGCCTCTCTTTTCTGGATAAGAAGAGAGGGAAGTATTAACACTGTAAGCCCTTTGCCTGTGGGATTTTATGAAAATGTCTACCTTGAATAGTAAAAACATTTTGCCTGCAGGACTAGGTCATCTTGGCGGAGGAGTTCCGTTTCGGTCACAGGAACATCAGGGTGACCGAGTATCACTGATAAGCCTTGAGAAAACTCAGGATCGTCACTAAACCGGTACGTGCCCAGTTTCTTAAATTGCTCAATTGTCGAGGGTTGGAACCTCGACACCGTGTCCTCGGGCGCCGGAGTACAGCCTGGAGGTTGACTCGAAGGGGATTGTGAGAGCGGCTGAGAGTCCATTGAGTGAATAAAGATCAACTTGAAGGGCAAACATGCAAGTCCAAGGACGGGACGGTAAGAGGCGATTGTTGAGAATAGAACCGACTTTTTATTGCGGCATGAATTGCTTCTTCGGTCGGCTGCAGTGGTGTGTGTACGGAGTAGAGGTTCAAGATCGCAGGGAAATAAACTCACAGCCGAGGCCGAGTCGACTGACGTATGTGGGGAACTGGTTCCGACAAAGGCAAAACGTGCGGGGTAGAAGTTGATACGCTTTACAGGATCGTGCTCATCTGGGCTTTGTAAGGAGATGTATTCAGGACTCATCATCTTATCATTCTTCTTCTTCTTCTTCTTCTCCTTCTCCTTCTCCTTCTCCTTCTCCTACTGCTGCTGTTGCTGCTGTTGCTATTGTTCTTTTAGTCCAGTTCATTTCATTTCATTTCTTTTGCCTCAATTTGTGATGTACTCTCAATGTAGGCTTGGTTTGCAGGGGACTCCTCGTTACTATGTTGAGGTGTCCATTGTATCTAGATTAGACCCTCCCTTAGAAATATCATCACTGGCCGTCCGACTTTGACATCCTGGACAATTGTGCACGACCTCATGCGCGAAAAGGTCGCAGTCAATGCAAAAATGATTCCTACAAACAGTGCATTCGTAGCGACTGCTTATGCTCATTCCCTTGTTCTGACTCTCCGCTACATGCAATTGTTCCTCGGAAGGTACGGGAGGGAAGGGTATGCCACAGGCGAAGCAAACAGAACTGAACGAAGCTCGATGCCATGGAACCTCGACCCAATTTATTAGAGGGAAGAGATGATGATATGACCGAGCGAGATGTGTTGACAGAATTAAAGTAAGGCTGCACGTGGGGCACTCGGCAGGGAGACCGCATACTTTGCTGTTGCATCGTGAGCACAAATAGCCTCCACAAGAAGGCTTCGAGTGGCAAGCGCATAGAGACGGGTATGTTTCGACAGTACGAGAAGGGAACCCCATCATAAGGAGTGAGCTTTTGGACTGCTTTTGGGAATATGTTACGGGCGGCGTTGTAACATCCATCATCAATTCCCGGAAATGTTGCTCATCGAGCGCAACACCATATGTAGAGTCGTCGCCGCCATTGGTTTTCACGCAAAGTTCGCGGCAGATGGCAACCTGGGCGGCTAGGCCGACAATACAGACCCGTATATTATCATTTATGAGGATATTTGTTGTTTCATGGATATCGCCGGGATCGGAGGAAAGGAGGGAGCCGAATATGAGGAGAATCTCGCGGGTGCCGTGACTTGGAGTGTGACTTCGAAAGTAGAACCAACACATTAGTCTGCAGTGAACGTCGATGTTGACGCCGACCAAGGGGCGAGACGTACAAAAGAGCACCGCGAGCCATTTCAAGCCCATTTTGAATGCTAGGAAGGCCTTTAGGGTCTTGATCCCTTAGAACTTGTATCGAACTAATGTGTTCCGTAGGGTTTCCGCTCATGTCACTTATGCGAGTCGCAAGGCCGTCGCGCAGGCCGAGAACGGCAAGCTGTGAGATTGGATTTTGTTCAAAAAACTCCTTGACAAACTCTTGTGCGTACCGGAGCGTAAGAAGATATCGCGTTGGCCGGAGATCCTTTTCCACCATGGACTGCGAGAGGTCGAGAATTAAAACTAGGTGGCGGATAATGCCTCGTTGCAGCGGCGTCGTGTCCCTCAAAAGCCTGCAAACAAGAAATAAACAAAGGGAAAGCAAGATGATCCAGCCTCAATGGTCGAGTGGATAGACAGTCTTCTTGCACTGCTAGACATCAGGGCAATTTTTGTCCTCTCCCGCAAAGCTTACCTCTTCCTTTTTCCAGCCTCAAGTAGTCCGTCAACAGCCGAGCTGATGGTGCCATCTGCGCTCTCCACCAAGGACTCCCAGGTCCGGGAGACTTCCCATTCCGCGCCTCCACGCTGTCTCTTTCTCTTTGGGCGAGGTGCCGTGTCCCCTCGCGGTCCATGATGAATGTTACCCTCGTTCTCGTCCTCGGAAACCCCCCCAAGATATTCTTCGTCGGAATCTGCCATGACGGGGAGGTTCTGAGCGAGAGGAGAGGATGGCGGAAAGGATGGGCGGTCGTGAGGGTTTGGTGACGAAGAGGTTGATAAGTTGAACTTCACAGGTTCCCGGCAGAACCTAGCCGGGCAAGGGTCCAAGCTCCCTCCCGCGGGCGATCTCTGGCTCTCCCGTTGTCCTCGCTCCGTCCCAGAATCCAGAGGCCAGAAGCCAGAAGCCAGAATCAAGAACCCCGTCGGCCTGTGTTATCCGAAAATAGCCGTAGAGAGCCTTTTCACTACCCCTCCCCCTCCTACGTACTACTGTACTAATTGTTCCAGCAGATGTGGGGGAGACGGTGCATCACGTCAACCAAGCGTCCGGGCGTAGCTACTACTACTCAGGCATTAATCCGCGGTCCCCCGGCGTCTTTTCTCCGTCGCCCCTCCCCCCCCTCCTCCCCCTCCTCCTCTGCTTTCTCTTCGCGTGCCTCGCATCCTCCCCGCCGTCTTCCTCCCCCGTCGCGCGCTCGCTCAACCCGCTCGCTCAACCCTTCCGCTGTCCCATACTCGTTTGCTAGGCATTGCTCTTCGGAATTCCGTGCAATGGCCGCACAAGACAGAGAAATTCTTCCCGACGTGTGAGTAGTCCCAGCGGCCTCTGAGATTGGGGGCTCGGTTCCAGTTCATAATACACGGCTACTGACTAGGTTGCAGGGTGGCACCCGTCAACTACCATGTATCTTTGTTTGATCTTGAGCTTGGTGGTTCTTGGGCCTACAAGGGGGCTCTCAATATAGATGCCAGAGTCACCCGTCCCACCAAGGAGATTGTACTGAACTCCAAAGAGATCGAGGTTCAGGATGTAGAGGTCTTGGGAAAAGATGGTCCGTAATGGTCGCTATCTATTTCGGCGAGAGTATCGGCTTACTGACCCGCTGTAGGAACCAAACTGGCAAAGGCATCCGATATCACGTATGACAAAAAGTCGGAACGTGTGGTTTTCAAATTCCCGAATGAACTCACTCCATCCGACATCGTGTTGTCCATCTCCTTCACAGGCACTATGAACAGTGCCATGGCTGGGTTCTACCGATCCAAATACAAACCAGTGGCAGAGCCGGGTGCCGATACCCCCAAGGAAGGCGATTTCCACTATATGTTAAGCACCCAGTTCGAATCCTGCGATGCACGTAGGGCCTTTCCTTGTTTTGACGAGCCAAACTTGAAAGCTACCTTTGATTTCGAGATCGAGATCCCCACAGGACAGACAGCTCTTAGCAACATGCCCGTCGTGTCCGAGAGGGAGGGTAGCCGCCCTGACCTCAAGTTTGTCTCGTTCGAAAGGACTCCTGTGATGAGCACTTATGTGAGTCAATCATAAAGGTCCCGCCGCCGTCACGTTCAGAGCTAACTACTTCAATAAAGCTTCTTGCCTGGGCCGTCGGGGACTTCGAATACGTTGAAGCCATGACGCAACGCCAGTACAAGGGGAAAAGCATCCCTGTTCGCGTTTACACGACGAGAGGACTTAAGGATCAGGCTCGATTTGCTTTAGAGTGCGCTCACCGCACTGTGGATTATTTTTCTGAAGTCTTTGAGATTGAGTATCCTTTGCCCAAGGCGGATCTACTTGCTGTTCATGAATTCGTGAGTGGCTCTATTGCACCCCTCATTCGATGAATACTCATTTTGCCTAGGCCATGGGTGCTATGGAGAACTGGGGTCTGGTGACCTATCGCACTACTGCTGTCCTTTTCGACGAAGGAAAGTCTGATACGCGGTACAAGAATCGCATTGCTTACGTTGTGGCACACGGTTAGTCCAGTCCACTAAGGCTGCTCTGCTCCTTCCTGGCTTTTACTCACCGCTATTGAATCAGAGCTGGCTCACCAGTGGTTCGGTAATCTGGTGACAATGGATTGGTGGAATGAATTATGGCTAAATGAGGGTTTCGCCACCTGGGTCGGTTGGCTGGCTGTCGATCACTTTTACCCTGGTAACGCCCAACATCCCTTGAAGCCTGAATATGCCCCAACTAATCACATGTATAGAATGGAATATATGGTCCCAGTTTGTCGTACGAAATTCCCGAGGTAATATCGATATTTCCTCATGAAAAACTAATAGTTACGCAGGCTGAAGGCGTACAACAAGCATTCCACCTCGACTCACTACGTGCTTCTCACCCAATCGAGGTTCCTGTGAAGAATGCCCTAGAAGTTGACCAGATTTTTGATCATATCAGCTACCTCAAAGGAAGTTCCGTGATCAGAATGCTGAGTGATCATCTTGGTCGGGAGACATTCCTCCGAGGAGTGGCCCTTTATCTCAAGGCCCATGCATACGGCAAGTCAATGATATGAGGATAAAACACAACGAGCTTGGTTTACTGACAATGTCTAATCCGTAGGCAATGCTACCACCAATGACCTTTGGTCGGCCCTCAGCAAAGCTTCCAATCAGGACGTCAATAGCTTCATGGTACGTTCAATGCCGCTGATCTTTGCTATTGTTGTCTTTTAACATTCTGGTGAAGGACCCTTGGATCAGAAAAATTGGATTCCCGGTCGTTACCGTTGCGGAAGAGCCTGGGCAGATAAGTATCCGCCAGAATCGCTTTCTTTCATCGGGAGACGCGAAACCTGAGGAGGACGAGACAAGGTGGTGGATTCCACTTGGGGTCAAGTCAGGCCCAAAAATGGAAGATGTAAACTCGGATGCTCTCACCTCCAAGACTGCCACCATTCAGGGTGTTGGACAGGATACATTTTACAAAATCAACAAGGACCTCTCAGGTTTTTACAGAACCAATTACCCGGCAGACCGACTAGCAAAACTGGGACAGTCTCTGGGACTGTTGAGTACTGAAGACAAAATCGGCCTGATTGGCGATGCCGCTGCCCTTGCTACATCTGGAGAGGGCACGACCGCAGCTCTATTGGTTCTCCTTGAAGGTTTCAAGGAGGAAACCAATTACCTGTTAGTTCCCCTCCCTTGGCCGAAGATTCCCTTTACATACAATGCATCTAGGGTGAAAACTGACACACTCCAAGGGTTTGGTCTCAAATTTCCTCATCCCTCGCAAATTTACGCTCGGTCTTTGCGCAAAATGAATTGGCGTTGAAGGGATTGAAGAGGTTCACCCTCGAACTGGTATCTCCCGCAGTCGAACGGATCGGGTGGGAATTTGGACCAAATGAAGACTATCTCACTGTTCAGTTCCGGAAGCTCCTAATTGGAATGGCTGGCGTTGCAGGCCATGAGAGGTTTGTAAAGTTACTCATCCATACCTCTTCAGATGACTCACACAACTTAGAATTATCGCGGAGGCTAAACGACGCTTCCAACTCTGGGCCAAGGGAGAGGACAAGAGCGCTATTCACACCAATTTGCGCTCGACAATCTTTGGCATTGCGATTTCGGAAGGTGGCCGGGACGAGTATATGTCAGTCAAAGAAGAATATCTTCAGACCGATTCCGTAGATGGCAAAGAAATCTGTCTAGCGGCACTTGGGCGGGCTACAAGTGCGGAGCTGGTCGAGGACTATCTGAATTTCGTGTTTTCCGACAAGGTGGCCATCCAGGATGTACACAACGGCGCCGTTTCCCTGGCAGCAAACTCCAAGGCTCGGCACCTTCTATGGCAATACATGAGAAACAACTGGGAAATGGTCGCGTCCCGACTGTCAGCAAATAATGTTGTGTTCGAGCGCTTTGTGCGGATGGGGCTTTCGAAATTTGCCGACCACCAGATTGGCTCTGACATCGCTTCGTTCTTCGAGAAGCAGGACACGAGTGCCTATGACCGCGCATTAGTGATTGTTTCGGATAGCATCCGTACGAATGCGCGCTACAAGGAAAGGGACGAGGCACTGATTTTGGAGTGGCTTCGAGCTCATAAATACGCCTGATGCTGGGCGGAATATCCTGCTCGGCAGGCTAGAGTTGCCTCCTGACACGCTCGACTAGGTACCTAAGCCGAACAATCGAAAGAATTTGACATCGAGGGCCTTTCTACCAGGCCAGAGTACTCATGACCGTGTCATCTACTCCGTAGTTACCTGAGAATTACCTTGGTAAACTTTACGTCCGCCGAATTAATAAGGGAGTTTGCCGAGGAACAAAGAGTCAGAAAAGTGGAAGAAGGCGGTTAAACAAAGGGACTGCGACCGTCAAGGGATACTCCGTACCTAAGAATATTAATGGCGAGAAGCTCCTCTACACCGTTCAGAGGACGCACTTAAAAGGCACTAGGCTCGATCAGGGGGTCCCGGGGTGAACGTGAAACGGTCACAGGCATAACTTACTAAGACTAAGAGGTGCTGGAACCTGCACGCTGGGCTCGCCTGCTCTCCTGCACTCAGCAACGCATCCGCCATTTCAGGACTCCAGCCAATTTCCATCGAAGTAGACAGACACAACCAGTCTCCACTGCCTTCGGATCCTCCTTCAACTTCTGCTCAAACCAGCGAACACACTGCGCTTATACTGATCCTCGCTTTTGGCTACTTCTGCCGTCCGACGCCCCTAAATACCCTGCCGTTGTCAACAGATCAGCATCCCTACTCCGATCATCATGAATCCCGAGTGGTAAGTCTTCCTTCTGCTACCCTGCATTTACCTACGGCCTCCCGAATGACTTCTTATCGTTCATTTCCTGCGGAGAATGGGCTTTTCATAATACTGGAGAGACGTTTGCTGATTTTACCCGTTGACTAGAGTACTTCCCCCCCTCCCCTCCTCCACGGCCCTCCATCTCTTCGGCGGACAACAAACACATCACACTCCCGTGGCTTGGTTCCCTGACAAGTTATACAGATATGACTATCTGTTTAAGCTGCTGCTTATCGGAGATTCCGGCGTTGGAAAGTCTTGCTTGCTCCTCCGATTTGCTGATGACACCTACACGGAAAGTTATATCTCTACCATCGGTGTCGATTTCGTACGTCCCTTCTCCCCTCCTCCCCTCCTTGCTTATGATGGGCCCACGTTGCTTATTGACTGTTCCGTGACAGAAAATCCGAACTATCGAACTTGATGGCAAGACCGTGAAACTCCAGATTGTAGGAATCCCGTTACCCGAAGAGGGATCTACTTGATAGCTAACGGTGAACCTAGTGGGATACTGCTGGCCAAGAGCGGTTCCGAACCATTACCTCGTCCTACTACCGTGGGGCCCATGGAATCTGTGTCGTATACGACGTGACTGACATGGACTCCTTCAACAACGTAAAACAGTGGCTTCAGGAAATCGATCGCTATGCCACTGAAGGCGTCAACAAGCTTCTTGTTGGCAACAAGAGCGATATGGAAGACAAGAAGGTTGTGGAATACACTGTGGCAAAGGTGCGTCATTACCTCCTTACCAGCTTCATACTTTTTGAAAATCGATGCTTTCTTCGATGAGAATGGCAAAGCGCTGACCTGGGATGTCATTGTAGGAATTTGCCGATAGTCTAGGAATCCCATTCCTCGAGACCTCCGCCAAGAACGCTTCGAATGTTGAACAGGCTTTCTTGACGATGGCAAGACAGATCAAGGAACGCATGGGTACCGCCACCGTCAACAACAAGCCTACCGTGCAGGTTGGGCAAGGCCAGGGTGTTCAATCTGGATCCGGCGGTGGTTGCTGCTAAATGCCTGTTAATCTGAGCTACGTAAGGGTGCAATCCATCGAAGGCGTGTAAGCACACCGCCAAGGCACTGGCTGATCTGCTAGCCCCCTTTGGTCGAATGGCATTGAACAAAACCCGACATGGCAAAGATGGTATCTACGACATGCTTCAGATCTGGGACGACGATCGGTGATGAGCACAAATGCTTCACCATGCTTAGACGGCTTGTTGATTTTGTCTTAATATCGCGTACAACCGTGGTGCTATCTCCTATTTTCATTTTCTTCATGTTTTTCTTTTGTCTCTTTCCTTTTCTTTCTTATTGCTCTTTTATCACTGGTTTCTTAATTTTCTTTTCCGTGTTGCGCTTCAATATCTTGTCTTTGTGCTTTCCCCCTCTTCGTTTTTAAACAGCATCATCGATTTAGTTTTCTCCGGTAATATCGTTTGCGCGAGTACATCATAACTGGTGGGACTTCCTGCGTATACTTTACCCGGGCTGAGTAATGGAGAATAACATGACTATCGCCGACATGTTGATCTGGTGATATATTTAGCACTAGCTCATGAATTTTACTTCGGTTTCATTTGTGCCATTCCATTGATAGAGGGTGCGTAAACAAAAGCGCCCTAGAAAGATGGACAGATGTAGCATAGGTGACTGGGCTCTGAAAACTTGAAATACTAAGAAGGCAAGTCGACAAAGTAAGCATCGTCTGCAGAATAGTTGAGAGATTTGAGCGATGTCTTCTTATCAGACACTCACATGATACCGATTATGACTATCACATGTGCCAAGTAACGTTACATATCCATGGATGTACATACATACAGTATGTATGTATGTATGTAGACATTTAATACAAAGTATATGACGGGAGGTATGTAGGTATGTATGTATATACTGTACCATCTAATAGGTACCTAGATATTGAAATCAAATATATCATACACACCTACGGTTTAGAAAGAAAGGAAAGTGTACCTAGGTAGACCATTTAATCGAACAAAGACCTTAGTATTTTCTTACCTGCAAGGGTACTAGGTACCTACCTACCTAGGTAGATTTATGTCAATTTATGTGTACAGTACCTACACTGTATAGTACAGTTATTGCCTGTAACTAACCGAAGTATACCGTTCATACAAAGTACTGTACATACAATACCTTGTATTGAGCACACCTTAGTTACTTCCTGTATGTAGCAGAGATTCGGTTGCACAGAAGCAGCGGGTTCCCCGGTATCCTAAAAATATTCCTGATCAGTGAAAGTGCGCTTGAAGTAAGCATATCTAGCCGGGGACTGCTAATACAAACAGCTGCAAAATTAACCCACCCCGGCTCAGTGCTGGTTGGGGAACGAGGAGCCCATCTAACTGAAAAGGGCCTAAGTTTCGCATTCTTCCCCATACATCAGCCGAGGCACAGATTTCGGTAAACGTCATGAAATCGTCGCCCGCTTGCCAAAGCCGAATCATTCTCGTACCCCGATTGCTCAAGCAGATTTGGCCGACTCAAAGTTGCCCCTTTTTATCTTCCTTTCTTTTTTCCCTCGCATTTTGCAGTATTCCTCTACTTTAATGGAAAGTGTTTAAACCCCCAAACCCGCTCTTTCAACCCTTGGTATCTACTCATCTTCACCCCCGGACGACACTTCAACTTCGTTCCTAAGAACAACGAATCCCGGCATAGATAAACGGCTCGCTAGGACATTTCAATACTTGTTTCTGAACCTCTTGGTTTATCATGTCTCAGTCAAAAGTTGACGGCGCGAATAAGGTAGCAGTGGCATCGGCTGCAGCGCAACAAAGCGATAATATAGCACATGCATTGGCTGGCGCTGGCGGGGGGATTCTTTCTATGATATTGACGTGCGCCCCCCATCCCCCAGATATATGTTTTTAGAGCACTGCTAAAGTGAATAATCTTGCAGATACCCTCTTATCACGCTTTCAACCCGAGCACAAGTCGAATCCAAGCGAGCTCATTCTACAACTGCCGATGCTATTCGTCGCATCGTCCAACGGGAGGGTGTTAGTGGACTTTACTCTGGTCTTGAATCTGCGCTCTTTGGTATAAGCGTCACAAACTTCGTATACTACTACTGGTACGAATGGACACGTTCAGCCTTTGAGAAGGCGGCAGTGAAGAGCGGTCGCGCCGCTAAAAAGCTCACAACCATTGAGTCAATGATCGCAGGAGCAATTGCTGGAAGTGCAACGGTGCTCATCACCAACCCAATCTGGGTAGTGAACACACGAATGACGGCTCGCAAGTCTGAATCAGACGAGCCGGCGTTACCCGGTGCTCCCCCTAAGAGATCGCAGGCGTCTACTATTGCCACCTTGATAAGCCTGCTACGACAAGAAGGCCCGAAGGCTCTCTTTGCCGGTGTTCTTCCGGCACTTGTCCTTGTCATAAACCCAATCTTACAATACACCATTTTCGAGCAATTGAAAAATATGGTGGAGCGTCGGAGGCGCATGACACCGAAGGACGCCTTCTATCTGGGTGCCCTTGGCAAGATCCTGGCAACTTCCTTAACCTATCCCTACATTACAGTCAAAAGTCGGATGCACGTTGCCAGTAAGGATGGACCCAAAGAAAGTTTGAATGGAAGCGTCAAGAAGATCATCAAAGAGGAAGGATACGTGGGATTGTACAAAGGTGAGTGGAGTTCTGTTCTACGTCTCTGAGTGAGCCCCGGGATGACACTAGGATTTTCTGCAGGGATTGGACCAAAAGTGACGCAGAGTGCTATCACGGCAGCATTCTTGTTTGCGTTCAAAGACGTCCTCTACGATGCTATGGTATCCGTTCGGAAGAGAGGTAAAGTTTCCAGGTAGAAACACCCAAATTTTATCAAATCCCCGGGCTACAACATGGAGTGTCTTTCTAGACTCCGTTTTGTCATCCCGTGGCAAGTGTCGGATGAACCATTAACGGTTATCTGGTTGAAGTCATGCTTTCTGGTTTTGAGAAGTCAGTGCATGAGTCTTTTAAATATGATACATCATTTTTTCTTCTCTATAAAAGGAATAAATAGTCCTTATTACTATTGTTATATGCTATAAACACCCAATTTCTTCTCTAATTACCTTTATCTAGTACCTACCCTGCGTACCCTGCTTATCCTGTCTACACGATTTATTTTACCTGCTTTATTCACTCACTCTTCTACTTTAATTGCTAAATTAACAGGTAAAATTCTAACTATTGTGACGGTCTACAAAGGAGCTTAGTAAAAGACAAGTTTGTTTATGACTCGTAGTCAAAGAATTTTCCCATAGGGAGGAAAGGCTCTCTAGGAGGGAGGATCCAGGGCCTCTATATACTGCCTGGGGCTTTGCCTCAGGCAGGAATGCTTGCAGGATACCTAGGAATGTTCCTGGATGCCTACCGCGGAGGATCCGTTGATCCTATACTAACCAGAACGTTCCCCCGTACAGGGAAACTCCCTGGCTTCAGGAGGTAACAACTATATGAAGAGGATAATATTTAATTATTTATTTTTAGAGGAAGTAGCGTAGATAAAAATAAAGTAGGTACTAGGTAGAATAGGTAGGATAGATTGTGTAGGTGGGTGCTCTACCAAGTAGGTAATAAGATTAAGTTAGTTAGTGGTATAAGGCACTACTACTGGCAGAATTTATAATTAGAATTTGATTTTGTCGGTTGGCCACTATACCCTTCGTACGGAATAACTGGCGTAGGAGTAGGAGTCAGCTGACTAGTTAGAAGCCGGGTGGTAACATTAGACCGCCTACTGCTTTAGGCTCTAAGTACCTACCCAGAAACACGTCTTGAGGATCGCGATTCACGCGTTGTGGTTGCCAAGCAACTTATATACTGACCAGATCCTCACCTCACATTCACCTCTACCACCTTCACAGCTACTGCTTGCCTGAAGCCTCATGGTCTTCTTTCAGAATTTGCAAGCCACCAAAGTGTCTGACTACAGCTTACCTAGCTAGGTTGGGATTATTTGTGAGTTAGACTGGACGGCCGTTCAAGATTCCAACTTAAATTTTGAAATGATCAATAAGATCTATTATTTCCGACGCCTCCCTTTTCCTTCTATGCTCTCACTTCCCCATTACTGAGGACCTGGAAGACGCAATTTATTTATATTCTCGTCACTAAGAACCTCGGCGGACTGTGCTCAAAGAGAGGTTGTCATCGCCTTGAATCTGCCCTCTTTCTCCAGCAGCTCCAAGAATAGCCACGAATCAAATCCTCCCTTTGGAAATGGCATCCGTTCTCGTCACTTCATGCTGCAGGCCTATCTTATGATTTCTACTCAACTAATACTGAGGTATGGATAATCCAGCCTTGCTGCCCTTCTGAGCTTTGTCAGCCAATTGATTAGAGTCGGGTATAACGTCAAGACGTGGAAAACATTCAATAAGAGACAAATTCTTTTAAGATCTGTTATGTATGGTCCTCTCATTGCTTCATTCGTGTTTTGTTCGATGTGATGCTGATGCTCAGATTTCAATCAGATCTTTCTTACACTCTGTGGTGAAATTGGGCCTCTTCTCATGTTTGTCTGAGCATAAATCCAGGCCACCAGTTCCCATATGCCAATAAGCATGTCTAAAGAACATTCAAATATGAGAGGCCGAGGCTTTGGCTTAGGACCCTCACCTCACTTTGGGCAAATGGAACCTGAAAGTACCTCGATAATTGAGGAGGCTAAGAACCTATTGTCTCAATTCATGAAGCACTCACCCCACAAGACCCAAGAGTCTCAGAATTATGACGCCGGTGGTGGCTCAGAAGGCTGTGCGATTTCGCATAACACATTTAGTTCTTTGGAGAAGAAAGACTCTGGTTCTCCCATTCCACGACAAACAGCATGTGCGAGTTCTGAGAATTTCACGCCGGAGAGGAAGCCGGGAAAACACAACGCTTTGGCTCAACAATCGACATCCAAGGAGGTCTCAAACCGCCCAGCTTGTCGCCCTGAGCGCCAGCTTTCTACACACCCAAATCCCTCGATGGAACGCCTGAAAACTAGCCATGAACGCACAGCTGCTCTGCCTAGAAGTGGCCGAAGAAGCTCCTTTTCACCAAAGCAGACTTCCAAATCGGACTTGGAGAATAACCAGGATAGACACAACATATCAAGAATACGGCGCTCCGGTCGATCTAAATCCGGGCCTACCAATTATTTCCAGCCAATATGTCTATCTTCTGAGGAAGAATCAGATCATAGTCAAGTCCCACCATCGATACCAGTTTCGCAATGCAGGGCGTTTGACAGGGATGCTAAGTCCCCAGGTCACATGCACACAATCTTCTCTTCGCAAGGACTGCAAATCGTGAAGTCGCGCTTCAAAACAATGGCTGAGCTTCAAGACTTGGAGCAAGCACGCTACTCGAGAGAACTGAACCCTGCAAATTATGCTCGAAGGAGAATCAAGGGCCCCGAGACGGTTCTCCACATTGACTTTGGTGAAGATGAAATGAAATCCGTGTTAGAGCTGATGTCACTTCACGGCTTACAATGTACTGCAAACTCAGAACTATCACTTGTTGATCAGATCACACTAGCCCTGTCCGGCTGCACCGTGCCTGACGAAATAACCCGGAAATTATCAAGGTTATACAAACTTTCCCATGTGCTCACCAGCCAAGGAGTCCATGGTGACAGCACGTCGATTCTGAAACTATTACAATCCCCGGGCAAGAAGGAGCTCATTCATGCCAAAAGCCTAATCGCAGAAACTTTAGAGCAAGGAGAACAAAGCTGTGGCGGTCAGTGTGATTACCGGATCGAGGAAATTCACAGATTGGCCGCCTGTCTGCAGTGTGCTTTGAAAATCGACCGGCGCCACCATAGGGACATTGATGCGTTTCTCAAGGACGCTAAGAATGGGTGTCTCCCGTCAATTCCGTGTGTCGTGAAGGCCATCGCATCTCCTACCAAACTTTCGCCACCAGACGGCAGGCTTCCTGGGAGCTCTCAAAGGTTTGCCCAATTATTGCAAAGTAGAGAATTAGGATGCAGCGTGAGCAGAAAAATCAACTCTGATGTTGCAAGCAACTTCAGACCCTTCAAGAAATGGAAAGGAGCCTCGAATGACGTGGTAGCGATGGCGTGGTCACCCGACGGAACAAGATTTGCAGCTGGTGCCACAGCGCAGTGCGATGAGCACAACATGGAATATAATCGGAGAAATAACTTGCTACTCGGGGATTTGACCCGAAATTGTTTGGAAGAAATCCCCGATCATTGCATCCCTCGACCGGCTGGAGGTGCAAATCGGGCAGTGACTGATACTCGGCTTTTTATGAGCGTCACGGCTGTCCAATGGTTCCAAGACTTTCTGTTTACAGGAAGTTACGATAATACGGTGAAGCTGTGGGATTTGGCTGGGGGGAAAGCGTCATGTTATAAAACCCTCCGGCATGATTCCAAAGTGCTAGTCATGGCTCGTTCGACCTTTGAACCTAATGTGCTCGCCACTGGAACGCATGAGATTGGATTGTGGAATGTCAAAGAGTCTACATACACTTCTCTTGAGCTTCCCCAAAATGTCAGTAAGAAGGGCATTGAACTGGTGCCAACATCTTTAGCATGGGGTACTGTTCCCTCCACTAAGAACATACTGCTTGCTGGCTTGGCTGAAAGTGACGATGGGATCCCACAAAATGGTCATCTTGCAGCCTGGCGTGTTGAGGAAGGGAGGGCGAGTCCTCTGCCATCATTTTCGCCTAACTCCCAAAACATCTTCGACATCAAGTGGCATCCGACTTCGGAAGCTTTTGTTACGGGGAGCTCCACGGCACAGAGAAACATCGGGTCTGTCGTCCGTCACTACGAGCCTCTCAAAACGAGAATGGGGATTTACGAGTTTGATTGTCCTGCCTTGGATATTAACGAGGTTACGTTCTGCCCTACCAACTCAAATTATGTCACGGCCAGCTGTACCGACGGTAATACGTATGTTTGGGATTATCGCTATAACAACGATTTTGTCCTCAAGCTCCCGCATGGCGGGCCCCTCAATCAAACCGACGAGACCCTCACTAGAGAGCAAGCAGATGTGGGCGTGACTGTGGCATTTTGGGGAAATGAAGTCGATCAGTTTTACACCGGGGCATCAGACGGCATCCTCAAGAAGTGGAATATCCTTAAATCTCCGGAGGATGCACTTGTTGACGATATAGCTAGCCTGGAAGAAGAGATAACATGTGCAACGTTATCAGAGGATAAATCAAACCTCTTGGTCGGGGATGCTGCTGGCGGCATTCATGTGCTGTCATCGGGGCCCTTTTTCAACACCGACGAAAGGTCGTTCACATTCGAAAGTGCTCCTCAACTGGCCTATGAGGATTACGAGACGGAGCCCGAGTCAGGTGTCAAAGCTGGACGCAATTTGTTAGCATCTGGTCAGCTTTCCTTGCACCCTGTATATGGAGTTGGACAAGGACCTCATTACACCGGGCCTTTTGCTGCTTGGGCTCGACCGGAAGGGACAACGTGCGAGAATATTGCGCGAACGCAGCTCAGGAGGGAATTGCAGATTCGTCAACTTGACGGGACCCCCATCAAGTACCGCAGCGGGCTGGACGAACAATCTAGAAGGGACGTCGAGGCACAAATTCAACTCGCCCGTATCCGGAATCAGAGACAAAACGAGAACAAGAGAAAGAGGGACGACTCCGCAACCACCATGAACCGGACTGCATTTACCCATAATTTCATCGATCTGTGCAGCGATGACGACGACCATGCTCGTTCTTTGACGGTCCCCTCCGGTGAGCTCAAGCGGCGAGCAAAGGCACGGAGAAGCGAGCCTCTAATTGTGAACATGGAAAGTGTCATCATCGACCTTACTGGGGATACTGATAGCGAGGAAGAGGCGCTTGCAGACGCTCCGCCTGGAATGGAACTCGGTCGTGTTCCTGACCATTTTACATTTGACAGAGTTGACAGTTTGGAGAACGAGCGTGCCGAAGAACTAGAAGAGACACTATGTGAGGATTTTTGGTGGCCACCAAGCCACACGATTGATCCGAACATTCATGATGATGCAGTTTAGGGAAGGGGCGGGGGCGAGGGACTCTGCAAGGATATGGACTCATGCCAGCTCGGTGACGGGGATGTGTCTTGTACATACTTTTCTACTACTAGATAATAATACCTACATCGGAAATGACGGAGCCAACCATCACGTGGACGGGCACTGCCACGGTGGCTACCCGCACTAACCGGTTTCGTCAATACATGACTCGGTAAGTTATTGTGTACCTGACTTACACACGCAATGATATATTAGGCAGTTGACTACCCCAGAAGACTCTTTCCTTCCCTTCTCCCAGACATATTTTCGTCGCCGTTTCCAGCACGCGCATCCATTCTAATCGCACCTAATACAAACCCCCGAAACCTGCCAGAATTTTTGGGGAATCCTGAGAAGATCCCTCGCCTCGTCTAGAAAAGCACTGATGTCATTCGCCCCGCCTCCTGGGCCTCCGCCTCCATCTGTGCCGGAAGGATGGAAGGCTCAATTCGAGCCCCGGTATGAGCAATGGTAAGGCCTATCCGGCGCCCTGGGGACCCGCGCCGGCTTGCTAACGATTGCCCTAGGTTTTTCGTAAACCTGCACACTGGCAAATCCCAATGGGAACGTCCCGAGACCAGTCCCTCAGAAGAAAAATTACACGGGGGCCCGAGTGAGCCGCCGCCGTCTTACAATGACTCGGCACCGGGCGGGAACTCCTCTGCAGCGGTTGCCAAGGTGGACGAGAAGAAGTCGCTGGGATCTAATAACCCATACAACCACCCGGGACCGGGAAACAGCACTCTAGATAGCGACGCTCGCCTAGCAGCTCGACTACAGGCCGAAGAAGAGGCGCAGGCCCGAGCCAACAGCCCCGGCAACCAAGACCCTGGTGCCGCGGCGGACTACTACGCGGAAGCTTCGCGGCCGCTGCCATCAAGCCAGCGGGGCTCTGCGGCGTCAACACCCGTGCAGAATACTGCACCGGAGCAGAAGTCGCGCAGCAGAGGCTTCCTGAGTAAGTTGATGGGGAAGTCCTCCGGTGCCGGTGGTGGTGGCAGTGGCGCCGGGTTTGGAAGACCCCCTCCACCCATGCCCTACCAGCAACAGCAGCCGGCATATGGTTATCCTCAAGGAGGGTACGGTGGCTACCCACCCCAACCTGTCGGGTATGGATACTCAGGGTATCCGCCGCAGGGGGGCTATTACCCGCCTGCGATGCAACAACAACCGCCGCGCCGTTCGGGAATGGGGATGGGAACTGCGGGTGCTGCGGCCTTGGGTGTGGGTGGAGGGCTGATTGGCGGTGCTTTACTAGCAGATGCAATTGAGGATCATCATGATTATGACGATTATGGCGGCGGTGATGACTATGGCGGCGGCGATGATTTTGGAGGCGGCGACTTCTAATCCTGCGCCGTCTGTTCAGCCCTTGAAACGGACTCACGAAATGCTATGAATGAAAGATTTGTATCAGTATGAATCGGGTGGGGAGGGAGGCTCTGTCTTTTATGATTTTGGATTTTTATTTTTCTCTTTATCCCTCAAATTTGGAATCCTTCTTTCTTCAAATAATGTCGCACGCGCGGAATAGCGGTTGGGTGGTTGGTATATATGCTTAATATTTCAAATCTTCTTGGCCAGGTAAAAAGACATGTTTGCTGCAGATTAATCGACACTGGATGAAGCCAAGTTTTCAGCCCTCGATCTCCAGCCGGCACTCATTTGCGCCTGCGGGTAGAGTCGCCGCCGTCTCGGCCAGTCGATGCGCCTGGGGCTGCAGCAGTCTCCGCACCCGCCGCCGTTCGGGGAGCTGCGCCGGCCATCCATCCAGCCAGGTCGAAATTGCCCGGGACCCCGCCGCCACTAGCCATGGCATTTGCTCCGGAGATGGGAGAGCTGCGAGATTGTTTCTCGAATTCTTCACGCATTTCGGGGTCCACTACAGAGGGTGAAATTCTTCGTTAGCAAGGCTACATCCCAAAACGTATTTGACGGGCTCTGAACGGGCCAGAGAACAAGGAGACCCAAGAAAGAGGAACTCACTGTTTTCCATCAATTTCGGCATTCCAAATGTAAAACCCAAGGCCACCAAGGCCATTAGGATCATGGGGTTCTTGAACAAGGCCAGAGGGGAGACTGGGAAGGCGAGAGTTCAAATCCGTCAGCTTCCGGCATGGATATATATTCACTAGTCGGCGTAACCCGCAGGAGGTGTTTGGTTCTCACAGGTAGATCTTTGTTCGTAGAAAGCCCTCCTTGTCAGCAACTTGGCTTCCACCGTCACATCACCCGAGGCGGTGGCCGTCGCATCGACGACAAACTTCTCAGCCCCACGATTGTCCCAAGGGTTTCCGCGGAACGTTTCCCAGATGCCCAGCACGATGCCGTCGGCAGAGATGTCGACGCGATAGGGGACAAACACATATTCAGCGGACCGAATATCGAGCAAGTAGGACTGGGGCTTGGACGAGTGGAGGGACCGGAAGACGAAGGTGGCGGAGCGCGTCAATGAGGCGCTCAGCGGGTGGGCGACAGACTCGGCATCCTCTTTAAGATGTTCGGACGAGGGGAGAGAGGTCAAAGTGGCATGTGTCCCGGCTGGCAGGGCGTTGGGGTTGGGGAGCAGATTCGAAGGGGGGATGGTGACGGTGAGGGTTGAAGCTACCAGCGTTGCGGTGGCGGCAACGAGAAGCAGCAATACGTGCAGAAAGCGAGTCGGTGAGCCCATCGTTCCTTAGATGGTAGAAGTGAACGGGTTGAAGGGTCGCAAGGGTCGCAAGGGAGATTGGTGAGGAAGTCCGGCGTGGAGGGAGAGCAGATGGAAGAAAAGACGGCGGCGGTTCGAAGTCCCCAGTACATGCGGCATTACCTTTCAGTCTCGGCCGCAACCCCGACCGGGCCCTTCGTGTCTACACCAATATCCAGCCTTGAGCCTTCAGCCTCCAATCGCTTGGAGTCAGAAAGCTTATGGAAAAGATAATCTTCACGATTGATGATACGTATTCGAAATAGAACTAGGGTTTAAGATCCCTCTCAGTGTCTCCGCTCAACGGTAACTAGTTAGTAGGTATGTACATTGAACACATACAGAGACCCAACAACATCGCCTGTCAAAGTTGTCCTCCCTTCTCATTTCCCAACAATCTCTATAATATAAACAAAATCACAGAAATAAATAAGTAAATATAGATATATGTATATATATCGAAAGGAAACTCGTGTGTCTACAGTTTGGCCCGAGGACTAGACTGCTCCGCCGTCGCCTGGGTGTAGAGGTCATCTAGGAGTGCACGGTATTGCTTTGCAGCTGGAGGGCGCTTCAGCTTCAAACTGAAGATTAAAAAAGCAAAGGTTAGTACGATGATCGCTGGATGGTAATGCAACTCAGAGTCCACTTACGTTGGCGTTAGCAGGTTGTTCTCCACGGTGAACGGGTCGATCATCAACGCGCAGTTCTTGACCCGTTCATATCCTGCCAGCTTGTGCTTCTTAGCAACCCGCTCGAAATCCTTGAGCACGGCCGCCCGGATCTTCTCGTTGTTCAGAACAGATTTGATATCGGCCTCGCTGATGGTCCGGCCGAGCACTTTGCTAGCGAATGGCGCGAACATGTCGGGCTGAACTCCGAAGATGCCCACCAAGAACGTTTGAACGCTCTCGCCATGGATATAACCTTGGGCAAAGTACCCCAATTCGGACAGGTAGACACCCTCCAGTCGCTCCGGTGAAATGTACTCGCCCTGGGCCAGCTTCAGAACGTTCTTCCGACGATCGATGATAACGATGCGGCCCTTTTCGTCGATGGTACAAACGTCGCCGGTCTGGAACCATCCGTCTTCCGTCATCGCCTTGGAGGTCTCCTCCGGGTTCTTGAAATACTCGCGGAAAACATTGGGGCCCCGGAGGAGCAGTTCGCCGCGAGGGTACGGCTTGTCATCGACCGAGTAATCCATGTCGGGCAGAGAGGCCAGACAAGCTTCCGTGCAGGGAGCGAGCCGGCCGCAGTTCCCGGCAGTGAGGTCATTGGGGGCCTGAGCGCAAGCCATGGCGTAGGTTTCGGTAAGACCGTAACCCTGCGCGAAATCCACCCCGAGAGCGACCCGCAAGAAGTCGTGCAGGGAAGGGTCCAGCGGCGCGGAGCCGGAAACCATGATTCGCGTGCGTTCCAAACCCAGAGCGCTAGCGACCTTCTTAGCCCAGATGCGATCGTACAAAGCGTGGTTTACGGAAGCCTTGGAAGAATCGGAGGTTTTCAGGTTTGCCATCTTGGTCGAGACGATGTGTCGCGAGAGCGCGCCCTTGAAACCGGGCTGCTCGGTGGTCGAAGCACGGATTGCGTTTCCAAAGCGACTGTATAGACGAGGCACAGACATGAACCCCGTAGGTTTCAGTATCTTCAGATCGTCAACCAGCTCCACAATATTGCCATGGAAGTACCCAATCCGAGCACCGGCCCAGAAGGCCGCATGTTCCGACAAACGTGCGTAGATATGGGCAAGTGGAAGATACGATGCCATCGTATCGCCTTTGGCTTGTTCGACCGTGACCAGAGCACCCGTGGTGGCGGCCACGGCATTCTCGTGTGTCAGAACCACTCCCTTGGGAGGTCCGGTCGTCCCAGAAGTGTAGTTGATGGTGACAATGTCCGAAGGCGAGGGGGCCTTGCAAGGACGATTGGCGGAAGCGCCCAGCTCCTCAACCTGATCCATCGTGTAGATGGCGACGTCTTGTCCGGCAGCGACGGACTCGAGGAGGGCCCGCTTCGAATGGCCGGCCTGTTCACCAGCGTCCAAGGGATCGAGACTGACGATGATCTTCAGATTTGGCAGCAGAGGCTTCAACTTGAGCAACGTGGGGATATGTGGCAGCGAGGTCACGACGCAGTGAAGCTCCGCGTGATTGATGATGTACTCGGTGGCATCCGCGGCCAGAACGTCGTAAATGGATACGGAAAAGAGGCTCTGGGACATGCACGCAAGGTCTGCGACGCCAAATTCAGCTCCACGCCGTTATCGGGGAGAAGGAAGTTTAAGGGGAGGAATCATACCGGTAATTTGCCATTCCGGGCGGTTTTGACACCACAGACCAACACCATACTGACCGGGACGGTGGCAGTCGTGCTTCAGATGCAATTCCACCAGGCCGGCACCAAAGGCCGCCCGCCGCTGTTGGACCGTCTGGTAGTCAATCCACTGGTATGAGCCGAAAGTTTTGGTATCCTGGTTATAAGGGCGCCATCCGAGACAGTGGTTTTTGGGAACTCGGTTGGCGGTTGACTCGAATGCGTCGTGTGCGGTGAGGACCTGGAGAGCGGAGACGGGGTGTCGGTTAACACGGGGGCCCAATATACAGTATACACCAGGCGGTGCCGGCTATGCACATACCTGCGGATCTAACGTCTTCACAAGCCCCTTCTGGGCGCTGTGGGCGCGGTAGATCTTGCTCCTACCGGGCTTTTCGGTTCCCGGCAGGCCGACGGAGTAAGGAGTTCCTTTCGGAGGCTCCTGTCTCAGCTCGTCCGCCCGAGCGAGATGCGGCGCTTGTTGAGCGAAAAGCATAATCTATCGCAGAGACGGCCGAGTCAGTCAGAGTCCATCCAAAGCTTTTTGGGGGGGGGGAAGGCGCAGAACTCCAGGCGAACTCACCGATCAACACAACTCTGTAGGTAACGACAGATGACGAGTCGTGTTCAAAGCGAGGGGGGGTAGACAGTAGAAGAGAGGGATGGAGGGAGGGAGAGAAAGAAAAGAGAAGGAAGGGGAGGTAAGTATGAAGACATGGACCGGCGACTCCGTGACAATAATCAACACTTATGCAAAGCATGCGGGTCCCGGAAGGCCGCTGACTGGCGGACGGTTGGCTTTCGCCTCCACGCGACACAAAACGAACCTCGGCATTTCCCCGTCCGGGGGGAAGGTCGGGCTCCCCTTAACTTTGGGGCAGATGATGCCGAGGGGGATTCAATTCAACGTTTCTCCTGCTTCCTTCATGACCGGGGTTTCATGTGAACGCTGCACTTACACCTTTAAGCTTTGTATCTACGGTTTTTGAATCCGTTTCCACATTTTAGGGATTTTTTTTTAACGTTTTTCTGTTAATTTACCCCCACCCAAAAATCAAGATCGAACCTACTGGCTCAGTGGCTACTGGCTACTCAGACTGACTTACTCCCTGCGGCCTGGAAGGATTGGGTGAAATCCGCAATAATATCGTCGATATGTTCGGTGCCCACCGATATCCGTATCCCGTCCTCAGTGACCCCGGAATCCAGGCGTTCCTGCTCCGTCAGCTGCTCGTGCGTGGTTGACCAAGGGTGGATGGCCAGCGTTTTGGAATCGCCCACGCTGCGTCGGTCCCGGTTAGTCGGATATTCTGCAATCACACACGCCAGTAAATCGCGGACTAGGGGGAAAAAACCTACTTGGCAAGATTGGAGATCAATTTGAAGCCGTCGACGACCTGACTACCGGCCGCCGCGCCCCCCTTGACGCCGAAGGAAAAAACACCGCCAAACCCGCGCGGCAAATAGCGCCGGGCGGTTTCGTGGCTGGGGTGGTTTGCTAATCCGGGGTACGAGACCCAACTTACGTTCTCGTTGTTCCGAAGCCAGTCAACCAAAACCCGTGCGTTGTCTGCGTGGCGCTCGGCACGCAGACTGAGGGTCTCCAGCCCCAGCAAGAGCTGCTGCGCGGCGAAGGGGTTGAGCGCGGAACCCACGTCGCGGAGGATTTCCACGCGAACCCGGATCGCAAACGCAAGCGGACCGAAGGTCTCCCAGAATTTCAGGCCGTGATAGCCTTGGGAGGGCTCGACGAACTGGGGGAAGCGGGCGGCGTGTTTGCCCCAGTCAAACTTCCCGCTGTCGACCACGACGCCGCCGATGGTGGTGCCGTGGCCCCCGATCCATTTGGTTGCGCTGTGGACGACTATGTCGGCCCCGTGCTCGATGGGACGACAGAAGTAACCGCCAGCCCCAAATGTGTTGTCGACCTAGCCATTACCGGACAGAGGGGGTTAGTAGGCCGCCACGTTCGTTTTGGTCATCGTTGGTACTCACCACCAACGGAACGCCCTTTTCATGAGCGACCTTGGCAATTGCCTCGAAGTCAGGTACGTTGTACCGAGGGTTTCCGATTGTCTCGACGTAGACGGCCTTCGTGTGGTCATCGATGGCAGCGGCAATGTCACTCGGGTTTTCTCCCTGTATGAATTTGGTGGTGATTCCCAGCCGCGGGAACAGGACCTTGAACTGATTATACGTGCCGCCGTATAAGTTACTGGTCGACACGATGTTGTCGCCAGCATGCGCCAGCGCCGAGATTGCCATGAACTGAGCGGCCTGTCCCGAAGAGGCTGCCACGGCCGCCACTCCCCCTTCCAGGGCCGCAATTCGTTTTTCAAAGACATCCACCGTCGGCTAGTGAAGACGTGGTAGTGAGCAACTCCGCGTCAACCGGAAACGGGGCCCAGATTCCACCATGACTCACATTCATGATTCGACTGTAGATGTTGCCGAACTCTTTAAGGCCGAAGAGCCTGGCCCCATGTGCCGAATCATTGAACTGGTACGACTGCATAGACCGTCAGTTTCAGCCGCGGAGTACTCTGGCCGGCGCATGCCTACCGTAGTCGCGTAGATGGGCACTGCCCGGGAATTGGTGGCCGAGTCAGGTTCATGACTTGAAAGAAGCCGGTTAGCACGCGAATTCCGCCGTCCTGAGGGTAAGGATCCAATCACCCGGCATGGAGTTGTAGCGTTTCGAATCGAGGCTGCGGCGAGTTTGACATGGCGGGGTGCGAAATAGCGGTAGGGCTGTCATGGCAAGAGGGGCAGAAGAGAAGACGGGCAATATGAGTGAGCGCCGGGGAAATGGGGGGAGCGCCAGGATGGCGTGATTAAACATAGATCCGACCTGATCTTCCACGGTAGGATTTACATGTACAGGGTACGGATACAATTGTACATACTCCGTACGGTGTAAACACAGCCTTACAGTCACAGCCCCCGGTGACCAGCGCAGACCAGCGCAGACCGCCGAGGCGCTTGTCGTCATACCTTTCAAAGGCTGCCGCGTTAATCACAAGCAAGCTTCACAAGCCAATGATGCTCTCCATCGTGCGCCCCCTCGGGTGACGATCGTATCAATAAATTGGTGATGACGATAGTCTTCTGCCATCCTGCTTTCTCAATTTAAGGCAGTCTTCCTATCGACCTTCCCTGACCACCATCCACCCCCGGATTACTACTACTACTACCACTACTTCTCTCTATCCGTGATATCAACGAGCAACTCTACACACAAAACAGAATACCCATTCAAGCGCGCCATGGCAATTCCCTGGATTTATCCCGTTCGGGTCATTCAGGTCATCTTCGCCATTATTGTTCTCGGCTTGACCGCGTATAGTGCGTCAACACTTCTCTCTCTCTCCTCTACCCGGCGCCGGGTTTTTTGATCGGCCTATGATTGTTAACACCCTCTATAGTCATCAGCCTTTGGCAAGGCAGCGACACCGTCAATCTTATGCTCTTCAATGGCATCTGGACGGCGTTTTTCGCAACGCCCTATCTTGCCCTCGCCCCGTTGTACTTTCCTGACCTCGCACATCGGTTGGTCATCCCGGCCGTCGAGGTGGTTACCATGATCTTTTGGTTCGCCGGGTTCATTGCTCTGGGTGCTTTACTGCCGGCCCCAGACTACTGTCACTGGAGCGCTTGCAACTCGGCGCAAGCGGCAACGATATTCGGGGCGTTCGAGTGGTATGCACCTCCCCCGTCCAAGACATCTGTCGATTGCAGCTAACGTGGCTGGGCATAACTAGGGCATTGTTCGTGGCCACGAGCGTGGTTTCCGTTCTTGGCGCTCTGCGATCTAGATCGAGCTCTCCCAGTACGAAACCTGCCCCTGAAACCTCTGCTCACGTTGGCGTCTAAACGACCTTATAGCCGCGGTTCCGTGAAGGTTCTCTGTCGGCTCTCGGCACTCAATAATGACAATGGCAGAAGAGTGTGGGGCCATTCATCCAAGTTGGTCAAGATGTCATGATGGCAATCAAAGGACGACGACACGGACTTCTCTCTCTCTCTTGTGTATTTAACCGTATACCCCCTGGTGTTCGAATTGTATTTACCTTTGCATATGTCCTATTGTGGGCCATATTAAAATATCTTCATAGCAGATAGTTTCTATGGACCGTGGATGGGCGATCCAGGATAATATTAGTATAATTATTAATTAGTGAAGGATAAATAGTTAACGTATTTCACTACCGAGCGTGACACACCACCGAGCGTGACACCTCTGTATTCCATATAAAATGGCACCTTTTTATACTCTAATATCTCAACAACAAGTAAGTTTAGAGGTATATAGTCAAATATATAGTCTAAATTAAGTATCTCAAGTTTTAGCCCACTAAACTAAGTAGATCTTTAGGTAACATATATAACAGCTGTATTTTTGGTATTTTATAATATTCTAGAATTAGAAGCTAAATATAAGACTATAGAGTCTAAAAAGAAGTATTCGTAATCCTGAAAGGATATATATCTTAGGTGATTTATACTATTGCTCTAAACCTACTTGTTGTTGAGATATTAGTATAAAAAGGTGCCATTTTATATGGAATACAGTGTCACGCTCGGTGGTGTGTCACGCTCGGTAGTGAAATACGTTACTGTAGTCAGTGACTGAAGTTACTAAGATTTACTTCTGCAATCACGTGGGAAGATTTAAGGCTTCCGCCTTACGGAGCACCGACAGTTATCGCCACTGACAAAATGTTCGCCGTAGATTCAGGCCTCTCCGGCGGCAAAACCGTTCGCCACCGCACGCTCCAGATCTGATGCCGATTGAATTCCACGGGCGAGTCCGCCGAGTCGACACTCGACACTCGACGCGAAAAAGAACTTTTCCCTCCCCACTTCATTCTACGCTCAGCATGGCGACCCACTTGGTCAACCGCCCCGCTGATTCGCCTATCCCCCTCGTGGAAGATGGAAAATTCGGATGAGAAAATTCCAAAAAAAAAGAGGGAGAGAGAGAGACAGGCGGCGAGAAAGGAGGGGAAGGCAAGAAAAAAAAAAAAGAGGAGTACATACTCTGTACTTCTATGCAAAGCTTTCTTAGATTGATCTCTACTTCAAAGCCGACCATCTATCAACGTTGCATTCGTCTCAGTTAGTGCCTGAGGATAGCCGGCCTCCGCTCAACTCAGTCATTCTTTTTACATAACATCTTCCGGGCCTGAGTACATAATTCCATTATCTCGATCTCTATCATTCGTCACTCGCTTTATCGCTGATATATCGGCCGTCGAAAGAGGGGACAGTTGCGTTTCCCTGCTATAAATCATCGACCTTGTTTCTCTACTCCACAGGAAAGTAATTCGGCGGAGTAGTACCTTTTTTATCTCTATATTTTTCTTGGCTATTATTCAACTCTCTATTTCCAATCTCTTCGGCGAGCGAGAAATCGGAATTGAGAAAACCCTAGGTGGTGACTCAAGCGTGTTTGGTGGAGCCGCCTTCGCCTTCCCTCACAACCTTGACACATTTTTTCCCCTTGGGTTCCCCGACATCTTTCATTCACCACACTTCTTTGTCGATACCAATTGGACTGTTGGACGGCCAAACATGGCCTCTGATAACGAGGTCAACAGCACGCCAAAATTTGCCGGTGATAAGGGCATGATGCCCAACGAGGAACCCATCCAGTTCGACTCTACTAACGCGTCGCCGGATTTGCAAGATGTGGACTGCGAGAAACATGGCGCAGGTCGCGAGTCAAACCCGCTGCCTGATCTGAAGCGGAAATTGAAGAGCAGGCACTTGCAGATGATTGCCATTGGTAGGTCTAGAACACCTCTTCCCTCTGGTATGTTGCCCGACTATCAAATGCTGACCCGTGCCTAGGCGGTACAATTGGAACAGGACTTTTCATCAGCAGCGGTACTGCGATTGCCAAAGCGGGCCCTGTCGGTGCGCTCATCGCCTATCTCTTCGTCGGCTCGATCGTGTACTCCGTCATGACCTCGTTGGGAGAAATTGCAACTTACATTCCGATTCCCGGTGCCTTTACTTCCTATGCCGCCCGCTTGATTGACCCCAGTCTGGGGTTTGCCATGGGCTGGATCTATTGGTTCTCTTGGGCCAGTACCTTCGCCCTTGAGTTGACGGCTACGGGTTTGATCATACAGTTCTGGGACAAGGACATCAATATCGCTATCTTCATCGCCATCTTCTGGGTCGTCATTACCCTCTTCAACTTCCTGCCCGTCAGCTTTTATGGAGAGTTAGAGTTTTGGTTTTCCAGCATCAAAGTACTTACGGTTGTCGGGTTTATGATTTTTGCAATTTGCATCGATGCCGGCGCCGGTGGGAGGGACTACATCGGATTTCACTATTGGGTCAACCCTGGTCCGTTTTCGCCGTACGAGGGGATCTCGCCCGATTCGAAGGCCAAGTTTGTGGGCTTCTGGGCGGTGCTTATCCAGGCTGGCTTTTCGTACCAAGGGACCGAGTTGGTCGGTATTGCTGCCGGTGAGACCGAGAATCCCCGCAAAACCGTTCCCTCCGCTATTCGCAAGACCTTCTACCGCATCCTATTCTTCTTCGTCTTGACAATCTTCTTTATCGGCCTGCTGGTTCCTTACACCAATGACGACCTTCTCACCGACGGCAATGATGCCAATTCCTCGCCTTTCGTCATCGCCGCCAGACTGGCCGGTGTCAAGATCTTACCCTCTATTATCAACGCAGTTTTGTTGACGGTGGTTCTTTCTGCTGCCAACTCCAACGTATATAGCGGGAGCCGTATTCTGATCGGCTTGGCCCAGGAAGGGTTTGCCCCGCGTTGGTTCAAAAAGACCACAAAGCAAGGCGTACCGTACTTCGGCGTTGCATTTACCGCCGCCTTTGGCCTACTTGGTTTCATGAACGTCTCCAACGCTGGCAGCACGGTATTCAACTGGCTTCTGAATATTGCCGGTGTTGCCGGCTTCATCACCTGGTCATCGCTTAATGCCTGCCACCTGGCTTTTATGCGTGCCCTGAAGGCTCGCAACATCTCCCGTGACCTTCTTCCCTATAAGGCCGTGTGGCAACCATGGTATGCCTGGTATGGCCTTTTCTTCAACGTCCTGATCATCTTGACTCAAGGGTTCACCGCCTTCATCCCCACTTTCAGCGTGACCGATTTTTTCATTGCCTACCTCAGTTTGATTCTCTTCGTGGTGCTGTATGTGGGCCATAAAATCGTTTACCGCACTCGTTTCGTGCGTCCTATCGAGGCCGATATCGATACCGGTCGCACCGCACTTGAGAATGAGTCGTGGGAAACATCCGCGCCCACCACAAAGTGGTATCACCGACTGAAGCTCCGGTAGACCTTTCAATCGGGGGGTGGGTGATTAGGAGAAGAAAAGCCAAGTTTTTCTGCCATTCAGAGCTATTCCCGGTGTTTCTTTTTCTTCGACATGCAAATTGTTCTACCTCGATACATTGCATATACGTCATGATGCATTGAGACATGATTTCACGACGTAGAGTCGGTTAAAGAGTTACGAAGCGCCTCATGCCGAAAGGTTGCCATCACAGGTGGATCTCGCAATCTATTGTTCCCTTAAAATCAATTTTGTATATTATCTAGTGACTGTTTCTATTTTGGGCATTGGCACGGAGTTGGGTGAAATCGTTGCTTCGAGATATTGCATGTATCCCCTGTGTTCTAGTACTGTCTAATTATTAAATATAAATATTTTCTATTCTGTTGAGTCTGTTAGCATCGTCTCTCCTACTTTCATAGTTAAGCAGAAGTGACCGTAATGACAAGATTCCCATCAATGCTTGAGGCGTAGGCTGCCAACCAAATGTGTAGCCCTTTGCCGATCCCACTATTCCTACAGATCTAATGCAATGAAAATCTTCTTTCTTTCCCTTCGATCGCCTAGCCGAATTCACCAAAGTCCTACTGAGTTCTTACAATTCTCCTACGCGTGGCGATATAGAATGATGAAAGAGCTATGAGATCTGAACAAAGGTATCAAGATAATTGAATAACACGAGGTCGATTGTCAGAGGAAACGGCAGATACAGACGACAGGTTTGCTAATTTGCGAAGAATGCAGCAAATAAATCCACAAGGCCACCCAAATCCAAGGACGTAAAAAAGAAGAGTGTCTTATGTCGTGTACAGAAAAAAGGAAACAAAGAACGGCGCCGTTCACAGCCAGGGAGCCTAGCAAAGCAGGTGGCCTATATCACGAAGACATGAGCTCTGTGGTATGCTTGAAGACGGCACGTGAATAAGGGAAGCCGTTTCATCGAGCCATGTAGATGGGCATCGGGTGTCTTGACAACCCCAGGCACGATTAGTCCCTCCGCAGAAACAAAAGGAATCAAACTAAGAAAGAAGAAAAAACAAACGAAAGAACCCCTTGAGACACAAAGATACCCCTACCCCCCTTCAAGAGACCATCCTGAACCTCAAACGCCGAGTTCCCAGATCGAAAGAGGATTTACAACAGAAGCTAAACCAAATAAAGATAGACAACGGAGAAATTCACGTAGCAAGACAAGAATCGAATGTAAGAGTTACGAACACGCCTCCCTGAGAGTGAAAATCAATTACCTCCCTGGCCGGGGGGCGGGGGCTGCGCAGAGCCACCGGAGCCAGCCTGCGCTCCACCCATCATGAACCCAGGGGGAAACATGCCGGGGATGGGAACTGAAAAACCGAAGCTCGGCACCGTGGGCGGCACGCCGACGTTATTGGCACTGGCGACATCGCGGTCGGCGTGACCGCCGCCCATACCGCCACCCATTCCCGTCGGAGGTTCGGGGCGACGGAAACGATCTTGCTGGGTGCGAGAGGACACCGGGCCACGCTTACCTCCGGTATCCGTGGCAATCCGACGACTGATGGCTATTGAGCTAGTTAGCTTTGACATCGGGGTAGGCCCGCAGAAGGGAAACACCAACCTTTCGAGGAAACTCCGGCGCCGATTTCGATATCCGGCTCCTCCACAACCATGCCCGCGTCGATGGGCACTCCGCCCGTTCCACCGTACTCCGCGGTCAACATCCACTTACGGTCTGCTTCGGTGAGTCTATCTATCGGGATGATACTGATGCCGGTCTGATAGTCACTGCAATCGCGCGGACCAAATCCCACACCCCATCGAGTCTAGACCGGTCAGCTCCCCGCAGGGGGTATAAGAAGGAAATTCCGGGACTTACTCGAAGTTGCATTTCGCCCGACCTGTACGATTCCATGCCGTCGCGAGCACGGATGGCATCTTCGCGGCCGATCATCTTGATGAAGGCGTGGCGTTTGTCGATGTTGACAATGCAGGTCTGAACGATGCCGAATTTGCCGAATAGCCCGCGAAGGGCAGACTCCGAGGACCTAAAAGCCAGCGCAGTTAGTGGGGACGAACGATAGAATTTTGAGAGGCCGTGGCGGTTAAGGAACTTACGTGACACCGCCGACAAACAGGGTACGGCTCAGAACTTTGATGTGGTTTTGACCGATAGAATAGTCCCACTCGATGAACTTCTTGCCGGGAGGAGGCAAGGCCAGATCCTTGCGGGGGGAAGGGGAGCGACGTCTGCGGCCGGGAGGGCTGCGTTGACGATAGTCGGCAGCGCGACGGCCACGGGGATCACCGCCGCGGCGACCGGGCGAGTCGCCATGGTACTCGCCGTAGACGGGGCTGTCACGGCGGCGCGGAGGGGAGGGACGGCGGTCCCAGCCGGGCGAGCGAGAGCGACCGCGGTGGTACTGGCCGGGCGGGGAGCGCATGAAGTCGCGCGGGTCGCGGTCGAAGTCACGTGCCTGCGAGTCGGGACGGGCCCCCCAGGCATTGACGTTCTGGCCCGGCATGCTGAAGCCGCCCGGCGCCTGGCCGGCTGTCATGTTGGTTAGGAGCTGTAGCGCGGGGAGCCACTGCTCTTGCGGGATTCCCTGCGCGGCTAAGGCCTGCAATAGCTGGAGCTGCTGCTGCAGAGGGTCCGGCCCCATCGAGGGTGTCTGCTGAGTCGGTGCTGCAGTGGCCTGCGGCAGTAGCGCCGCCAGTGGGTTCGGCGCCGCGCCCAATGGATTGGGAGTCTGGCTCTGGCTCTGCGGCTGAACCAGCCCTGGGCTCGCACCGGGGACGCTCCCCAGAGCCGCGAACGGCGTGCCCATCACACCCGCAGCATAAGGATTTACGCCCGCCTGTCCGTTGGAAGGGTGGGAAGCTGGGTCTACGGATGGCGGCATGGGGGGCGCAACGGTACTCGGCTGGCTCAGAGCATGAAGAGGGTTAGTTTGCGGCGCCACTGGCGGAGCCGGTGCCGGCGCTGCGGTATTCTGCTTGGCCATGTCCGCCAGGGCCTTCAGGATACTGGAGGTGTCAGGCGCTGACTGAGCAGGGGTCGAAGAGCTTGCACCATTCGGCGCTTGCTGCTGCTGCTGCGGACCTCCTAGCGGGATGTAGTTCGGGGCCGGAGACCCTTCAGGAGTCGTGGATTCCACATCTATAACGCATCAGACAGACATTCTCAACCAGCATCGCGGGTTCGCTTTGGTGAGAGGGGAAAGGGGAGAAGGATATGGGCTTACTGTGCGAAGCGGGCGCATTTAGTTTGTTCTTGAAGGAGGCAAGCATCGGGGCGGGAAAGGTGTATCCACGCTCCCAGATATCAACCAGTTTCCTGATTTTTTCCTATATGAAGACACAAGCCAATACGTAAGTTGCACTATTCGCCACGGGGCCGGTTCTATGCAGAGAATGGGGAGTATATAGCGGGAGATACGTAAATCAAGACTTATAAAGGCCAGGGCGGGATCCAAGCAGAGATCACCGCGTCTTACTGGCCCTATGCATGCTCGCAAGTCTCGTGGAAATTCGACGATTCTTCACATATTGCATCTAGAGCGTACCTTTTGATCTTCGGGAGCATTGTTTATGATATCAGTCATCAAGACAGGTAATAATTCGGTCACTCTGTTAACGCCAGCGGCAAAGGTTCCGTCCGGAGCGGCACTGCCAGGCGGCTGTCCTGCCTTGCGCGCTGCTTCTACCCACTGTCGAGTTACAGAGTCTACGACATAGAGTACGCCCAATTTGTGTGTTCCTGGTGCCTTTTTGAAGTGTGTATAGATCTTCTGGATGAGGACGGATTCGTTCTGCAGCGGACGATGACGGTTAGCCTGGTCGCTGCCCTCGTGCAGCGCGATTCAGATGGGAGGAATGGGGATGCATTACCTGAACGTTCGCCGTACAAAGCGAGGTGATACTGTTGATCTTAGAGCCCGAAACACCCGGGGGTTTAAGAGCAAGCATAGACTGGAGATAGCTATCCAGTTCTGCTACAGCAGAAGACATGGTGGGCGGAGTATTATTGGGGTTGAGAACCCGGTTCCAGTACGGAAAAAAAGAACGGAAGAAATGTGGTCCAAGGGTGCTTGATTATCGCTTCAGATAATATAAAGTGTCACCGACTGCCGGAGGATACCAGGGATCAGGCCCTTTCTACCGGGAGATCCCGTACTGAGTGTTGATAGGATATTGTGATGGTTTCTTAGAGTGAGATATCAGAAATTTCTCGAGATTCTTGGCCTCCCAACGTATGGAAAAAGTGATGTCTTAAGCGGACTCCTGATTGTGTCACTACGGACTTGCGAGCGTACACAGGCACCCACAGGAGAATCCCGCCTACAGCTGGAGCACAGCCAAGCGATCGTGTCCAGAGCTTTGCGACTCGCGAACGAGCACGTGTACACGTATGTACGAGTTAAAGGTGAGAGATGTGAAAAGAGCTGGGAAAGTGATGCAGGCAATCAAGTGAGGTGAAAATGATGAAGTTACAATGTGGGCGACGTGGTGAATGACAGAAAGGAGATGAAACTCAATGATAAAGGGCAGTTTGGAAAAAGAAGAAAGGAGGTCCCCGTTCAAAGGGAAGGAGTTTGGCGAGGAGGTCAGGTGAGGGAAAATTTCCCTGCCGACGCTAGTCCTGAGCAGGAAGTCTTTCGCCTCAGGCTGCAGTTATTCACGTGCAATCACGTGCATCAAGGGGTTTGACTGACTCAGCGGTGTCGGTGAATCAAAAGGGCTAAACCCACTAACTCCGTAGGTGCGCAGCATGAATCGTTTCGGCGTGAGAGCCGGGTTCCACCGAAAGACTTTCTATTTTCTGCACAGTGCATAGTACTCTGTACGGAATATGTACATTATATGTACTCTGGAGTAGGGTGTAAGGTGTAGTTACACGGTACAAATGCTTGGGCATATTCACATTCTTCCTCAACACTGGCGTGCTGACCGCTGAGTACCTACCTGTTGGTACATAGTTATCATCCTCCACATGAACGTAGCGATTGTTGGCGGCTTTGGAGGATCAGGATGGCCGTGTGCCGAGCCGACGTCATTCCCTCAGCACTACTCCGTTTACGGAGCGCCGAGATCGTCAATAAAACTCCGTGCTGGTTCAATGGTAGCAAAAGAAAGGATCATATCTCGCAGATATCCGGTCCATTTAAGCTGTCCATGACTCCGTAGTTCCGAAGATAAGATCCTTCCTTGATCTGAGGGTTGCTACGGAGACTACATAATAAGAAATTCGTAAGGGCTTAACTGGGTAACTACCGTGTCCTCCGTGAGTAGAAGCACTTCGTATTCTGTCACTACATTCAGAAACTTCTGTTTTTTCCTAGAAGGCTGTAGTGCCCATTGCACCATTCGTCTAGTTACCCCGTACTCCATGCATATGAAGTATCTGGAAGGACAGTAATTACCTAGTAGTACCTGTAGTTACCTACTACTCCGTACTCAGCAAGTTGTCCGGTCGATGACAGAATAAAATCTCTCGGGAGACCGGGCGGACACGGTGGGAATGGCGTTACCATACCGTACAGCATCCCTCCCGAAAGACTCCCGAGCTTCAAAGCCTTGTTTGGTTGCCGGTCGTTACCCGTACAGTCCGCGTACCGGCTGTACCGTTACGGCCAGATGGAAAAAAAAGGCCTGTCCCAAGAGCTTCTCCCGAGTCTCCTTAGCATCTTTTCTTTCTTACCTCTTCTCCCCATCCTCCTCCTTCTCCTTTTCAACTCTTCAACCACATCCCCAATCATCATGGCCTCCACGTTGCGACTTGGAACCTCCGCTATTCGCTCCACCACTCTGGCTAGCAAGCCGGCTGTGCAGTCTGCTGCCTTGAATGGCTTGCGCTGCTACTCTACCGGCAAGGCCAAGGTACGTTCATCATCGGATTGTTCGGCCACTGTCCTTGACTACCTTTTGCTAACCTCGTATCTTCTTAATCTAGTCCCTGAAGGAGACTTTCGCCGACAAGCTTCCCGCTGAGCTCGAGAAGGTCAAGAAGCTCCGGAAGTACGCATTCGTCTTGCCTCAGATCACACACTTCCACTATTGCTAACCACTCATTCGAAAACTTGTAGAGAGCATGGCCACAAGGTGATCGGTGAGGTCACCCTTGACCAGGCCTACGGTGGTGCCCGTGGCATCAAGGCCCTGGTTTGGGAGGTACTGATTGACTCTCCGGACTCGCATTCCCTACGAACCCTGGCTAATATTATTCCCAGGGCTCTGTTCTGGACTCCGAGGAGGGTATCCGCTTCCGTGGCCGCACCGTAAGTCCCAGCCCTGCCTATGCTGTTCAGATTTCATCCCCTAACACTCGGTCAGATCCCCGAGTGCCAGGAACTTCTCCCCAAGGCCCCTGGTGGCGAGGAGCCTCTCCCCGAAGGTAAGAAAAATTCAACCGGCAGGGATCGGTACATTGAAGCCATCTGAACGCGTTGCTAATGGGCTTCAGGTCTCTTCTGGCTCCTGTTGACCGGTGAGGTCCCCTCCGAGCAGCAGGTTCGCGACCTGTCTGCCGAGTGGGCTGCTCGCTCCGATCTCCCCAAGTTCATTGAGGAGCTTATCGACCGCTGCCCTAGCACTTTGCACCCTATGTCCCAGTTCTCGTTGGCCGTCACTGCCCTCGAGCACGAGTCTGCCTTCGCCAAGGCCTACGCCAAGGGCATGAACAAGAAGGACTACTGGAACTACACTTTCGAGGACTCCATGGACCTCATTGCCAAGCTGCCTACCATTGCCGCCAAGATCTACCGCAACGTCTTCAAGGACGGCAAGGTCGCTCCCATCCAGAAGGACAAGGACTACTCCTACAACTTGGCCAACCAGCTCGGCTTCGGCGACAACAAGGACTTCGTTGAGCTCATGCGTCTGTACCTCACCATCCACTCTGACCACGAGGGTGGCAACGTCAGCGCCCACACCACCCACCTTGTCGGTAGCGCTCTGAGCTCCCCCATGCTCTCTCTGGCCGCCGGTCTGAACGGATTGGCTGGTCCCCTTCACGGATTGTAAGTTGGCAAAACGTCTGAGAATCATGGAGAAGAAACGACGTGGCTAATTGTTCCTTCTAAACAGGGCCAACCAGGAGGTGCTTAACTGGCTCACCAAGATGAAGGCCGCCGTCGGCAACGACCTCAGCGACCAGGCCATCAAGGACTACCTGTGGTCCACCCTGAACGCCGGCCAGGTTGTTCCCGGCTACGGCCACGCCGTCCTTCGTAAGACGGATCCCCGTTACGTTTCCCAGCGCGAGTTTGCCCTTCGCAAGCTCCCTGAGGACCCTATGTTCAAGCTGGTCAGCCAGGTTTACAAGATCGCCCCTGGCGTCCTGACTGAGCACGGCAAGACCAAGAACCCCTTCCCCAACGTCGATGCCGTAAGTTATACTCCCCCTAAGGCCCGCATCTTTGGGCACGTTGCAACGGATACTGACTTTGGTTTAGCACTCTGGTGTCCTCCTGCAGTACTACGGCCTGACTGAGGCCAACTACTACACCGTCCTGTTCGGTGTCTCCCGCGCCCTTGGTGTCCTTCCCCAGCTGATCATTGACCGTGCTCTCGGTGCCCCCATCGAGCGTCCCAAGAGTTTCAGCACTGAGGCCTACGCCAAGCTGGTCGGTGCCAAGCTCTAAACACGTTCCATGAATTGTAAAAGACGGAGATGTCTCTTGTTATGATTAAATATTATATTGTATTGTATTATTTTTCTCCTGTTGAAAGAATTTTTTCTTGAAAGAACTTTTCTCTTTTTATGCAACAATTAGACTGGGACGAGATGGGTGTTGAGTGTTTCAGCCCCGTTATCCACCGGATGTATTCTGTATTAATCTGATAGCACCAGGGTCAAGCGGGCCTTGGGATGTTCGGAGTCAAGTAATATCAGATGATCAGATCCAGCGCTTCGACGTTTCGCCCATCGATCAACGGATCGGTAGATTGAACCGACCCCGGTTTTGGGGAACGCGCCGAAAGTACGGGGGACGGACGAGGTTTTCGGAGGGTGCTATTCCACTGAGATATAAGAGATCGTTATATCCATACGGGATACCTTCGAGTACGGAATGCTCCGTACTCAGCGTACTCAGCCCCGTAGACGATCCTTCCCTCTCTTTGCAGGCGAGGCGGACCGAGCCCGAAGAAAGGGGGACGCTGGACTGGGATGTACTCCGTAGAAAGCAGTCCGCTCAACCGTTCAGCGCTTCAAGGCCAACTGTTGGGAGCGCCCGGTTTACTCCGTGCATTTTCCACGGTGGGCCTCGGGTCAACCACACCGCCAGCCCGGAATCAGCCTAGTCACGCCCCAATTATTTTGGTTTTCTTTGGGGAAAAGAATAATTAATTTTAGAGCCCGCCAGGCCTGAGGCCGCTAGCTTCGTCGGCCGGGCGATCGTTGTTCCTGTTAACTTGTTATGGTGGAGCGCCTAGTGCCTACGGAGTGCTCCGTCCCTACTCCGTAAGTTCCTGAGCTTGCTTGCTAGTATAGCATCTACGGTGTACTGCTCAGCCTGCTTCAGGCCTTCCGTCCTCCGACCTTTCTCGTCCTCTATTTTATATTTCCCTTCCTTCCGCTTCCTTCTCCCGTTTCTTTCCTCTTTCCCATTCTCTTTCCTCCGCTTATCGCATTTTATCCCCAATCACCAATCACTTTCCTGCTTTCTAATTCCGACCGGACAATTGGTTTCTCCAATCCAGTCTGCGATCTCCCTTCCGTTTCCTTTGATCCCTTAAAGCTACGAAGCCCCCTACATCCCTTGGTCAGGGCCCCTTTCAGTGCTCCCCAAGGTCAGACATGTCTACTGCTACTGCCGGAACGGCCTCTACCGGCCCCACGCTCGAGAAGAAGCCCGTGAAGTTCAGCAACTTGTTGCGTATGTGATTCCTTCCCTCCCTTAAGGGGAACGTGGTAAATACGATGGATCGGCTCTGATGGTATATTCACTGCAGTGGGCGCTGGGCTTAACATGTTCGAGTAAGTACCATCTTCAGGACCCCGACTTGTCGTACCTGGCATGTGCTAACACGCGACCACAGGGTCACTTCTTTGGGACAGGTATTTCCGTTCTCGGACTCGGATTCGTGGGAATCGGACGTTGCTGACATTTGAATAAGCCGCTGGAAGTGATCAAGACAACCATGGCCGCGAATCGGGGCGACAGCTTCGCCGGCGCTATGGGTCGGATATGGGGTCGTGGCGGGATCCTCGGTTGTAAGTGACATCCCCCGGCTCCCGATTACCGGACTAGTGTGGGGTACAACAACTGACGTGGGATAATCCTGCAGATTATCAAGGACTCATTCCGTGGGCCTGGATTGAGGCCTCCACCAAAGGCGCCGTCCTCCTCTTCGTTGCGTCCGAGGCGGAGTTCCGTGCCAAGGTTCTCGGTGCCCCCGACTTCCTCGCTGGTATTGCCGGTGGTATGACCGGTGGTATTGCCCAGGCGTACGCAACCATGGGCTTCTGTACCTGTATGAAGACCGTCGAAATCACCAAGCACAAGATGGCCGCCCAGGGTGTAAAACCCCCGAGCACTTTCGCGACCTTCGCGGACATCTACCGCAAAGAGGGTATCCGAGGCATTAACCGTGGTGTCAATGCGGTCGCCATTCGTCAGACCACCAACTGGGGATCCCGATTTGGTCTTTCCCGATTGGCGGAGGCGGCTATCCGCAAGGTCACGGACAAGAACGAGGGAGAAAAATTGGGTGCTTTTGAGAAGATCCTTGCCTCCGGCCTAGGCGGTGGTCTCTCGGCCTGGAACCAGCCCATTGAAGTCATTCGTGTTGAGATGCAGAGTAAGACCGAGGATCCCAACCGGCCCAAGAACCTCACCGTGGGCAAGACCTTCAAGTACATCTACGAGACGAACGGCGTCAAGGGATTGTACCGTGGCGTTGCTCCTCGTGTGGGATTGGGCATCTGGCAGACTGTGTGCATGGTGGCGCTAGGTGACATGTGAGTACTCTTCCTCTCTCCCCACCCCCCCCAAACCCACTTTTTCTTTCCCCGCCGATTTCAAGACCTTAAATGAATTACGTCTGTCGGTTCAAAAAGATGTAGTTGTCTTGTGGGCAGATCCCATGTGATTACCGAGGATGTCAGTTGTGCTAACCTGTGGGTCTCCGTTACGCCGAATAGGGCCAAGGAAGCCGTCGAAAAACTGACCGGCGACCAAGTCACCGCGAAGCACTAGAGAAGGTTTGAAACACCCTTCCGCCATGCGTGGTCTGCTATGGGGCTTTGAATTGTACAAATCTTGATCGGGGATGATATCAATCGGTCACGAATCGAGACAGGCCGGGCAGCGGGCACAGGTGGCCGCATATGGCGTCCGAGTAATAGACGTCCGATTGAATTTCTAGTAGTCATGGTCCGTTCGGGCTATCTATGGGTATAATTAATCACGTTGTCCCTGTGGACACGCTTTTTGCATCACTGAACATTGTTCCCTCTGGGACTCGTCGGGATAGAGATGGTTTCGTAGTAACATCCTCGTAGGCATCCAAACCCAAGTCGCACATTCGCCTACTGAGAGCCCAGAAGAATGACTTGTTGGTTGCAATCTGTTGATTACAGTTTATCGCCGTAGCCACGTGGTCTGAGGACATCGGACTTGTTGGGTGTGTGTCGGATGCCTGAGGATTAGGGTGCAATATGCCAAGCTTTCCGGGAAGACCTCTCGTTTTAGATATAAACTATGGATCCAGAAATGAATTGGACAAGGAAAGGGAAAAAGTATTCATGTTCATTCTCGTTGTATTCGGTTATTTCTATTCGCAGGCGGTCTAGTTCTGCATCTGGATCGCGCATAAAGAGTACTCGGTAATCATTTTCGCATGCCAATGTACGCCCGGGTACGGATCTGCTAATATATATACGTATACCAAGTCCAATGTTTGCCACGTCTTATGATATGATATTTATCTACTTATAAACCAAACAATAGCAAGTGATAGGTGGACATTTTCCAACACAAAGATTACTACTACTACGCCGAGGACATAACTCCAGCACGGGAGCAGATCGAGTAAGGTACAGTTGTATTACAGCCACACAACGAGCTACAGCCACATAACAAAAGAAGATATCTGTGAAGATGAATCTAGACACATGAGAAAAAGGGATAGAGGTGAAGGGGGAAGGCGTCGACGCTTTTTTTCCAAGCCAGTCTAAGTATGTAGGGTATACATTTTAAACGGTCAGACCCAAGTCCTCGGCGTAAGGGAGCTGGAAGAGGTCTCCGACGGCGGCGAAGGAGGCCTTGCCGGAAAGGAAGGTCTTGGCGGCCTGCGGGAAGAAGTGGCGGGTTAGTTTCCAACAGAGGACTCGAGCAAATGGGACCAAGGGGACTTACATCCTTAACCTGAGCCTCGGTGACGCTGTCGATGCCCTGAGCGATCTCGCTGATCTGGTAGGGCTTGCCGCCGTGGACGAGGGCGGAGCCGCTGGCCTCGAGGCCAGTTTCAAGGGTCTGAGCAGACTCGAGAGCACGGAACTTGGCCAGAGCGGCGGCCTTCTTGATGTCCTCGCTGGCGATCTCGCCGGCGGCGGCCTTCTTGAGGAAGTCGACGGTGGACTTGCTGGCGGAAGCGATCTTGTCGGCCTTGCCGGAAAGCGTAACAGTGAACAGACCGGCGTCGGAGTAGGTGTGATTCTTGGTGGAGGCCCGGACCTGAGAGAAACCCTGGGTGGCCTGGGACAGGAGGGAGAAGCCAGGAGTCCATTTGATCGTGGACTCACCGCCGAGAAGGGCAGCGAGGACGGAAGCCTCGGGCTTGTAACCAGAGGTTCCGAAAGCGCTGGAGCCGGGGAAAGCGATCACAACGGCGTTGCCAGCCTTGGAAGAGATACGCTGCTCACCTCCGTAGTACTTGGAGGCGGTAGAGGGCTTCACGCTGCCAGTGCTGGGGAGCTCCTTGAAGAAGTCACCAACCCACTTGGATAGGTCGGCGGAGTTGGGGCCGCTGCCAACAAGGGCGATGTTGGACTTGGCATAGGCCTGCTGGGCGTATTCCTGGAGGGCCTCGGCAGAGAGGTATTTCTCGAAGGGGACGGTGAGAGAAGGAGTGATGGTCTCACCCAGGCCACGGTGGAAAGCCAGAGCGTGGGCAGCGTCAACAGCGAGCTCCTCGGGGTTGGCCGTAAGAGCCTGTTGTCTGTACTTCAGAAGCTTGAGAACCACCTCGTCCAGTTCGTGGGCTGTCAAAGGCGAAACAAAAAGTCAGGTTAGACCCATCCTGCTCAACCGCGGAGACTTATCAATGCCGTGCGTCGACTTACCAGCAAACTTGGTCTGAGAAGCGACCTCAGCCAACAGCTCCGCGAAGTAGGGGAGGTCATTGGCGAGGAACTTGGCCTTCAGGACGATGTTTTCACGCGAGTGTGACGAGGAAACTTCACCGCCCAGCAGTTCAACCTCCCGAGTAATCCGCAACGCCGACCGTTTGAGGGTAGTCTATCAATTGAGCGACAGAGTTAGATTCCGTGTGATCAGGAGGTGCAGTAGGGCCAGAGCGCGCTGCCATTGAGTGTTCGGGGGGCGGACGAACCTTGAAGGCGAAGTATTCGAGGGCATCGGCGAAGCCAGGGAAAGGCTGGTAACGGGGGCCAGCCTTTGCAACCAGAGCGAGAGTGCCCGTAGGACCGGCGACCTCTCTGTTGGCGACCTTCACACCGGCAGACTCAGACACGTCGTACTGAAGACCAGGAGTCACGGCCGAGGCCATACCCCGACGGCTGCTGGCGGCAGCACCCTGGAGCGCACGGGGCGCATTTCGGCAAGTAGACCGCGATAGCATCATCGCATGTGTCGGAAAAGAATTGGAGGAGAGGGAATGAGGACAGCCGGAAGGCTTGACAGCAATTGGGTTGGTGGTGGGGGGAGGGGGGAAGGGGAGAGGAGGAGAGGAGAAGAGCCAGGCGTCGGACGGGTTGGAAACGATGTCTGAAAAGCTTCAAGATGCCTGATTACTCGCCGCCTGATTGGCCCAAATGGCGAGTGCGGGCGGAACCGGCTCGGCCTGGTCAGGTGATGTCAGGTGACCGCACGTGAGTCGCCGGCGATTTTCTTATCGCCGGTACGTTGAATCTTTGACGCTGCTCGAGTATCTGCTCGCATTCATCCTCGCGGCGCCTCTCTCATGTTCCATTCCCGGTGACCCTTCCGCCCTCTTCTAGAGAATCTCGAAAGAAGAGGCGTTCTCTAGAAGACCCTCCGACATGACCTCGCAAGTATGCGATCTTTGTTCCCGTTCATATAACCCCTCCAGCTGCTAACCCAAGGGTGCATAGTATGCTGCGGAGCTATGCACGCTCCTCATCGAAGATAACTTTGGCGAGCTTTTCTCGGTATGCTTGCTTGGAACCAATCTGGCCCCGCCGGGAAGCCTCCCACGCTGATACTTTCGTGTATGACCGGTAGCGCATCTTCTCGACCCTCCTCCGCTACGATCGACTTTCCCTCCCCCGCCTGAAATTCTACTCTCGTCTCTCGGACCGCCAGCTTCATCATGGTCTTGCCGCCATGATCCAACAACATCTCATATACCACTACACCTCATTCGAAGAAGGCGTCACGTACTACGCACCAAACATGCAGTCGGCATACTACCTCGTCCGGTCCGGGAAGATTGTGGAATTTATAGAAGACCGCCTGGGAAAGTATGCAGCGAAGGTCATGTCGACCATCCTTTACCTCGGACACGCGCAAGTGAGCTATCTCGAAACGCTCCCCGACCTACGACCTGAACCTCTCGACTCGAACGGAGCCGCCGCCGAAGAAAATGGGGACGAGCAGGAACCAGTTGAAGCCAATGGCGAGCATACGACTTCTGAACGACCCGCTCTCCTTCATCCGACGCTCAAGGCTTTGGCGGGCCACGGTTACATATCGCGGGTTAGGGAAGCGCAGTTCCAAAGCTACGCTGATAACGTGTTGGACATCGAGCGCGCAATCAAGTCGAAACCCGATGTCAAGGCTATGAAGGGCAAAAAGCTCGAGGAAACGGTCATTGAGGGGACGCTCACTTTACTCCGGGAGAGACTAGATGGGGATCTGACTCGTGGCCTGATGTTTAACGGAGTTCCGCGCGGAACCAGACGAAAACATGACAGTGCAGCCCCCGTGACTGCCAATGGACCGGCTCGAACGGACTACGCTGCGGTTGACGAGGACGAGGAAGAAGAGAATGAATGGTCTGATGACGAGAACGGCGAAGACACGATACCAATGGAGGTGAGACTACCAGCCTCTATAAAACCCTTGCCTTTTCTTTTCTTTTCTTCCTACTTTGCGCGCGTGCCCGCTAACTAACCATTCTAGTCTGGAATCACTATCCGCGTGAATTACGAGAAGTTTGACGTTGCTCTCCGCAACCGTCGCTTCCTCGACCTTGCAGAGCATGGTTCGTCTTCAGCAACCGTCCAAGTCTATGAATCCCTTCTCCGCCGCATCGAATATCAAACACCACAGTGCCGGGACACCACCGAGATACCCCGCGAAGGTGAGGAGGGAGAACAGTATTCCGCTCCGATCCTCCTCAAAGCAGTATGTGAAGACGTCGACCCCCGGCTGGACCTTGCCGGGTCCATTGGTCCCATGGAAGTTTCTCAACCCGCCAACCGACGGGGCAAACGACCGTTGGATGACGATGTTAACTGTGAAGGGGCCAACGGGCTACAATCCGGGGGCAACCGCACCTATGAAGTTGATCAACACCTCTCTCTTCTCGCACAGCCTCCCTTCAACCTTACCTCCAAGCGCATGGTCTCAGGACTGATTAGCTGGACCGTCGAATTCCGCCACCTAGCCCGTAAGCTTCGCCATCTCGAACTAGAGCGGATGATCGAAGCACGGTACGGCGACGTCGCCCTGCGAGTGATTCGCGTGCTTCACGCCAAGGGTAAACTGGACGAAAAACGACTGCAGGAAATCAGCCTCCTCCCGTTTAAGGACCTGCGACAGGTCCTTGCGAGCATGCAAGCTGGAGGGTTCGTGGATCTACAGGAGGTGCCGCGCGATGCGCAACGGCAGCCCTCCCGTACGATCTATCTCTGGTACTACGATCCGGATCGCATCCGGAATAGTGTGTTGGAAGATACCTACAAGTCGATGTCTCGGTGCCTACAGCGTCTGCGGTTCGAGCGAAATCGATTGAAGGAGTTTTTGGAAAAGACAGAACGCAGTGACGTGAAAGGAAACGAGGAGCGGTATCTGTCCGAGGCGGAATTGACCCTATTAGAGCAGTGGAGGGCTAAAGAGGCTTTGTTGATAGGGGAAGTGTCTCGGCTGGATGAGATGGTGGCCGTCATGAGAGATTATTAAAAAAAGATCATATGACGAGCAATGAAAATACAAAAGATATTCTTAATCAAGGAAAATGCGTTGAATCTAAAAGTCGGTAGTAGATCCGTCCGTCGACAGCCAGGTGTAGGGCATTTGACGGCCTACCAGCTTTCTGGCATGGGGAAAGGAAGGAGATAAAAGTAGCACTTTATGTAATATAGTAGAATAAGAAAATCGAAAGCTACATTCACATAGCATGGAGACAAAAGAATATGGAATTAGATGAACCAAGTGGGAATATCAAAAGTGAACCACCCCGTTTATACATGTAGAGTTGAAATGACAACACCCCTTTCCGGTCGTGATATTAACATTCCGTACTCAAACGTGGAGTCGTAAAACATCTCGCGTTACATACATCTCTCTCTTGGAGAAAATGCATCCCACAAGAGCGCACTCGCGTCTCCGCGCGTAGCCACAAGAGCTACGCAGAGTCATTCTATTTCACACCCTCGGTGTCTGTTTTCCCCTGGGTGGACTTGCTTAATGACTCACTCTCGGAACCGACCACTCCATCGACCGTGGCCTTGGAGGTCTCGAGCCGGGTCTCAGCCGCGGTCAGCTTCCCTTTCGTCTCCTCAAGCTCTTGCTTGAGGGCTTTAATATAATCGATGGCCATTTCCACCGTACTGGCTTTGCTGACCTGTTGGTTCCCAGCCTTCTCCTTTTCTTTATCCACCCCTTTCGCATTGCATAGGGCTTCTTCCTTGGCATTTTTCATGTGGAAGAACTCCGCGGGAATGAGAGTTTCTATTTCTTTAAGCGCGTTATTGATGCGATTTCGGCGGCCCTGCTCTGCAAGTTTGTGATTAGTTCGCTTGGAACTCAGATTCTCAGTCAAGGTCTCGGGGTACGAGACCCCGGGAAGAAGAGTGCCATCCAGGATATGCTGGTAGTTGGACTTGGATGCTAGATACAGCGCAGACGTCTCGCCCGAGGTCCCTGCAATCGACACCCGTTAGCTAATGTAAAATGAAGTGGAGGTGCTAGGCAGAACATTGGGATACACACCGTCTCCACGGACTAGAGGCTGGATGCTGGGACTGATCTTGGGGCGCAAGTTGGGACTGGCGTGTGTGGAGCTGAGGCTCGGTCGTTTCCGACTCGAGGGACCCAACTTGGGCGTGTCCGATTTCTTGGCTACTGGTCCGCTGGGAGAAGGCATGGCGATGGTGCGCGGACTGGGGGCGACGGAGCCGGCGCTTCGTTCCGCGTTCGAGGCCGGTTTAATCTCAAGAGCCGGTGAAGCTGGCTCTGTACGGATGGAAGTGTCAATGCGGTTGACCCGAGGACGAGAAAGATGCGCCGCGGGGGTCGTAGCTTCGGGGAGAACAACATCCTCCATGATATCATCGTGCGACTCGGACAGCCCGCCTTGGATCTGGCTTGGGGGTTGAGGGGCTACATTGGGGCTTGGTTGGGACCGGTAAATGCGCATCAACATGGCTGGAGTAGCCGGTTCGCTGGTCTCCGACTGCGGACCGACCGCAGGGGACCTTCGAGCCGGAGGGAGGGCCGGCGGAGGCATCAAGGGTTCAGAGAGGGGCTCCGGGGAGACAGAATCTTGTCCAGAACTCTCGTTGCTTCCGAATCGAAGGCTGCTGCCACCTAAAGGCCGATTCTTCGGGTCTCCATGATCCTGAGAAAGGCCGTTCAGAACCTCATCGGAATTGATGTTCAACAGGGACTTCTTTCGCGTTTGAGGTCGCACGGAGGGAGACTGCTGCTTCTTCGCACGGGCAGAGAATGTCTTGGTCGTCGAAGTTCCGCGACGATGTTTGCGTGTCAAACCCGGAGATGACGGGGCAGACGAGGCGGGAACAGCGTTGTCGGCCGGCGACGGCATGAATCCCATGTCGGACAACTGGGCGGCGGCCGGGAAGGGGTAGCCGTTCGAGTTCGCATTTTGGGCTTCAAGGGCTGGCGAGGTGAGCGGAGTGAAGTACTCCCCAGGGATAGTGTACTCCGGAAGCCGAAACTGAGTTTCTAGCGGAGTCATGGCGGGCGAAACAAGGGGGGTGTAGAGAGCCTAGGTGGAAGCGGGTGCTTGCATTAGCCATACGCACGCCGATGGACGGACCGGCGAGTCAAGGTGCATCTTACCTGTTCCTCGTTCATACGAGCATACCGATCATACATCTCCTGATTTTCTTCTATGCGCTGAGGGTACGTGGCCGCGTTGCCCTGAAGCTCAATGCTGTTAGGAGTTGGCGGGATCACCTGTTGGCCATGAGGGATGTATGGCTGCGTCACGGGAGGACAGTGCGAGTGACGATGCGGCTGGTTCTGTGCAGGTTGTTGCGATTGAGAATGCTGGAAGAACGCAGGCTTCTGGGCGATGAACGCTGGGGTTAAGGGGGAAGAGTAGGACGAGGAGATGGCAAGCTGCGGCTGCCCTTGATTTCCCACGGCATAATCCCCCATGGCGCGATTGTATGACGACGGCTGAGTAGCGATGGGGTCGGTGTCCATTCGAACGAGCTGTTCCTGGGCGGACGGAGCGGTGGAGGCAGGCATGGAGATAGGATGGGCGATCGAGCGCTGGGAATGAGGATCGGTGGAGCCCTGCCCTTCCAGGTCGGGGAAGTGCATTCCAAACTCGAGGAAATTGGAGAATTCATCGTCACCGGGGCCTGCGACGTCCGGCCAGGACAACGGGTGGTCTTGTTCCATTGAGATCGATTGCCTCTTTTCTGGGAGATTGCGCACGGGATACCTAGTCGGTTGTCCAACCTGCCCTTCTCTTTGATACCCGAATATTTTATTCTTTTTACCCTTCTGGTAGTTCTTTCTTTTCTTTTCTTTTTTTTTTTTTCGGAGTCGTTGATTTCTCCTGCCGTCGGAGGGAGGGAGAGAAAGCCTCGGTATCGAATACCAAGGAAGTCAGTCTCATCAAAAGAACAAATGATTGAAGAAGATAAAACCGGAAAACAAGAGATTATGGGCAGGAGGATTATTGGTAACCAGATAGAATGCCGGACATGATGACGGTGTGTGGGGGAGGGGAGGGTTTTGTTGGATAGGATTTTGACCGTGAAGATCAAGAAATGAATGATACCCCTCCACGACCGGGGATCGGATGGAAAAGAAGAAGCGCAAAGGCACGAAGGAGAGGAAGAGGGAGAAAGAGAAAGCAACTAGTGGGAGGATAGAAGCGAGAAGCGAGAATACGATTTCAGCCGGGGGGGCTGATTGGATAGGCTAGACATCGATCTAGGAGGATAGTCGGTCTTTCCTGGACTTTTTTAGTCCGTCTAGGTAACCCGGTCTTCGGTCGAGGGGGTTCAGAGGGCAAAGAAAACGAATCGGAAGAGAGTCGAGGGTACCTTTTTTTTCGGCGCAGACGAGCAAACCGTGGAAAGGGCGTGCGTGGTAATAACCCGCCCGGTGCGTCCCACTCCGGTATCGAAGGTCGATACCGTACGGTAAATCTGCGGGGTTGTGACTTTCGACTTCGAGCGTCGTGACCTGATAACGTGACATGACATAAGGCCATCCATCCCCATCTCCAGTGTTCGTGTTCACTGTCCACTTCCATACGCCAACCTTCCCATCGGTTTGTCTTCCTGGGTTGACATCTCCCGCCTCGCTGCCCGCCATGAGGCCGCCCGTTCCAGACCTCGCGTTACCGAAGTCCCGCAAGTCGTCCTCGCCCGACCAGCGGTGGATCGATCCCCGCAGCGCTGCCCCCGCGACGTTCTTTCTAGCCCGCGAAACTCCACCCGATGAGCTGGAGTCGGGAGATAGCATGTATGGCGTCCAGAGTCTTGAAGAGACCGTCCAGCAGGCCAGCCTGGATGCTTCCAGGTGGGAGTCGGAGAACGCCCAAAGCATTTCGGATCCGTTGTCTCCCGTACCGTCTCATCCTGCTCGTCGCAAATCCACCGTCACCCCCTTCGACTCGTTCCATCTCACCAGCCGAGAACCGTCCCTGCCCTCCTCGCACCCGACCTCTCCTCGCCCTTTAACCCCTTTGAACCTTGATGTCCCCGATGACACGGCCTCTCTTCCCAGCAGCCCCAAGTCAATCTCCAACCAGTCCACGCGACATCTGGATGAAATCTCCATCACCGATGACCTGAGTAGCCAGGCAATTGCTTCCGGGGAGGAGGACGATGAACTCCGCCCGCCGTCCGGGACGGGTCCCGACAGTACCTCCCAGCTAATAATGCCCAGTATCAGGATGCCTAGCCGGAGACCGTTTACCGACCACGGGAAGACTATGGGACGTCTAAAGGTGCTCATAGCGGGCCCTCCCGGTGAGTATGAAAATACCCCCCCGTGGGTCGGGGTTTCTCCAGCGTATACAGGTCCTGTATTGATCGCAGAATAACCAGGTTCCGGAAAGACCTCCCTCATCAAGGCCATTGTCCAAATATGCGAGGATATTGTCCATGTGGACTCCTTTCCCTCCCCCACCCCTCCCTCGAAGCCCTCTAGATCCAACATTTCCCATGGCCTGCCACCGGCCGTTTCAGAAATATATGCCAGTACAAAACCGTACCCCGTCTGGTGGTCGGACCTAGAAGACTCGCGTATTCTGCGACGGCGAAAGAGTCTCGGTGACATTGTGCTGGAGCGTAATATCTGCTTTGTCGACACATCGGCCAACTCCTCCACCCGTGCCGGACAGACCGATGCTATTATTCACTACATGCATAAACAGCTTGTTCGGGCGATGGCGTCGCTTCAGCGTCCCAACCACGATTTCCAAAACTTGCTCGCAGGCAATGGCGGTGCCCAAGTGGATGCCATCCTGTTTCTCATCTCCGAGGGTAGGCGCTCTTCATGTGTATTGGGTGGTTCGGAGGCTTACACGCTGGCAGAAACACTTTCCGTAGATATCGAATGCATGCGCAAGCTCAGCGAATGGACGAATGTCATTCCCGTAATACCCAAATCAGATCTTCTAGTTCCCGACCAGCTTCACGCCCTCAAATCTGCTTTCCACAGTAAGGTTCAGGACGCCGCCGTTAAGCCCTTCCTTTTCGGAGATGGATTCTCAGGGGACACCGATGAAGTGAATGGTCGGCTACCCTTTGCTACCTCGTCCGCCAAGTCAAGCGATGATGACATGATGGATGCCAGCACCTTGATGAGCCCGGACTATGTCCAGCCCTTGGTCGCGTCAGAATTGGATCTCTTGACCCGAAAATTGTTCGATCGCGAGAATATGGCCTGGATCCGCCATCTGGCTGCCAAAAAGCTTGCTCAACGGCAAAGCACGGTCCAAAATGGCCCGGTACCTTCTATTCCCGGCGCTGGCAGTCGTGCTATCCCAAGTTATACAATGGCCCGACTTTCAGACTGTACCCGCCACGAGGAGAAACTGGCTCAGGTTCAACTCGCGCGGTGGGCGTCGGACCTCCAGCAAAGCCTCCAGAACGAACGGGAACGATACGCTGCCATGGCGCGCGGAGAACGTGCCGTCTGGCTGACAGAACGACTAGGCGAGTGCGTGGTGGACGGATCCCTGGTGCCCATCACGCAAACCCCGGGGTTTTGTGGTCTTCGGGCTCCGACAGAAAAGGCGGGCGCCCTCCTCGTTCGGGCACAATCCGGGCAGAACGTCGAGTATCATCTCACACGAATCAGCCCCCAGGATCCACTTGGTCTTGTCAAGTGGTCGGAGAGCCTCAAACAGCGGGGGTGGGCCCTCGTCCAGATCGTGGGCAGCTTCGGGGTCGTAGGAGGGCTGGCCCTCTGGCTTGCGAAGTCTTGGGGATTGCCGTCTCGAAATCTGTCGGACTGGCAACTTGACTGGTGCAGTCCCATTGACTAGTTCCCCCTCCCCGGCTATCTATTCATCCTGCCCCTTTGTCCGCTTAGTCTCGTACTTTTCTTTTTTTTTTTTTTTTTTTTTTTTGTAATGCCTCGCTCGGACTATGTAGGTACTCGATTCCATTCCCGGAAGGTTGATCGGTTGGCATGACGGTGAAATGCATTTTCTACACAAGAAACATCCATTGCTGGCGTTTTGTCTTGGGTGGTGGGACTTATTGTTGCTTTGCCGAATCCCTGCCCCCCTCGCGTTGTTTAGTTTAGTTGCGACTGTGCTTTCATGTAGTGAGCCCCATGGATCATGTTTTGACGGAAATGTCATCATGCACGGTTGAATCTGTAGCGGAGTTACTTGGGATGGGCTTTGCGCAGTCGAGCGCGGACGTCTTTATTATCTAGAGCGGTTAGCCCCCTACCTAATGCACAATGGCTGCTAGTTTTGGCCCGTGACCTCCTCGGTATGGCGGTAGGTATGCATTGTAGACTACGTAGTACGGGTTTACAGATGTAGAAGTCAAATAAACAGGGCAAGCTTTTTATTCGAGATACAAAAAAGATCTACCCGTCCGGCGCAACTCTTCAAATCCCTGGTAATATGGAAATGAAAGATCTCTCGGACTTTTAGGATAATAGTGTGAAACGCTCAAAACGCCGAAAATCAAAAAATAATAAAATCCACGTCGTCAATCAAAACCATCTTTCCGGCGGTTCAATTAGAAGGGAAACAAAAATTAAGTAATATCGCCCAGTGATCATGGGAACCCCTGCTGCGGATATCACCGAAACAATTTCTTCGAGGTCGTTAAAAACAAAGGAAAGGAAAGATAACGTCAAGGGCAGTCACATTCGTTTCCATTCAAATCAAAGACACATTAATTGCATTTAGTCGACCTCCTCCATGGAGCTCTCGCCGGCGGCAGCGGCAGGAGCGGCCTCCTCGGCAGCCTTCTCCTCGGTAGTCTCGGTGTCCTCGTCGATGTTCAGACCGAGAGACACGAGCTTGTGGATGCGCTCGGCGAAGCTGGCAGGCTCCTCGATGGTGAAACCGGAAACGAGGAGAGAGGTCTCGAAGAGCAGCTGGGTGATCGACTTGACGGTGCGGTCGCTCTCGCCATCAGCCTCGACCTTCTTGCGGAGCTCCTGAATGATAGAGGACTTGGGAGAGATCTCGAAGGTCTTCTTGGAGGACATGTACGAGCTCATGGAGGTGTCACGGAGAGCCTGGGCCTTCATGATACGCTCCATGTTGGCAGACCAACCGAACTGGCCGGTACGGATGGCGCAAGGAGAGCCGACGAGCTTGTGGGACACGACGACCTTCTCAACCTTGTCGCCGAGGATGTTCTTGAGGCTCTTGGCGAGACCCTCGTACTCCTTCTCCTCCGCCTCACGCTCGGCCTTCTCCTCCTCGGACTCCTCAAGCTCGAAGTCCTTGGTGATGTCGACGAGCTTCTTGCCGTCGAACTCCTTCAGCTGGGTGAAAGCGTACTCATCGATGGGGTCAACCAGGAACAGAACCTCGAAGTTCTTCTGCTTGAGGCTGTCCAGGAAGGGAGACTTGGCGACGGCCTTGATGGACTCGCCGGTGATGTAGTAGATCTGCTTCTGGTGCTCCTGCATGCGAGTGACGTAGTCCTGGAGAGAGGTGATCTCATCACCAGACTTGGTGGACTGGTAGCGGAGGAGCTTGGCTAGGGTGTGGCGGTTCTGGGCGTCCTCGTGAACACCAAGCTTGATGTTCTTGCTGAAAGCAGAGTAGAACTTGTCAAACTGCTCGCGGTCCTCGGCGATCTCGGTGAAGAGCTCGAGGGTCTTCTTGACGATGTTCTTCTTGATGACCTTCATGATCTTGTTCTGCTGCAGGGTCTCACGAGACAGATTCAGAGGCAGATCCTCGGAGTCGACAACACCCTTGACGAAGCTGAGCCACTCGGGGATGAGATCGGTGGCGTCGTCAGTGATAAAGACGCGGCGAACGTAGAGCTTGATGTTGTTCTTGGTCTTCTTGGTCTCGAAGAGATCGAAGGGAGCGCGCTTGGGGATGTAGAGGATGGCGCGGAACTCAAGCTGACCCTCGACGGAGAAGTGCTTGACGGCCAGGTGGTCCTCCCAGTCGTTAGACAGAGACTTGTAGAAAGCAGCATACTCCTCCTGGGTGATGTCGGCAGGGTTGCGGGTCCAGATGGGCTTGGTCTTGTTCAGCTCCTCCTCCTCGATCTTGCTCTCCTTGACAGTCTTGGTCTTCTTCTCTTTGTTCTCCTCCTCCTCGTCGACCTCCTCGATCTTGGGCTTCTTCTCATCATCCTCATCCTTGGACTCCTCTTGCTCCTCCTCGGGGACCTCCTTCTCGGTCTCCTTCAGGACGTGGAGGTAGATGGGGTACGAGATGAACTCGGAGTGCTTGCGAACAACCTCCTTGATACGGCTCTCGTTCAGGTAGTCGAGCTGCTCATCCTTCAGGTGGAGAACAATCTTGGTACCACGGCCAATCTGCTCACCCTCGGTGTCCTGGGTGAGGGTGAAGGTGCCACCAGCGGCGGACTCCCAGACGTACTGCTCGTCATCGTTGTGCTTGGACACGACGGTGACACGGTCAGCAACGAGGTAGGCAGAGTAGAAACCAACACCGAACTGGCCGATCATGGAGATATCGGCACCGGCAGACAGAGCCTCCATGAACTGCTTGGTACCAGAGCGGGCAATAGTACCCAGGTTGTTGATCAGGTCCTACAGTTACGAGGTTAGTAAGGGCTCAGCGAGGGAGGGTGACAAGAATGGTACGTACAGCCTTGGTCATACCAATACCGGAGTCCTGGATGGTCAGGGTCTTGGCTTCCTTGTTGGGGATCAGGTCGATGCGAAGGTCCTTGCCCGAGTCGAGCTTGGAGGGGTCCGAGAGAGCCTCATAGCGGATCTTGTCAAGGGCATCGGAGGCGTTGGAGATAATCTCTCGCAGGAAAATTTCCTTGTTGGAGTAGACAGTGTTGATAATCAGCGAGAGCAGCTGAGAGATCTCAGCCTGGAACTCGAAGGTCTCAGCAGACATGATGAACGAAAGAAAGTGAAAATTCTGTACGAGCGCAGGACGAGTTAGCGTTGAGCATTCACTCGTAGTCCACCGAGAAGCAGGAGATCTGGTGGGGGGATGATGGAGAATAGGATGTATAGAGAATAAAGCTGGAGATGCGAGGGCCCGCCGTTCGTTTCAGAAACCTCAAAGCGAGGCTCGCTGGTCATGCTGCGAACTCTGCACCTGCGCACCCAGCCAAGGTGGGTGGGGGGGGGGGGGGGAAGAGGGTCGGGTCGGTGAGAGAATGGGTTGAGTACTTACAAAGTCGTTAAAAGGGAAGAGAAGAGGGAGAGAAAGATGTCAATGGATGAGAGAGACAGGTGATAAGAGGGATGGAAGGTGATGAGGTAGAGAAATCACAGGGAGGAGAGAGATGAATGAAGAAGAGAAGAGAGAGGGCGAGGGGGAGAAAAAAACTGCCGGGGCGGAGAACTTAATGTTCTTTCCCACTCGGGTACGGTCGTTTCTACGGCGATCCAGCAACTTCCACACTCTCCGCCGCTTCTTCGCCATTCTGCCGGTCCTGCCAAAGCCGGTTCGGTCGCCCGGTCGCTCGGTGGCCTGGCTGCCTGAGGCGGATCATCTAGAACGTTCCGCTCCACCAGGCACCCCCGCGGGACCAATCAGCGGTCGTCCCTGCACACCGTCCCTTGCTGCACCCCGTGACTCTCCGCCTGCCTCTCCGCCAGAAGGTTCTATCTGCCTTACTCATCCTACAGATCGGTAACTTACTCCGTACTTAGTACTCAGAACAATGCTATATCCATTTACATTCCCTAGCAGAAAGCAGAGCTATTAAGAACAACACGGACATAAAGCTCGCTATGCGAAAGAGCAGGCAAAGTTCATGTCAACACAGTGATAGAAGCAAACTTCGGCGAGGATGCACCAATGACAGAACCCCAGTGACGAAATGTTAAAATAAATAACTTTTCCAACCGCTAATATGCACTGTGACAAAAAAAAAAAAAAAAAAAAAAAAAAAATGAACAGGAAAGAAATAAAACCATATGGTAAAATCAGTTCAAAAATAATTTCAGTAAAAAAGTGAAAAGGGGGGAAGGGTCACATAACACATGTCATTATCAGTAAGAGGGAGTAGTACATGTCCTGGATCACAATGAGCATCCAAATCAGTATGCTGCAGTAAGCCAGGATGAAAGGGCTAGAGAGAGAAGGAAAAAAAGGGAGGGGGAGAAAGGCAATCAAAATGAAAAATAATGGGTTAGATTGTTGACGGTGTCCGGGGTTTTTCTTCTTCTTTCATTCTCTTGCTTCATTCTTCTCATTTTTCACGTTCACATTCCCGTGGAGGTCTTATTCTGTTTTCTTTTTCGCGTTGTCTTTCCTTTCCTTTTGGTATTTTTCATTGTTTTTTTTTTTTCTTTCTTTCTTTCTTTTTTTCTTCTGTTAATCCTTTCAATCCAGGACGATGGGAAAGGGGCATCATCTAGGCAGCCTGGGGCTGGTTGCGGTTCTTGACGTTCCCGCGGCCGCGCGGAGCGAATCCTCCACGTCCTTCGCGTTGGAAGCCGCCACGGCCCTGGCTGCCAGCACGGTCACCGCGGCCGCGACCGGCACCACCTCGACCAGCAGCGAAATTGGCATTTCCACCGTACGCATTGGCACGAGCACGGCGCTCTTCGACGTAGATCTGCTCGGAGCCGATCTGGTGCGGGTTAGCAGCCACGGCAGCGGCGTAGCCGGCGGGCTCAGCAAACTCAGCGAACGCGCAGTTCTATAGACAGCAGTTAGTCGGGATACCGTCGGAGGAAAGGGGTCATAAAGCAATGGGAGCTTACCTTTTGGCGGCTCACGTCGAAGTGCTTGAGCTTGCCGAATCGGGTGAGGGTCTGCTTCAACAGGTTTGCGTCCACCTTGTCGTTCACGTTTTTGATATAAGCAAGAACGGGCTGCTCTTCGCCCGCGCGGGACTGGGTCTTCTTGTGATCGTGACCGGCAGTTTGCCATCCGGATCCATCGTTGGAAGGAGGCTGGCTAGAAACGTTCTCGGCGGCGGGAGCGGCAGCGGTCGCCTGAGACGAGGCAGCAGCGGGGGCAGGCTTAGCAGGAGCAGGAGCAGGAGCAGCAGGAGCAGCAGCAGCAGGAGCAGCAGTAGCAGCGGGGATAGAGGGAACGACGGGAGCCGGAGCACCGGACTTGGAGGCGATGTTGGCCCAGGTCTTAGGGAGAGCCCTGGCCGGGGGCGCATTCTCCTTGGGAGGTGCGGGGGCCTCCTTCTGTGCAGACGGGGCGGGAGTGGGCTCAGGGGTTGGCGGCTTCTCAGCCTCAACCTCCTCTGGAACGGCAGCCGGCTGCTCAGGCTCGACGACCTCGGCATCGGTGCCATTCACTTGGGAAACGTCTTCCTGGGGTTGCGCTTCGTCGCCGTTCTCCTGGACCGATTCAGCCTTCTCCTCCACCTCGGGGGCAGGCGCTTCGGTTTCCTGCACGTCGACGGCCGGGGCAGTTTCGGGCTCGGGCTGCGTAGGCTCTTCGACAGCAGGCTCATCAACCGGGGCAGCGGGAGCAGCGGGGGCCGCGGCCGGGGCGGTCTCCTCATTCACAATATCCTCCTCGTCAACCAAGTACCGGAAGACATCATTGAGCACGTAGTAACCGTTGGGCTGTTCCGCGAGCACGAACGTCTGCACGAATTTACGAGAAGGCTCCGACTTATTCGAGATCTCGCCAATGACGGCAATCAAGATGTTGTCAAAAGAGGCCTGAGAATCAACATTCAAGACGCGGACTTTGCACTCCTGGAAGTCAAGCTGCTTTATCTTTTCGTTGATAGCCTGATCACAAAAGCAGGAGCAGTCAGTCAGATGATAAACGCGAAAGCTGGAAAGGATGGAATTAAAAAAGCTCACCTTCTGGCCGACCGCGACAGGGACCGACTCGGCCTCCGTGCCAAAGACGAGCTGAGAGCGCCGAGAATAGAAAAGCGGCAGCTTGTCTGGGTTACGGCTCATGGTGGTGTAATACTGCTCGACAAAGTACCAGCCAACCTCGTCCTTCGAAATTCCATTCTTCTGCTCAGGAAGGACATTCGTAGGAGTGGAGGACTGGGCCGGCTGGAAGTTGGCAGCATTGGGGGCGGAGACATGTGCGTGGCTGAAGGAGTCGTGATAGGCGTGTTGCGCAGGGAAGCCGCCGTTGATGGGAGCTTGAGTTGTGTCGGCCATTGTGCAATAGAAGAATTGAAAGGAAAGGAAGAAGAAATCTAGGAAGTTGAAAAAGGACTCAAGAAGCTATATCAATGAGGTCTCTCTATGTGGCGAAGAAATAATGACGAAGAATCTAGCAAAAGACGAAACTTTTCCGGATCGCTTGACTATCACGGTTTCATTTGTCAGTATTGGAAGACAAGGTGTGGTGGGCGCGGGTGAGGATAGCCAGAAGGTACCCACAATGCTAAATGGAATTTAAGAGAGATAGAAAAACGAAAAGGTCAAGGTCTGTGTAGACTAGATCCGAATGCACGAAAAAGAAACAAGTAGGACCAAGGTCGCGTAGAGGTTGTTGAAGGAGAAACGAAGAAAGGAAAGATTCTTGTGCGATTTCCAATCAGGTAAGAAAGGCAAATTAGATGGGTTTTAAGGCGATGGAGAAGTTGAGAAATCGATTGAGAGGAAATGATGAGCAAGGAAGTCCGATGAGATGAAGGACAGGTGAAAGTTGAGGGATGTAGATAGCCGTAGCAAGCAAGCAAGCAGGTGATGCTGAGGAGACGAGAAGTGCGAAATCCGTCGGACTGCGCACCTTCCTTTAGCGGTGCCGCCATCCTGTTTGGGAAGTCCGGCAGAACGCGCGGGCCGAGCGACACCGCCTGCCTATCCGTTACGGTGGCCCCTATACGTGTCTGGGCGAGAGTAGTACTAGTACCGTCTATGGACATTGCGATTAAGTAGGTAGCTCGATAGATACATTCCAGAAAAAAAAAAAAAAAAAAAAACCAAGAAGCCTCCAACATAGTGGAACAGTAAAATCACCAACAGCCGAAGGAAAAGAAAAGGAGAAGAAACAGAAAGCATGCTTCGATGCGCCGCGAGGTTGGAAACACAACGACTAACTCGAAAATGAGGGGTATGATGGACATGGGAGGATAGGCTTCTCATCAGATAGTTAATATAAGTATCAAACTCATTCGTGGGGTTCGCCAAAACGAAGAAGTTGACATGAAATTACAATGAACATCAAAGAGAGACGAAGCAGCCCCGAGAAAAGATCCGAAGCAACGCAACCCAGACAAAAGGAACAAAAAAAAAAGGTATCACATAGCAAAGTCGACTTATAGGCGGGGATGCGCAAGATTAAACAGGTCGCCGATAGGTTTATGGGGAGGCCGAAGATTCGAAGGCCACCTTCTCATCCAGCACGGGCTTTCGCATAACGGCATCCTGGCCGGTCATTCGTCGGTCTAGGGCTCGTTCCACCTTAGCACCGAGCGCCAGTCTGTCCAGGTTGTCGGTTTTTTCGGCGGTGGGCACGAAGCGCTGCTTTTGAAGCGGTTTGTTCTCCAGTCGTTCCAGTCCGTCGCGTAGATTGTGGAAATCGGTCAGACGCGGGTCACCGCTGGGCAGGTTGGCTAGGGTGCGGTCCGAAGAAGCGACGGAAGGGCTTCCGCTAACGGTTGAGAACCTCTTTGATGTCCGGTTCTACATCAATATCAGAAGAACGTTGTGACGGGAGCAAAGCCTGGTTCAACTTACGGATTGAGTCATGATGGGTCTTTCGGAGTCCAGAGAAGTATGTCTAGCCATGATAAAGGGGATCGTCAATGTTGATTGTACTTGAATGATGCTCAATCGAATCGGTGGGCGTGAGGTTGACTGGATACCAGATCACACGAACGATGCTGGGGTGGAAGTGGTTAGTTGGATTAGGGCAATGGCTTGGGAAGGCAAACAGAAGGAAGAGGGATAGCAAGGAGATAGATGGGGATTGAAGCAGTCGGACAAAAGGGACTGACAGAATGAATAGAGGAGATATGTCGGTATCATCCGACAAACATGATTTTTTTTTCAGGGGAGAACTTTGGTGATGGCCAAAGCAGCGAGAACATACCTTGAAGGCGGAGGAGAGATATTGGCCGACAAGAAAAGATGTGGGAGGGTGCCAGGCGGTAGGTATCTGAAAGGAGAATCGAAAGATGTAGGCGGCAGAAGAAAGCGTCTACTAGTGTTTTTTCTTTTTTCTTTTGTTCAGTCAGTAGAAATTGAGCGGAGCCAAGGAGGTGGGCAACGCGGTGATTGACATGCAAGACCGAATTCAGGAGAGCCGGGGGAGTCAAGGGAACGGATGACAGCGTGGGTCACGGAGGCGCTGCAAGAGCTGATAAAACTCGGCCACGCGAAACCAGGGGAATTTTGGGAATGGGTGCGCCCGTCCCGGTACCGTAAAGGTTGGTTGGTGGTACAAGTACGGAGTACAGTTGGGAAGTACTCCTAGGTAAGGTGGTAGACTGGTAGATTCTGGGACGGACGCTTTCGTATGATGATCATCGGGCTCCGTTCTTTTTGGGTCCTTCGGGTGAATGCATCATACCATTTCTTTTTTTTTTTTTTTTTTTTTTTTTTTTCCTGCTTTTCTCTCTGCTATTCTGTTTATTTCTTTTTCTTTTCTTTTCTTTTCTTTTTTTCTTCCCCATCTATCGGTCTTTTTTCTAAAACTTGACACCCACTCTTAGGTAGATTACTGCCACGTGCGGTATGGGCCTTTAGACCATGATAAAAGGAATGGCTTGGCATCCACGCGAGCCGATCGCGGACACCAAATTCCGTTTCCATGGAAGACGACCGAGGTGCTTTCTCACGCGGTGGCAAATCAGTGAAGTCATCCATTCTATCAGAGTGCACAGTCAGATACATAGTAGACAGTAGTACTACTGTACAACGCCCGAAACAATCGGCTCTCGTTGGCACCTGAACACCTGAAACAGCCTAACTCTACGGAATCTCTAGTCGGCCTTAGCTCCCTCTTAGCTGCAGCCAGAGAATTGATATCCGTATTGATCATCCATACGGAGTAGGTACCTAAGTTACGGGGGACGTATCGCTGCCTATCTGTAAGCTATCCCGGGGGCGGTAGAGAAAGCGGTCTCCAAGACCCGGCATTATCTCGCAGCCCCTCACATCTTTTTTTTTTTTGTTTCTCCCCGTCTCTTTGTTCATGTGTTGGTTGTGTAAGTTCAACGCCAAAAATAGCGTTCCTCATTTATTTCTTTGAGAGTGTCCTTCTCTCTAGCCCGGATTGCGTTCGTGAGGCGTTCTTTGTTGGGGATCAGCAAGTTACATTCCTTCCGCAACCCATCATGCCGAAACCCAAGACTTTCTTGAAAGAATCCAAGGCCAAGAAGAAGGCCTCGCAGCAGGTAAATCCATACCTTTCTAATTCCACTGTTCTATAGGATTATCATTGTTTCGGTCAATTGACGAAATGGAAACAGGCCCCCGAGACTGCCGATGAGTTCCTAGCCGGTAATATCTAATGACCTTCTAGTCCCTACTTTCGCTAATAACCATGCGCTTTTGTAGTCGGCGTGGAACAGGAAGAAGCGGGAGAAAAATGGAGGGCCGGAGATGCTGCCAAATCCATGCGCTTTTTTATGCGCGCTATCGCGACCTATGATGAGGGCTTGAAGAAGCACCCTCAAGCGTTCGATCTAGCATACAATAAGTAAGTCGCCGACACTCCGGCACACAGCCAGTCAAGCTTATTATGAATTAGGGCGAGAGTCCAATACGAAATCACCCAACATCCTAGACTGGCTGCTCAGCTACCCGCCCCGGTGGGCGACATCTTGCAAACAACACTGCAGTCGCACAGAGAAGCGCTTGTCCTAGATCAGGACAATGCAGACGTCTTGTTCAACACGGCTCAGGTCCTCACGAGTCTTGCGGAGGCTATCACCGACACCAAACGCCCCGCCGATGAACAATTGAACCAAGCCGTAAAGTTTCTCCAGGAAGCCCTAGAACTCTTCCAGCGTTGCCTCCTCCTGCAAGAAATGAAATACACCGAAATGCAAGAGCACATCAAACAGATGGAATCCGGAGCTTTGGATCAACGCCCCGAGAACATTCAGCCCACAGAAGAGCAGATGGACGATGCAGGTGAATCAATGACCTCGGAACAACAAGAGCAATGGGCTGCTGTGGTTGAGCCGGTGACAAAGGACACGCTTGTGGATACCGCCGTGGCCCAATTGGAAACACTCACCACCCTTTGCAACCTGCTCACCTTCGATCCCCGTGTCGGGCTTCCTTGGGTGGAGGGATACTCCACGGACCTTCTCCAGGAAAAGATCACGACGTATGTCGATGGTTCCAGCAGAACATACGACGCTTCGCTGGCCCGTGCAAAATTCGCCTGTGCCCTTGCGGAAGTACTGTACCGAGGTGGGCGTATAGATGTTGAAACGTATTATGGAGAACTTGCGCGTGTTTTCACTCCCGAACTGGACCTGTCCGCGGATCCCGATGGTCTTTGCAGCAAAGCGGATGCGCTTACGTCTTTCAATACCGCGGTCACAGACCTGCCCCCTTCTCATGACCATGAGATGTTTGCTAAGTCGTTGAAGCTCAGATGGCAGGCACTATCGGCGGCCCTGGATGGCTTGACCAAGGCTTCCAAGATTCCGGATGCGGAAAATTTGCCCAAGATCCATCTGGCTAGAGGGGATGTAGAAGTCAACCGATGGCGGCTTGGTATGCCGCCCTGGGAATTTGCCTTGGCGCAGCAGAACTCCACTCTGCTCCTGCAGAATGCTCAAACATATTATCGAGGCGCGGCGGCCTTGGCCCGAAGAGACGGGGCCGCAGACGAAGAACGGGATGGGACTTGTAAGGGAGCCATAACTGCTGCAATGAACGGTCAAAAGGAGAAGTTGGACCAGCTCAAACGCAGCGCGCCCAAAGAACTGATGGTGGTTGCGGAAGACATGGTGGAGGACGGTTGGGTGATCCCTACAGACATGGAGGCGTTGCTGTCGTAAATATATATACCCATTCCCACCAGTAGCAGACACCGAATGCTCGTCTCAATCAGATGTCCGATCTGGCCTTCACTTCCCCGTCCATCTGAAAAGCTTCTTTTCGAAGGTCGTTCTCTTCGCAGAAATGAGTCGCTGCCGCCGCCGCCCCTTCCAGGTCGGAAACGACCGACTCGAGACCCGATAGCAAGCTCTCAATTTCTACTCTCTGAGCCTGGACTCGTTGCGCGAGTTCTGCATTTTCAGTCTGGGTTGCTTCTATTTTCGAATCCAGAGTCGTCTGCGTCTCAAGTAGATACGGAGCGAGGTGAGCGCGGTACAACTCATCCGGCGACAAAGTGTGGGCACTGAAAAGCAAGTAACATCACATAGTCAGTCAAGGTCCTCAGCGCGAACAAGAAAGAACCGAAGAACTAGAACGCAAGGGAAGAAAGGGAGTATTTACGCGACGTCACCGTCTCCTTGGCCGTGTTCCTTTCTGTAGATGGCCTCTCCGACCAACCTATCCAACTCGTTCAATTGACGCACCGCGTCCTTCTCCTCCACGATGTCCTCGAATTCAGCGCGGGCACTTTCCTCCAACTTCGTGTTCAACTGTCTCCACACGGACTCCAAGCTCGCCGGGACGTACTTTGCCGGCGTTGGGAAACACCCCGAGAAGTTGGCGTACGAGTTCGCTCGAAGCGTGCGGCCCAGAGCCTGGTCGAACACCTTCTGCAGAACGGCGGCGCGCGGGCCTGGCGTAAGGGGAATGGGGACGGGAGGCGGGGGAGAAGGCGAGGCTGCCGATCGGGACGGATCAGGGTGGGAAGGGCCACGTTCTTCTGTCATGGTCTAGAATCAGACACTATCGTTCGGGTTTCTTTCTTTCTTTAGTGGGGTGGAATGGATGACGGGAGAGCGCAGTTGTTGGAGTTGAAGCGAAAGCGAGAAACAATCGGGGCGCGCGTTGCGGGAGGACGCGCTCGGTCACGTGCTTGTATAGAACCAGGGAATGCGAACAACTGCCTATGGCACCCGCAAGACAATATTGCAGTTAGTTTCAGATTTTTTGTATGAAAAAAATACCGTTATTGATGGAATAATCCCATGTCTTCACGCAATCTTTGGATTCGTATAAGTTAACGTTCATGCTATTAATAGAGACACAGGTATGAGCCAGAGAAAACGCCCAGATCTACCCCAGCTAAGCGGTCAATCGCTGGGTGCTACGATTTCCACCAAAATGTCAAGATCGTGCAATATCATTCTCAGCTCTAGGATCATGGTGAGGACCGAGCCTGTGGAAGGCGGACTTGAAGGCAGGCCAGGAGATGGATACGTAAATGATGCTATTCCAGAAGCCCTGCAAAGGAAGGACAAAACTGGATAGATGGTTCAAGACAAAACTGAATGAATGAGGAAACGCAATAGCATATACCCGGTTGACTGTGGACGGAACCTAACGTGATCTGTCAGTCACAATTCTGGACCCCCAAGCTGAAATACATGGGCAGATAATTGCCGTTGTACTCACCCAGGTGATAATCAAAGCAATAAAGAAAAGCATTGCATACTTGGTGTAGGCCCAAGCTGCAGAATTGATTTCGCCCACCATTGCGCGGCGTTTGAGGGTTTCAGGTCTCAGCGGCCTTGGCGGCTTCAGCGGTAACCCGCTGCCTTGCCCTCCTTCGATAGTAACCGAGTATGAACCATAGATTGAGGGAGGGTGGTGCGGTGAGATCGGGCTCAAGCTTTCTGTGACTGATCGGGAGATTTCATTGGGGGCCGCTGCCTCGCTGGTGATGTGGATTTCGGTCGTTTTCAAACAGACCGGCTCATTTGGAGTCTCGCAATCTGCTTTCGCATAGAGCTTGTTGATCTTGCGAAGCTGCCGCCCTCTCTGGTAGATCAATTTGCCTATGCGCGCATAAATTCCGAGGGTCAGGAAGATAACAAACCAGACCGGGCCGTAGAACAAGGCAACTCGCAAGAAGTCCCAAGACGGTGCAACCCAGCACCAGATCTACACCAAGTATCAATATATAGACTAACTCTGACCGCGAATTCCAGAGCACTTACCAGGGCGCTTCCGTAGACCTTTCCGCGCGCCTCAGTTTGAATGAAGACATATGCGAAGGCTGGGATAAATGGCAATCCATAGCAGAACGCAAGATATTTCCACTCTAAACGTCGGAGCTGGTCCGAGTCATACCTACGAAAAAAGGTCAAGTAGACATTGCAGGCCATGGCAAGAGTCCATAGCGCATCGGCAGGCATGAACCTAGTTGATATCGGTGTTCAGTATGGCGGATTTTTATAGGGCGTTGACTACACAAGCCATTGAAGTAAAAACGCCTGGAGCTGGCAAAGAGGGCTATCTAGGCCTGCCTGAATGCCTGACTGAGATATAACGGTGGCCAAATTGCTCATGATGTTGCTCCAAGAGGCATAGAATACCAGGCGGTTGATGGGTTTCCGAAAAGAACTAGAGCAGATGAAGGAGAGGATGATGATACTGGTGGCTGCTAGAGACACCGCCGAGTATACCCGTTCTGTGATCGAGATGGCATATAGCTGACGTTCTGACAGCGACATAATTCCAAGATCATAGTGAGTAGGGCAGTCTTAGGAAGGGTGAACGAATGCCAATTTCCTCTGACTTGCTAGTCCAAAGTCACGGCCAAGATACATAAACTCAATGATCCAGTGGGGAAGGCGTTATCTGGTTTTGTATATGATTGCTAGCATAATTGAACATACAAAGCCGATAGGACTTTGCAGCTACTCACGTCGCTGCATCACATTTCACTTCAAACGTCATCAGCAGTCGAAATCAAAGATACTCACACGCACAAAGGAAATGGGCGGGCCTATCCCTCTCTTAACAAAAGCAGCTTGAAAGCGTCCACCGCCCTCCAAATGTTCGCAGAGCTGGGGAAAGGGAAGTATACGAGTAAACTATATTGATTCGTTCGATATTGACCAAAGTTCGGTTGTCCGTTTCAGGAATCATTCGTTGATTCCAGTTGAGTCCTCTCTTTTTTCTTTTGTTGCAAACCATCCGAGTAGTTCTCTATTAAGTTCGTTCAGGCACCAGCCATTCTTTGACGGTGTAGACGTCTGCCATGGATGGGTAGCTTGTCTATTCTCGTTCATCTGAAAAGGCGTAGAGTAGGGCCCACGAAAGCGATAATCAAGAATGCATGAGACTTAGTGGTGCTAGTACGAGGGTCATTCTTTGAGTGACCAGCGAAAATAAAGTCGTATTGTTGAATAGACCCTTTCTTCTCCCTGTTTGAATGAAAGAAGACATTCGATCGATCTTGAAACTGACAATCACACCCGAAGCATCGATCAAAGAAAGGATATGAGTAAACCAGGATCAGGGGGGAGTGGAGCAAGAACTCTCGAGGTCACGAGTCCCACGTCCAGTCGTTCATACCATGACGTATCTGGAACTGTGTGAGAAATAATTATTGAAAGAATGCCCAAGAGAGATCATGGGGATTCCTCAGCTCTTTGCACCAAAGAAATGCTAGGTAAATTCGAAAGAGAGAGAGAGAGAGAGAAAAAGAAGTAAGAAGTAAAATAAGGAAACGAAATAGGTACCATGTATGAGCAGCTGTGCAGGGGAATAAGAATGTTATGTCGCTTTCTTCATGTGCCGACTTTCACCTATGCACAAGACGATATGATATGTATGCAGCCAGAATAGAAACCACGCGAAAACAAAAGAAAAATGAGCTCGATATATCCTTGCCTTGATCAGAACGCCACGCTTTCCTCCTTTCTGAACCTGCCATCCCATCATGCCCCTCAATCCATCATAACGTGGAGATCCAAACCAGGGCCTAGAGGCGGAAAGAAAAAAGAATCAAAAGATAGAAAAAGAAGAAAGAGATGTCAAACACAGAGGGGAAACAAACAAACAAAAGAGAGATAAAAAAAACTAATATGCTTGTTGTGGCGGGACCATTCCCCCGTACGCTCCGGCCATCTGTTGCTGTTGCTGTTGCTGCTGTTGCTGCTGCAACTGAGCCTGTAGCTGAGGTAGGTCGTGGAACCACGGGTGCTGTAGGGCATCGTGCGCGCTGATTCGCATCTCGGGCCGCAGTTGCAGCATCCGGTTCAGCAGATCAAGCCCCAAGGGATCGATCTGCGGCAGAATAATGCCCAGGTCCTGCGTAGCATAGACGTGGAAATTCGGCTTATACTCCGGAAGCTGAGAGATGCCCGGCCACGAGCGCTCCGAGGGCGTGCCCATCAGCCGGAAGATCTTCTGCAACTGATCCTCGTTCGTGGTTCCCGGGAATAACGGACGGCTGGTGTACAGTTCTGCCATGATACACCCGGCAGACCAGATGTCAATGCTTGTGTTGTATGTCCTGCTGCCCAAGAGGACATCCGGGGCCCGATACCATAGAGTCACCACCTCATTGGAGAATGTGTTCACCGGAATGCCAAACGCGCGAGCAAGACCGAAGTCTCCTAGTTTAAGCTGCCCCTTCTTATTGATCAAGAGGTTCTGCGGCTTGAGGTCACGATGAAGCACTCGGTTCTCATGACAGAAGGCGATTCCCTTCAGCAGCTGGTGCATGAACGATTTGATGGTTGCCTGGTCCATGCTGCCCCGGTCGTTGCGGGTGTCCATGTACTTCTTCAGATCCTTGTCCATATATTCGAAGACCAGCATGAGCTTGTTTTCCGTGTGGATCACATCGTAGAGCGAAACGATACTCTCGTGTTTGAGCTCTTTCATCAACGAGATCTCCCGGATAGCGGTCGACGGCGTCCCTTCTTCGGAATCGAGATGGATTTCTTTCAGGGCCACTAATTCTCCGGTTTGGCGATTTCGACCTTTAAACACCTATAGTGACAAACCAATATAGTCAGAGGCTGGCGGAGAAGCGTAAATGGGTGTCAGCATGATAAGGTCAACGTACAGTAGCATAAGTTCCTTCTCCGAGCTAGAAAGAAACACCATACGCAGCAGACGTTAGCTTCTCTCTCTTTCTCTCTGTCTCTCTCTTTCAGTCTCTCACCCGGTGGATCACTAGATCGCACACGCGGAGTCGGAGATAACGCACCTTTTCCAGCTGCTGGAACGAGCTGGGTTGCTGAGCCTTGTCCATGGTCGACGAAGCGCCGGGCGAGGCAGGCGAGGGTTTGGGACGAGGATGAGAGAACAGGAAGGATTTGGGGGAAACGAGGGATGAGACAATGTCGCGATAGGCGGAGGTGGTTTGCTGCAAGTGAGGATCCCTCGGGGTTCTTAAGCTGCTGCGACTGTCCATGTCAAGTCGGCGCTGATCGGTGCTGAGTGCGAGCCCCGCGGCATTTCCTGCGTGCTGACTTCTTCCCTCATACCGCCCGGTAACTGCTGTACGCCTCAGGACTCAGGCAGACAGGCAGACAGGCAGGCAATACATACGTGACCATACGAATCATACCGGCTGTACGGTAAGGTTCCACCCCCGCGCTTAAGGCCCACCAATGCCCGGTCGTTCTTCGGCCACGGCGTCTACCTTGCATATCGGTTTGGTTTCTAGATTTACATAGGAATAGGTAAAGGTACTTGGGTACTACAGGTAGGTACCTGGTAGGTCGGTCTATAATTAGAAGGTAACATGGGAGTGGTATATCGTAGCTAATCAACCATGCAGCCTGTATCATCCCTAAATTACTTCTGTATGCAGGTATATTCTAAAGAAAAAGTATCTATCTACCTAGGTAGTATGTACCTTGTAGAAGCGCCCAAGGGATGGCAGCTGAGACGCGACGGAGGGCAACACCGATTCCGAACTGAGGCTACAGCGGATGTAGGTGGATCCGACCGGATGGTCTTGCTCTCCTGTCCCAAAGAGCACGGACTCATTCCGCACTCCCCCGAGGTTGATGATCCCGATGGGCATGCCTCTCCGATACGCCCTTTCCACCAGCCGCCACGCCGAAAAGGTGGCGAGGCTACTGCCGAGAACAAGCAGCCGACCAGCATCGTCGATTGCTTCTTCTGCAGCCGCCTTCACCGCCGGATTGATGTTTTCTCCGAACATGATCACCGCCGGCTTGAGGATCCCGGCGGTGGACGAGGGTAGCCAAGCGCCGTCGCTTTCGACATCCACTCTGCCCGCGGTTCCATCTGCAAGTATCGGCGGTTTCTCTAGACAGGTTGGGCAGGATGGATACCTGAAAGTGGAATAGGGGGCTTCGGCTAAGTCCACGTCACCGTCCGGATTGAGCTTCAGGCCTCTGCGTCGTCTTTCTTCCGGGTTGTCCGTGTCGAGTGCCCCGGTGTCGACCATCCGTGCCAGAAGCTCCGCCCAAGCAGGGTTGAGCTTCTGCAGCGACTCTTGAAACTGGGCACGGGGGAACTGGTTCCGGCAGCTCGTGCAAATCACCGACCTCAAGTAGCCATGGAGTTCCACCGTGGCGAGGTCTGGATGAGCCGCCGAATGAAAGGAATCGACGTTCTGCGTGACGACGGAACTGACATAACCTTTGGCGCTTAGGTCTCGAATAGCCCAGTGTGTTGAGTTCGGCTTTGCTTTTACAAGGCCTGGCCACCCGACGAAGCTCCGGGCCCAGTACCTCTTGCGAGATTCATGCCGCGTCACGAACTCATGGAAGTAGATTGGTCGATAGGTTCGATTTGTAATGTAGGTGCCGTTTTCGCCCCGATAGTCGGAAAGGCCAGAAGCCACCGATATTCCCGCACCAGTCAACAGCACCGCCTGCGAATGTCTTCCCACATCAACCCCGCGGAGATATGGCGACGGCGGTGCGGCGAAGAAGGAAAAGAGAGCATCAATGGCCCCGGAGACGGTGCGCGCGGACGGAGGAACGATAATCGGCGGAGGCAACGGGCCGGTGAACGGAATGCGAATTGATGGCGTCGCCATTGAAGACGCATAGTCGAAAGGCGTCTACCTGAACTCTAGAATAAAGTAGGATCGAGAGAGGAGTAAATCTTGGTCGGGGGGTGAGATCATCGATAGTTGACTTATGATAGATGACTAATCTTTCTTATCACATGATGTGTTGGCAGGGGACAAGCGGACAGGGAAGGCCTGTCAAGTACTGGCTTTGTACGGAGTAGAGAGAATGGTCAGGTCGTATACTTCTGCTGCATGGTCAGCCACCTATATCGCCCATTGAAAGAAAAGGAGAGCAGACGAGTGGTGTCGATCGTTTCATCTGGACTTCCCCGGACTCCGGCACGTGACCGCGGGAGGCTCCTGCACGTCATTGTTCGAACCTTTTTTGAGTTGCCTTTTTGTCCTCTCAGTCATAAATCTCGCAAGAGTTAGAATATCGAATTGGGGACATCATTCTCAATTCGTGAGTTAGTTCACACAGGCCATGTTCCCCTCCCAGATCGTGAATTTAGATTTAGACGCATTGAGCGGGATTTGTGGGTAGGTGCACACTACAACCAACCACCTTACTTGCCCTAGTACCCTCTCTTTCCCTGCTGCGGGCTGTCGATGAATCTATCCTTGCTAATGATGAAACAGTTCTATATCAATTGCTTGCTGGGTCGTTGTTTTCTCTCCTCAGATCATTGAAAACTTCCGTCGCGGGTCCGCAGATGGCTTGTCACTTCTCTTCCTCGTTGTCTGGCTCGCTGGCGATGTATTCAACATTCTGGGAGCCGTGCTGCAAGGCGTCCTGCCGACAATGATCATTCTTGCTGTGTACTACACGTTAGCGGATATCGTACTGCTAGGACAGTGCTTCTACTACCGAGGCTTTACCCTGAAGGACGAGCTATCCCAGCCTCCCTCTGCTGCGCAGGGTGACGCCGAGAATGCAGCCCCGGCATCGGAGCGAACGGCTCTCCTTTCCTCGAAGCCCAACGACTCCTCCTATGAATCAAATGGGGTCCAGGACCAGTATAGCTATTCTTCGTCCACTGCCGTACCACCCACCCTATCTGATCATAGAAGACACTCGGCGACGTCTTCCACGTTCCGAGACATCCTCCATCCCTCGGTCGATGGGACCCATCTGTCTCCAGCAACCCCGTTCATCGAGCCTTCTTCGAAGCAGACGGCATCTGCACGCCATGTATCCGCTATTCAATCCATTCTCTTCAACTTCTCTGCTATCCTGCTGGTCTGTGCGGCCGGTATACTTGGCTGGTATGTCAGCCCGGGGTCCTCCAAGAACAAGGGCGAAGAACAGCCGCCGGATGATAATTCCCTGTCGTTCGACACGTTGGGCCAAGTCTTTGGCTACTTCTGTGCCGTTCTCTATCTGGGCTCGCGATTGCCGCAGATCCTCCTGAATTACCGGCGCAAGTCCACCGAAGGCGTCTCCCTTCTCTTTTTCCTGTTCGCCTGTATCGGAAATCTGACCTACGTCCTTTCCATTCTCGCTTACTCCCCAGCCTGTCATGGTGGCTCACCGGAACAGACTAACCGGTGTCTTCCAGGGGAAGCCTCGGCGTTATATGGCTGGTATATTCTCGTGAACTTGTCGTGGCTGATCGGCAGCCTGGGAACCCTGTTCCTCGACATGTGCATTTTTGTGCAGTTCTTCCTGTATCAGGATTCTGGATACAGTGAGATTCAACCCACGAGTCAGGATAATGTGGCAGAGTAACCGTCATGTGCCCTTGGCTTATTAAAAGAAACCCCATTGTTCAGAGGAAGCGACAGGGCCATAAACCGTGAGACAATGCTTTCTTTATCTAGAACAGATGGGTTGATCTAACTTGGAGCTAAAATTGGCCAACTTAAAATCCAGCATTTAAAAGCGTGCTCTTGAGATTTGAAATTACTTTGCTCTGTGAGATGACAACACGTAAATGTGACAGAGAGAGGAGAGGATTGAACTGAAATAGAAACCCTTTTGGTTTCCCTTGACCTGCCTCATTTGAAAGCGGCGAAGGGAATCGACCATATGCAACACCCGCTAGAAAAACAACGATGACCCCGTAAAGCTAACTCCGGTAATGTTTTGAGCCGACTGTTTTAAGCGTCGGCTCCAAGTCAAGACAGTTCAATCACTGGGAGGCCGAGCCTCGACTTTGCCTTGGCTGACTTCATTCCAGTTGGTGCTCAGAGAAGTTCCCTGGCTTTCAGTGTAACTCTTGATCATGGCACGGCGGGTTTCCGGATCGGCACCCGCGTATAGCTTCTTGAAGAAAGAGTCGACCGGATCGCCACCTTCGTAGTCCGAGTCACCACCGTCCGATTCATTACCTGCCTGATCGTTCTTGGAGTCGGCTGCTCCATCGCCCGTCGCCGTTTTCTTCTTGCCCTTGTCCCCGGACTTGGTCTTCTTTTCCGTTAGTGTGGATGCCAGCTTGTCCCAGTCTTTCGGTCCATTGCGAGATGACGAAGGATAGGTCGGCGCGGCGCTACTTGATGGCGCAGAGCTCACAGGGGCTTGCCGATCGGCTAGCTTAACGTCCGTAGACGTGGCTTCCAAAGCACTCCATTTCTGGCCCGGCGTCTGTTTGCGCAACGAGAGTTCGATCTTGGTGGACATTACGGAGACCTTAGATGCGGCAGCGTCGATAGTGGCAAACAATGGATCGAGAGTAAAGTCATAGTCAGCGCCAGAGGGAAGAGGGAACCCAACGGTAACCTGAAATTGCACCGATTAGTATCTAGAATCTCGGTGAAACAGCGAGAGTGTATTGGGAAACATACCGAGTCGCTTGCGAGCTGAACACTCGCTTTGTCCTTGGGTACGCCCTTCACGTACAGGGTCACGACCACTGACTCGTTAGACTGATACCACTCATGCCTAACCTTTTCAACCGAAGCAGCGGCTGGAACACTCGAAGGTACCGGCTTGCTCTCCAATGCGGAAGAAGCAGCTCCCTCATCGATGGAGCTCTGGTGCTTCTCCAGTGCCAGAATACTGTTGTCTCCTGTTTTTCCCGACTTGAAAGCCTCCAGCTGCTGCTTGAGTTCTTTCTCGCTAGGACTTTTAATACCCGTGGGATACTCGGCGACCGTCACAGCAGCTTTCTCGTCCCCCTCGGCCAGCTTGTTAAGCTGGCTCTTCACCTTCAGCGTCCAGATGGGCAGCTCCTGCTGGTATCCATTCTTGGCCGACCCAGCCATAGCATTCTTCACTTTCTCCGATTTGTCCTCACCCTCATCCCCCGCACCGGTCTTTTCCTGAATAGACCCGAACACGAACGCGGCATCCCCGTACCGTCCCAGTTGGTATAATGCGACACCTCGTCTCATCTGAGCAGCCATGATAAGCTCGCGTTTTCCACGCTCCCGCGCAAGCGTCACAGCGACCTCGGCATCATGTAAAGCGGCCGGAAAGTTGGGGCCACCGTCCGCGGGCTTCAGTCGACCGAAAGCGGTGGATCGTTTGATGTAGTAGGGCGGGGCACGAGGAAGCTCAATTAGCGCCTGGGTAAAGTATCGAATTGCACTGGGAAAGTCAGAGTTGGCGAGCGCCTTGTCTCCTAGCGACGCCGAATTCATTTTGTCGGATTGTAGTATGAAGCTACAAATGACTCCGCACGGGGCTCAATCTATAAAATCAAGTAGAGTTGTGACAGCGAAAGTGCGACAGATACCAAGTTCCAAGATGTCAGGGAAGCCAAACAGGAGAGAGGGAGTCCAGTAGGTAGATGAAGGAACTCTGTCTAACACCGCCGCAACGCCGATTCCGAAATGTTGATTCCATCGCTTTCGATTGGGAAACTGCGGGGATGCTGGCCCCGGTTCACCGCCCACGTGCCCATCTACCTCGACCATCGTGAAAATATAGGGAGAGTTCATTGCCTCTTAATCGGCGCCCACAATCGTAATACTCATGATATTGCAAAAGTGAAAGCAGGAAGAGATACCTGGGCACATTGTTCGCTAGGGTTTCAAATTTCAAACCCCTTTTTTGTTATCTAATGTTGGGAGAGGCGTACATCTGTTGTGGCCCATACAATTTCTGTTATCTTTGGTTTCGACCACGCGCAGATGGTCATGTGAAATCTGTGGTTTTTTAAAGTTTTGGTCACCTGATCGACTCCCCCCGGTAAGGCAGGCACCCAGGCATCCACTCTCAACTAGAAATATCTAGCTACATACATAGCTTTTCGCAGACAAGGAGATGATGCGGTTAGTTATGGTCGAAGGAATTAGTACACCAGGGTGTCATGTCATTGATAAATTAAAGATACATATACATACATGCAGAGACCCGAGTCCCTGCAAATCGTCCAGTTCTTATAGCGTAGCAGTCATCCTTCACAAGAGTTCTTCATTGCCGAACTTGCGACTGTAAAGCCCCAGTGCGCGAATAGGCCAGTAAAGTTTGTAGTTGGGGTAAGAGATCATGCTACAGCTCTGTTAGTTTTGAACTTTCGGGTTGCCGAATCAACCGCAAAAAAGGAAGCTCACCAGGATTGGTTGAAGACCCCCTCAATAGCTTCCTGCAGCCATTCCCCATTCGGCTGCTGCCGTGATATGAGCAGTTTCATAGCTTTCTGAAGCGGCTCTTTGTGCGGGTATCCCGCTTCCATCAGGGCCAGACATGACCACGCAGTTTGGGTGACTTGGGATTGCTCATGGTGGGTGTAGACGTGGTTTGCACAGCTGAGGTATGACTCCCCCCACCCTCCATCCTCCTTCTGCTTCGATAAGAGGAACTCACATCCTCGGCGGGAGTAGTCACTGGTCTCGTACGTCTCCCCAATACTCGCCAGACTTTCCAGGGCAAACATGGCAGCGTAGGTGAAACAGATACCCCAGGATCCGTACCAACTACCGTCGGGTCTTTGGACGCGCTTGATATACTGCACTGCCTTCTCCTTGGCCGCCTTGATATCGTCGGCGCGGTAATCAGGGTAGAACTTGCTGAACAATGAGAGTGCTGTTACAGAGGCGGTGGTGCACTCCGGGTGGTCGTAGCTGATCATAATGCCACCAAACACTTCGGCGGCATTCAGCCATTCAATCTTAGGAGATGCTCGTGTGACCTCGTACTCGGAGTATCCACCGGAAGGGTTCTGCATCAGCAGAAGGCAGTCGACGCTATCCTTCAGACGCTGCTCAGAGATCAGTTTCGGGTAATTATGAATTTCTTGGAGCTGGATAGTGGATCGTAAACCCTCAGCAGTGCAATCGCTAACATTGTAGCCTTGCGTCTTGTTGCTAAAGGGCCACGAGCCCTTGCAGTGTTGACGGTAGCACTTCTCTAGATCGGGAACATTCTCTTGGATTTGATGGTCCTCAAGGAATTCCAGGGCCTTGGTAAGCATTGGGCGCCATTTAGGGTCATCCGCAAACCCGGCAACAACTATGGCCTGCGTGATGAAGGCAGTGTCCCACACCTGGACGCCGTTGGTACCATTCGAGAGCAGACCCTCGTTCTTCATCCACATGTAGTCATGGAGGCGCTCTCGGTGGCGACGGACTGAGTAACTATCGGGTCCGTCGTGAATATAAGAAGCCACCATGTTCATGGGGTTGCTCACGGGACCGAGACCGGCAAAATCAGTGTTCTCGTCTTCCATGCGGATAAGTTCCCAAGTCCAGTCTTCTGCCCGGTTCACTAGTCCCGAGAATCGAAGGTAGGGGTTCCAAACATTGACGAGAAGTAAGTTTGCCATATTCAGAAGCCAGGTTTTAGGGTAGTAGTTGTCGGCTTTGTGAATAGAATTGCGGTGGCTTCTGAAATCAATAGAGTCATATGGCTCTGTGTACAGCTCTTGTCGTAGCTGTTTAGTGAGGGGGTCTAAAGGATGACTGAATTTCTTGGACCAGAGATACGACATGGGCAGGAAAACCTGACGCATGTGAATCCACCATCGCCAGGGAGCAAACGGAACCCAATCGGGAAGAAGCCTGAGCAGGTTCATTAGTATGAGCTACGAGTTCATTATAGATGGAGACAATGGAGGAAAGGGAACATGACAAAGATAATGAATGAAAGAAGTATACTAATAAGGGAGGAGAGGTTGCCATACCAGATCTCGGGAGGGACGGGATTGACGCAGTCCCAATCCATGACACCAAGGATGCTCAGCCAAAACTTTGACCAGTGTGGGCTATAAATGGCGCCTCCGAACTGATGTAGCAGACCGCGCGCTTTGATCATTCGAGGATCGTCCTCGCTGGTGCCGATCAGGCGCAGAGCGACATAATTTAAGGAAGTGCCCAAGCAGGAGCTGTGGCCTTCAATGTGAAGGCCCCAACCGCCATCTTCCGGGTGTTGGCGAGCAAAGAGATATCTTTTGATCTCTGTCGCATATTCCGGGGGGATCGGCGTGTTGGTAACATACCAGGTGATGATGATTCCGGGAAGCAGAAACATCGGACCACCATACTCACAGGCCCAATTCCCTGGTGGGAGTTGGAGCTTGGAGAAGAACACTAGCCCATTCTCGGCGCATTGCAACGGAGTCTTGGGCGTTGGCAATGCCGGTAGGTTCTAGACATAGAGTGTTAGTTAGATTGACCAGAAGCAGTTCCAAGGAAGGGGGGTGGGTCTAGAAGAGAACACCCTACCAAAGGAAGGCCCAAAAAGTATTTGTCCGCGGTGGATTGAGGCCACTTTTCATTCTCTTCGTCTGATTCCAGATAGTGCCAGGTCTGACGGCCACGGTCATCCAGTAGACGCCATCTAGAATAGTCTGTTTTAGGGTCCCCGTTGGCATCAAGAGTCAGATGGCCTTGCGCGGCCGTTCTCCAAGGGGCAATGTGGTCGCCAGCCATATTTGAAACCTCAATTGACAAACAATTCTCCGTAGAGCAGACCAGTAATGAATCTTGCCTAGTGAGGTCCGTATCGGTGGGCGCCAGGTGACAAGGAAGAAGAGATTATTCCTGGCGAAGATGAATGCACGGTCTGGCCCCGCTTAGTCATCAGGGGCAGGCTGAAGGATAGTTAGTCAACTAAAGCGCATGTGAAGCCTCACTCTTCTCTCGATCAGCGCCAGGCGGGCGAAATCGACCTCGCTAGCTAGCGAGGTGACATCGTTCGCTCTAAGTCCCTTGCTGTCTTCCTTTTCTCCCGTCCACCCATGGCTCCCCTTCACCAGGGAGACCCGGCCCCCAAGGACCCAGTACAGAACTACATTGCTACAACCATTTCTGCGGTTCTTCAGGAGTTGTCGTCGCCAAATGGTCGACCAGCCATATCAATTAACCAAAAACCGCAAAAGAAGTCCTGCTATATCAATACTGTCACTGGTGCCCTAGAAACCGATGACTCGCAAACTCGTACTATCAATTACACCTGGCCCGGTAAAGATGCCCATGAGGCCTGGAAATTCAGTATACTATCTTGGTTCCAAGTTGCTCTTATAGACACTCAACGCTTCGATAGCTATTATATTTCGCATTCTCGCAGCCATCACCGAAGCGATTCACGCAGGCTTGATGATCTCGAAAAGGTTGGTGTTTCCCAGATCGGGGAGAGACCTGTCTACTGAGACCACGCCCAATGCTTTGACAGAGACATCTATTACAGTGACCCAGCGTGTTTCGGATCCCAGATAGTCGTCGACACCGTCATTGATGACCTGGCTCGTACAATTGGGGTGGATCGGGCGTCATTGAATGTGGTAATATATCATGTTCACGGCGAGCGTTTCACTAAGCCCAGTACTCACTACTACCAAAGGAGGCAGCAGCAAAAGGGCTTGTCACGGGTCCTTTTCAGCTCATCCCCAGAGCTCATATGATAATGGATGGCTGCGCATCTGACAAGGTCAATAACATTGGTCATTCTTGTACCTCGCACTGCTGAATGATTCATCTAGGATGCTTTGATTTCGAGGATAGCTGGTATAGACAGTATTGACACGTCAGGTGTCAAGTGGGTGCTAATTCTTGAGAAAGAGGTGAATTCCCTAATAAAATCCCTGGCCGGTAAATGCAGTTCTCAAAGCTGTCTAGGCTGTGTATCGCCGATTAGCCAGGAATCACTATCACACCAGAGCAGCAGCCGGAAAAGGGATTCTGATCACAGTAAGACGGACTTTAAACCACCCACTCTCACAGCAGTTATTGAACAAGTCCAAGGGAAAGGGCTACCCGGACTTATGCACGCGTCAATTTATCCGTAAGTTGTCAGAAAGTAGACGACTGTTGAACGACCCTCTACGCTTCTATGCCTTGGTTGACAGCGACCCCGACGGCATGGCTATCATGTCAACCTATAAATACGGCTCAATGGCGCATACACGAGACAATGCACAACTAAACATTCCTTGCCTGCGCTGGCTGGGGCTGCGCACGTCCGATGTCGCGGCAGGTGCCAGTCCACTGGGAGATGATGCGCTCATTCAACTGACGCCGAGGGACCGGAAAAGGAGTATCGCCATGCTCTCAAGCAATCCGGTGTGGGCAGCGGATGGGCCCGAGCTTGAATGGCGTGCAGAGTTACAGCAGATGCTTATGCTTAACCTGAAAGCTGAGCTGGAGATCCTTTATGACCGAGACGGTGGAATCGAAGAATGGATTGATCGGAAGATGGCCACCGCGGACCAATAGGTCAGAGTCCCGACAACGATACCAGGACTCGACACCATCCGTCTTCGTGGTGCGTAATTTATCAGTACCAGTTTACCTTAGCATTGAATGAAAATAAGCAGACAGAAACCCATCAGTGATTCTACCGGCATCAAGTTATCAGCAATGTAGACGAATCACCGAATGATTGAAAGCTTTAGGAACAAATGCATCACAAACGCCTATGCCGCATCAAAGCACCCAGACCAAAGCTATGCCACGCACCAGGCGATCAAAGCATATACAGAACGGGCGACCTATATACGGGAGAGGAATACTAGAAGGAAATCGAAGGTTTCGCTTCCCGCCCGAGTCTTACAATCCCAGGCCCTTGCGGACCTCATCGCGAACCTTGCGCTCATACTCGGTCCGTCGCTCTCTCCACATCTTCGCGGCCTCCACGTTGGCAGGGCTCTCGTCGTTCGGCTCGGCCAGCATGCTCATGACGGAAATGAGGATCTTCTCGACGCTCTGAATCGGCGACCATCGCTCCGAAGCGTGCTCATAATGGTTGGGATCATCGCCGGGAGGGTGCAGAATGGAGATACAGACGGTTCCGTTAGGGTACACTAGAAAGAGCCATCGTCAGTCAAGAAATGCCACTTTCCCTTCCTACCGGCGAAAATCAAAGAAACACTCACCGTTCGGGTGCCAGACGCCGCCCCCGACAAACTTCATCGTCGGCGGACTCAACGGATAATCCTTGGGGAATTTCAATTCGGCCGCAAACACCCCACCCTCGAAAGGCGTACCCTCGGGACCCTGGATGAGGGCTTCCCAATGGTACATGTCATCTTCGGTGACGGGACCAGCCGTGATGCCATCGGGGGGATTCGTCGAGAGGTTCTTGTATTCGTGGAATAGACGTTTCTGCGCGACCGACGACATTATGAGGATTGTATTCGTCCGGAGAGCCGATTTGAGGTGGTGATGGGAAAATAAAAAGGCCGGGGTAATCAATGGGTTGGTCGACTGGTCGGTGTGAAAGGAATTGAATCGGGGATCAATCGGAGGCGGAGTGAGGGTGGAGTAAAGATAAAGGATACTTGAGGGTGAGACTTAGGGGAGGGAGAAGTTGGAAGAGGAGGAAAATGAGGGTTGTTGCCACCGGAGGAAAAGCGGCGTTTGTCAGTCCCGCCGAGGGGGATCGGCCCGACGTCATTTGGGTCTAATACATACTAGGAGTAGGGAGTATACAGATCCCTATCAACCGGTATACTGAGTACATACACATTCTACGTCAGGGACATGTAAGTGGCAGCCCTTGTTCGAACGCCAGATGACTTGGATATATCCTGATCTAAGCTGTCTATAACATACACCGTAAGTATACATCGTAAGCATCTCTCCTTGACGTTCCAATGAGCGAAACTAACTATAACATGTCCTGGGAGATCCCGCGGGCCAAGAATAATCATCGCGGACCAATTAGATGCTGCTGGAGCATAAGAACCTAGAGGAGATGCAAGATCTTGTCCTTTGTTTCGTGCACAGCCTCGATTTCTTTCGTTTTTGCTGGCAGATATAGTCGGCACCAAATTAGAGCTCCGGGAGTTTCCATCATTTCCACGCTTCTTTGTCTTGACACCCAGTTCTTTCGCAAAATGTGGGCGCCACCAGCTCAAGGCTAAGCCTCTTACTCTTTGAAGTCCTATGGATGTTGCACGTACATCCCTGTCCGCGCACCGAGGCACCCTCCATGTCGCAGGTTCCGTCTACTATCGATGACGTGACTAGGACCTTTAGATTAAGATCAGATGATAAGTCTAAGAATCGAAGGGGAAAATAGGCAAGGTCTATATTCAACCGTGTCCGAATATCGGTTAGAAAAAGTCGTCGTCGCCGCCATCACTCAGATCGTCGTCGGCCCAAGGATCCTCCTGGCCATGGCTCCAAGGATCTTCTTCGGCCCATACATCTCCGTAGGGACCTCTTAGTCCGGAAGTCGGCGACTGTTGATCCATGGGCGGCGGATGCTGGTCTGGTGAAGCGGACTGGGACTGGCCGTCCGCCGACATGCCCCTAGATAAGGCATCGTATCCTGCCATGGCTCCTGCGCCTGCAGCTCCAGCCGCCGCACTGTCAGCCATGCCTCCAGCAGCGCCGGCTCTACCCAGCGTCCCTGCGGCAGTCTCCCCTACAGCACCGGCCTCACCAGCGGCTGCGCCCCCAGCCGCAGCCTCTCCGCCGAATCCTGGAATCCATAGAGGGAAGAAACCAAAGCCGCCGGAGTCACTATGACGACTGAAATAGTCAAAATCAATACTGACTGCCGTAGCCATCATCACCGCACGCTGGTCAAGGGTCATGCCCGTAACAGCATTGTTTTTGGCAGCTGCTTGTTCAGCGTCGAGGGCTGCTGAGTCCATTCGCATGGCGTATACACCGGTATCCGTGAAGATCTCCCGAGCAAATCCCGCAAAGTTGCGATTGACTGAACCTATTAGGTGGCTATCCGCCGAGCGAAGGCCGAAATCCCACGACAAGAAGGGTTCATCAACATAAGCAAATTGATTGTATTCGCCTTGCCCTGACCCGTTGTGTGTCGCTTGCATAAGCTGCATCTGTTGCGCGGGGGAAAGACCCGACTGTGAGAGGGGCGTTCTCTGTGTTTGCATGTCCGGCGCTTGGTCCGGCGAGGTATGGTAGGTGAAGAGGTTGTATTTTCGCCGTAATGGCGCCCATTGTTGCTGGGCTTCCCCGACGACACGCATTTCATCAAATCCTAGTGGCGAGACTCGGGCATTTGAGGCTTCTGTCGCCTGTGCCAGTGCACCTGGCTGAACCGGCTGGACATTTGTGGAGGAATTGGCACCGGCTGCAATGTCAACGGGATTGTATACTCGGATACGAGAGTTGATCCAAGAAAAAGGACGATGAAACTGGAATGATCAGAGTGAGGACGGGGTTCTCTCGCAATGGACGGCGGAATACGTACCCGCAGCACTTCATTCTCGTGCCTATCAAACACATGCGTCATGAAGCCTCGATGCGTCCGAAACCACTGTCGGGCCATCATGCTTGCCATTCCCTTCTCTTGCTCTGCCATATACCCAATATGGTTTCCGTTTGCATCCATAATCACATACTTGTTGGCTTGTTCAAACCCGCTGTCGCAAGATCCAAGAGTTAGTTTACAGTTTTGATTAACAGCAAAGAGGCAACACTAACATCATCACATTCATCAACTCCAACTGTCGCTGGATCACCAGCCCGGAATTGGCTAATATCCCCGTCGCCGGATGGGTTTCCTTGAGCACGGCATTCGGATCTTCGGGTATATGGACGGGAGAAAGTAGTGAGTTTTGAGACGGGTCGTACTCGGGGCTGGGAGAGCCTGAATTATTTGTTTCTGGTGTCACGGGTATTCTCTCTCGTCTAAGCGGTTCTGGTCTGCGTATGGAATTGCGAGGGCCGCGAGGACTGACGCGCCCTCTGGTGAACGAGCTCGAAAGTGCCCGACCAGGCGCCCGAATCCATCGCGCCGGTGGTTGGCGGAGTGTGGCACTCCGCATTACTGATCGTGGACTGCAATTCTCGTGATAAAGTCGTTAACAATCGGCTGGGCGAGAGAGTGGATGGTTAGAAGAGCAGAATGGGGTTGATCGCAAGAAGGAACGCGGCGCAGTGGCGGGCAGAAATTATGACGAAGCGGCGGACTTAAGCGGAGATTAAAAGGTCTCCGGCAGAAGCAGCCAGAAAGTACGGAGTACGAAGTCCTCGGGCAGAACAAGAACAATCTTGCTCAACGTGCATTTTACTCATTTGTTTGAAATCAATGACAGTGGCTTGATTGCGCCTCAAACTTTCTCTTTATTGGCCAAATTGCTATGGCGGTACAACTCATTCATATCATTTGAGGTGTAGAGTGTTCATTGTTTTTCGCAAATACATTTAGTGGTCGACTTCGAGACATTTATCTACTCTACAATTAGACAGGAACATAGTTTAAATTCAAGAACCTGAACCGTTATACAATATCCAATTGTTATCCAGACACTACGTGCTTTCTGACGATTCCAAAATAAACATACTCAGTACAGCGATGCCCACCTCGTAATCGCTTCAGGCTCAATCACAAAAGTCCCTTCCGAGCCAGCTCGATCTTCCGCGCCGCTTCCCCAAGTTCGTATCCGCCTCTCGAGATACAGACGGCGCTTCCTTCGCCGAGTTCGACCTTCTCTTCGACGTCCGCGTGAGGGCATGGGCAGTGATGCGGGAAATGGACGCACGCAAGAGTTCCAGGGCAGAGATATTTGTCACAGGTGGCTGCGCAGATCGAGGTTAGTCAATCATGAACTTGATGCGACTCGACTAGGGTGTGGGTCGCGTTACCTGACTCCCATGAATTCTGATACCGAGAGCTGTCGCTAGGGACATTCTGAGAAGCCTGTTGATGTCCCTGACGGCCGCCGCCGCCTCCACCACCGCCGCCTCCGAACATGTGCTCAAAGAATTGGAATTGGGCGTGGGCCATCGTGGCCAACAGGAGCAGAGCCCCGAGGGTTTTGATCCAGGCTGACAACATCGTCGATGAACGGGGGGTGCAGATAATGGCGAGAATCGAGGTCCAGGTTCGAGACTCACAGTGCACCCGGGGCGATTAATTAGGCACTCGAGCAGAAAGAGAGGGAAAGACGAGAAGAGATCGGGATAGTATGTCGTATAGATCGCAGGGAAAGTTGATAGTTGTCTATACCCGTCGTTCCCATCCGCGCCCGCTGCACGTGACGCCGCCAAGGCCATCCGCGCCGAGAAAAAAAGCCGCTTCAACTCGAACTCGCTCCAGCACCGCCGTTGCGTTCGACTTGCCAGCACAACCCACAAAAACACACGTCCAGCTATGTTACAACCCAGACTGCTGGCCCCGTTCCGGGTGCTGGAGAGGGCAATTGCCCCTTCTCTCCGGGCCGCTCAGCCCATCTCTCGCCCTTCGTCATCCATCCTCCCTCGAACCATCTCCGCACCCACGCCGTTCTCCAAATCCCTCCTCCCCTTGTCTCACGTCCGTCACGCCTCCCACGCTACCCAGGGAGCAGCAAATCGTCACTCCCGTGATCCGGCCGGAAAACGTCTCGGCGCGAAGCGCACCGGCGGCGAATACGTGGTGCCCGGATGCATCATCTTCAAACAGCGCGGCACGAAATGGTTTGCCGGCGAGAACTGCGCCATTGGCAGAGACCACACCATCTACGCCACCGAGGCGGGCTATGTGCGCTACTACCTCGACCCGGAGCGACACTCGGAGCGGAAGTACATCGGAGTTGTCTTCGAGAAGGACGGGAAACTGCCGACGCCTCGCAACGCCCCGACCCGACGGAAGTTGAACTGCGTTGCGATTGCCCGCACGCCAGATGTGACCGCTGAGCCTCAGTCGGATCTGGTGGCGACGACCGGAGAGAACGGCACCATGGTTGCGAGCGTGCAGGCCGCCGACGCGGCCACCGGAGCCCAGCTGCGTCCGGGATACATGTACCGTCAGGCCAATTGGCAGATTGGTCGCGCGGCCGAGAAGGCTGGCGTCACGGCCAAATCGTACAACCGCAACAACCGATGGATGGCGTGGAGGAAGAGACAGGCTCGGGCGCAGCGTGCTGCCCAGATGAAGAGTCTGAAGAACAAGAAGTCGTCGAAGAAGGGCAAGGGTGGCCGTTAAAGATGATTGATGCATGCATGTCTCAACCTTTTCTCTCCCCCTGCGCCTCTTCTACTGTCATCTTAATCTACGACACATGCATTCGACTGCATCACGCAATCACGGGCTCCCTCGGTGTTTTGCCTTTTTTGTATTATAGAAAGATATCTGCAATTACCAAGTTGTTCTTCCATGTACACATGCGCCTGAGATGTAACAAATCTTCAATTTTATTTTATTTTATTTTATTTTGAAAACCTGATCCGGACAAATTGATAAAGACATAGGGTATCTATTCCAAATTGCGCCTTCAACCTCAAGAGTAAGAAATACTTTGCCCTCCCATGCACATACACCGTTGATCACAACAATATCACAACATCAACCATTACTAACTGCAGAATTGAAAGAAGAGTGAATGTCTGAGGCCAGTGCTCATGTAACAGAATTAGATCCGGCACTACATTCTCAATCAAACAATTTTCCTAGAATCAGACTCTGACAGACGAACTCATTACCGACTATCTTGACGTTGGTTTTTAAGCCTGGGCCACTACTACTGCTGATCGATTCTGTAAGCTCCGTTCTCTTGCATTTCTTGGGCTTCTGAGTCGATTGGGCTTTCTGCGAGCCTGAAAGAGGGGCCCCAAGGATCGTCGCAATCGCCGATGCCTTTTCATCGTTATCGACATAAATCCAGTCCCATTCACATTTGTCTGCGGTACCTCCTTGCTGGTCGAGGACGGTGCGCACGGACTTGACATCTGGAACCCGCTCAACCCGGGAAGCACCCAAGGCATATGTCAGGAACAAATATGCCTTCCTTCGTTCCTCGTCTGCTTTGCCGCGGCCCATGACAATAAGAACCGACTGTCCGTCCAGGAGATTGGGCCGCGCAGAGATAACTTCAGGAAGCCGAGCCTCCGAGGCTGGATAAGGCGCAAGCATCCTTGATTTCGTGGCTCCGTTCAGATAAGACGATTCACCAGCCGGTAGCAGATACAACTGCCAGTCCACAACCCGGCATTGGGCTACGCAGTCTTCTATCCAGCGACCCGAGAGACACGGCAGGTTCAGAGCCAACGCTTGCATATACTTTGGGCGACGAGAATGCCTATCGGCTATCAGACAAGCAAATCCAACATCTTCGGCACCGCGGGTAAGCCGCAGGTAATTTCTGTTCTCAGTTGCACCTGGTGCTGGAGATTTTGACGGCGTGGCAATTGGAGCGTTCGTGGGCAAGTCGAACAGCTCATTAAAGCCATCATGCAGGATGCGCCCATCGTTGTCTAGAATCATCTGGGTGATGCGTGATTTCGTATCGTTATTTTCGCCGTAAGACACGGCGAATACCATCCCAGAAAAGACGCCGTTTGAAAAACGGATGCTGCGAGACAACCAAGTACTTGGGGAGATCGGAGTTGAGTGTCTCTCAGAAGGTGTCTGGAGTCTGCTATCGAACTGGACTGACACAGAGTTGTAGGAATATGTGCGGTCTTTGAGTTGGTTCCAAAGAATTGTGTCTAGATAGATCCGAGAGATTGGAACCTTGACAACACTTTCAGGCCCTGTAAGTCCTCCGCTGGGGAGACTTTTTCGTTGTTTTGGTCCCAATATAGCAGTCGCGTGCCCATAAACATCAGTCATTGGCACCGCTCCGTTGTTGGCTTCTGTAGAGAGTTCATCCGCGCCAAGCTTGTCGGCAAAGCCTCGAACGATATGCGTGACCTTCGGAACATTAGGCATGTCCACTTTGACGGCATCACCAACCCTCAATTCCAGAGTCTTGACAGCACTCATGGGAACTTCAATGGGGGCAGCATCCTCGAACTTCACAAGGTACCTAGTGCTTGAGGTCCCAAATGGCTTACCAAAGCAAGTCGCGGGATAGTAGGCTCGTTTTGATCCACTCCAGGGAGCAAATACCTGGTTGACAGCGATTTGAACGAGATCAGCAGACGGTAATTCAATCCTTACTGGCTCGCTTGCAACGTTGTGGTTTGGTTGTTTAAGTGGAGATTTCGTTGACGGGGTTGTTTGAGGTTGTGCCAAAGGATCGGGGCTGGTACTTTGGTGACGGCGGCTTATAGCGGGTTGAACATCGATATTCTTCGCCGGTTCACGGGATCGCTGTAGTTTCTTTTCTAGGGAGCGCGCGAGTGGCCTAGGGCCTACCGTTTGTGACATATGGACATTGGGGGGATCGTCTAGATCCCAAGGGTCCATTCGCCGAGAAGGTCTTGATCGTTTCTCGAAAACTGTCTCCGGTGCCATTTTTGGCTCTGGTTGTTGTGGCTCTTCCTTTTCGGTTACTTCATTTTCTTCGAGTCGAGGAAGATAGGAAGTCGGCCGAGGAGTAATCGGGACCAAAGAATCAGATGCGCAGATACTTCTGCCATCATTTCTGCGGCGTTTCTTTCTCGCGGGTATTGGGGACTTATCAACCGCGGACCTGAATTCCCGATCGTCGGCAGAGAGTATATTGATGTCGACGTCGAAAAGACCTAGTCCAGCCCGAGGTGAAACATCAGCCGCGATTTCGGTCAAAGCTCTCCGCTGCCTCCCACTCGGACTAGATAGGATCTTAGAATTAAGTCGGTTTTTCACGGGCGACGAGCTGTCTGGATTTTCGGGCTGAGAATGGGAGATTCTCTCGTGCACAGTCGCGTGAATAGGGGGCAGATCGTCATCTTCTTGGTCCATCAAATCATTCCGGAGTCGATCGGGGCTTGTTTCTGGGGCATCTGTCGCTGGAATCTCGTCTCCAAAGCTCCTTGAGCGGTGGACTGGTGTTTCTGCGACGCGAGAGGGCATTGACGATGATTTATCTCGAGGATCGGAACGTGAAGTCTTTTCGAGCCCTCCAGTAGAATTCGGTTCTTTCAGATGGCTAGGCTGTATGATGCTATCATGTGAAATAGGGGGATTCTGGGCAAGGTGTTCTAAGGACTCGCGAGAAGAGGTCGAGCCAGACCTCCCCCGAGGCTGTCGATGTTGGTTAAGTTGGAATGAGACCCGACTTCGCTGAGACGCCGATGGGGGAGACGACTGTATGCGAGAAGGCTTTTGGGGCGAGCACACTGTAATCTCGGGGCCATACGACGGTGGTATATGCGAATTCTGGTGTGACGCAGCGTACTGTGTCCACGACTCTGGACCAGTATGGTTGATCGTCTCATCCTGATCATGCTTTGGAGATTGCTGGGAATCCTCGACCACCATTATTTGTGATGACCTGCCAATACCGTCCATAAGGTTGTCCCGGGTCTCATCCTGAGACTGCGGCTGAGAGTCTGCAAGCGCGCTGATCGGCTTCCTAGGACTCGGGGACGGACTTCCATCTAACGATAGTACCTGAGAAAGGCGATCATGTGCATTGGTCGCCGCAGCGCGCGGAGTCGTGGCAGGATCATCATAATTTTCCTTCTCTTCCTCGGTTGAAGGCTTCAACGCTGGAAATTTGGACATTGCTTGATGGGGCTCTTGCTCATGTTCTGTTTCTTCTTCGCTAGCCTCGTCTGTCGGTAGCGCACCAATGCCTGTCTGCTGTCTACCTTCTTGAACAGCAGCGATCGACTGATCGGGTTCCTCGGATGCCTTGCCAGTTGATTTGCTCCGGCGGCTTGGGGGCCTTGCGGGGGCTGTAAGCCCCGAAAACTGAGCCGCAGCCTCCTGGTCAATCATTCGCTGGCGTGCCATACGTTCAACGAAACTAGGCTCTTTATCAAAGTCGCCATCACTATGATCCTCCGAATAGACATGCTCCGCTGAACGCGTCAATCTCTCCCGTAATATCTTCTCGCGTTCTGCTTGCGATTCCTTCATGGAGATGTAGTTCAACTGGGGTTCGGATGAGTCCCGTGGAAAGGTTGCAGCGATGTGATTCAACGGGGAGGAGAGAGTCGTGGCAAGTGGCTGACCCTGGATTGGAAGATTGGGCGAAGGCCGATCAGACATGGGATCAGAATGCTGACCACGAACTAGGGGGGAGGACGGTGCCTGGGTCGCTCTGAAAACCTGGCTCAAGGCCATGATACCACCGCTGGACCCAACGTCCGAGGCAAGTGGATTGCGGGAGACGGTAGGAGACCCCGTGTTCAAGCCGTCGGCGTCGCTGCGCTTCACCACTGTCGCGGGAGTCTTAGACACAAAGCGCTGGGATTCCGGGAAGAAACTGGGTTGATAATGCAGGGGGGATGATTCGCCCAATTTGAAGCTACTCTGGTCCTCGTTCTCGTCGCCATTGGCCGCGTCGGTGTTGATGTGGTCGAACCCCGCTAGCAGATCTATGTGGTCACTATCACCCTCGTACATGGTTGCCAGTGTTGCCCGATCCGCCAAACTATTGTCCGTCTCATTGCGGGCGGCAGCCTCTTGGTTCTGTCTGATGAGGTCGTCATACACCGATTGAGAGATGACCTGAGTGTCGGAAGGCACCGTCTCCGCAGAACTCATTTTCACTGGTCGTTGCAAGGGCACACGGTTTAGATCGACGGCTTCGGAGGGTTGTCGGTTGTTGTTTCTCAATGCTTCCGTATCATGCTGTCGTTGACGTTCTCCCGAGAGCGAGTGCAGGGAGGACCGGGAACGATGCGACGGTGATAAATTCCAAGGATTATCTGCCGCGGCGAGGGACACCGAATCGTCGAGATTTTGTGAAGACGGAAGGTCTCGGGTCTCGGGGGGAGAAAAATCGACAGGTTCGAGCTGCTGGGGGGAGAGTTGGGCATGGTGAGATTCCTAGAGCGAGAGAGATCGACATGAGAACACCACCAAAAAGCAACCAGGATCAGTCGACTTACCTGCCCCAGCGCGACGCGTTGCAGGTTGACAATGTCCAGACTGTCCTGTTGGGTCTCCATTTTCCATTTCCTTTCCTTCTTTTTTGAGCTTTTCTCTTCTCCTGTTCTGTTTAATCCATCGAAACTCCTTTATCAAACATGCCTGGAAATCATGGCCCCGACAGCGATGAAACCAGCGGAAAAGAGAAAGTCAGTGGCCGTCATGAACCAACGCGAGGAACGCGTCCGCCACGTGACCATGTTATATTGCCCGGCCGGGTTTAGCGTCAATGAGCAACCGTAAGACGGAGTAGTTACAGTAGGCACTAAGTAGGGTAGTTGAAGTAGTGGAGTTGAATGGTTACATATTGTTACAAGGTAGGAGTGGTAGCTAGTCACCCTCGACAGTCCGACATTATGTACAGAATGAAACAATCATCACCACCACCTAGTCTCGGGTCCGATTCGGCACCCATCGTCGAATCGTCACTTCTCGCACTTGATACCGACCAAGAAGGGCTCCAATATCCCCCTCTGAAGCTACCGTCACATCAGCCGAGGCTGGAGGTGGGATCTCGACGTAGCAAACCACCAAGGTCTTCTTCACCTGCGCCTGGACCCGGTTGACGCAATGGAACCACCACCAGCTACGGGCCTGTTTCTGGGCACACTGCGCTTGCCGCTCTTCAGTTGCGGACCAGTAGGGATCCTCGTAGGACGGGAGAACCACGACCGCGAACTCGGCATGCGAGAAAACGGGTCCCCGGTTGTAAAGAATGTAGTCGACTCCGAATTTCACGCCGGAACGTACGACCCATCCAAGAGAACGGAAGTGGTGATACACAACGTACGAGACCATAAACGGGTCGTCGGGGTGCAAGTCCGTAGAGGGATTGCGCGGGGGGAAGTAAGAGTGCTGACAGAACGTTGAAAGGAGAGCGGTGGAGGAGAGTGTGCGATTCTGTTTCCGATCAAAGACTTGGAGAGCGCCCAGTCCATACACCAAAAAGAATGCCTCCTCGTTGGATAGCTGAAGGTGTTCTTCATTTTCCAACACAGGCTCCTCGACGGGATCCTGTTCCGGAGGGCTTGATTGCGGTAGGTGCAAGATAGAATCGGAGGCAAATTCCTTTGCTTGAACCACCGGGGAGAACCGCACGGCCTTTTTCCCAGGAGTGGCCCCCTCTTCACTCTGTGCTACCGCCTGCCGTGTCTCCTGAATTCTAGCTTCCTTAGCCTTGCGCAAAGAGTACTTTTCGGTGGTGGGAGCAGCGCCTGTAGTAACACCGTCGGCGGCTGCTGGCATGGAAGACTGATCGGTCGGCATGACGCCGGTCTCTCGCGCAACCGCCTCTGCTTTCAGTCTCTCCTCAATAGCGACTCTCTCCATCCGAGCTCGCTCCAGTTTCAGTTCCCGACGCTCGGATCTTCGCTGCCGGGTCGCCTCTTCACTAGTGACTCCTCCGAGCAGCCCCCTCCTCTTCTTCTCCCGTTCTAACCAGCTCGGTTCACTTCGACTCAAAGTGCCCTTGCCGAAGAAACCCATTTCCCACAACGCCCGGATGGCCTTCTCGTCTGTCACGTGCACCGACGAAGTATCGGGGTCGAAGTAGGCGGGATAGACTTCATGATGCGGGGGAGACACAAAGTACGTCAGATACGATAGGAGAACGCTGACAATGGACAGAGGGTTGTGGGGGATCAGAGGAGGGAGCGGGTGAACGCTGACGGGCAGAGGGAAACGGTGTATATGTTTGTAGTTGGGTCTAGGTGGCCGCGGACGGCGAGCAGGGCGTGCATTGTTGTGCGAGGACTCCGGTGTGGCAGCCGTGGCCGCAGCCTCAGGACCGGGGCTCGTGGTAGAGTTGGGCTTGGAAGCCATGAGAAACTAGTGGTTCTTAAGAGAGGAGAGAGGGGGTGAAAGGTTAAATTTGGAATTGATATGGTAAGGTCTACTATCAAGCGAAGAGTCAGCCGCGGAACTCTTCGTTACGTATCATCCATGGAATGCCAAGTGGTTTGAATCCAATGCTCCTCAGATACCGTTGTAGTCAAATATACACCATCATTGACAATAACTAGAAATCAAGGTGCCATTGCCTAGGTTTGGGTATAGTTTGGTAGTCATCACCGGAGATTGAATGCAAGCACTTCACAAGCTTAGGAAAGCTGCTGATGCTTACCAGAAAATCTTTGTTTCTGGAGGGGGATCCAACAGGTCTAGTAAAAGACCAGGAGTGATTGAAGTTAAATACAATTGGCAATCCGTAAAGAATACTCCAACCGCATCATGTTGGAATCTGACCAGGGATGCTCATCATTATCATCCCGGGACCTCGGATTGTTCTAAGGTTGATTCGAGTCGTTGTAAGGAAGAGAAGAAAGAAGAAAAAAAAAAAACCTCGCTTGGGCAGCCTTAAAAGGTCCGCGGATGAGTCAGCCGGGATTGTTAACTACTTGTTCGGGTGGTCTGTGCACGGCGGGTTTCCGGCAGCAAAGAAAAAAAAATCCACCCAGAACCTCCGGACGAGAATTGCGGCACGACTTGGACGTCTTGAATCGAATCTCTCCCCGTTATAATAATTCACCCCTCAGTCTCTTCAAGAACACAATTCAAGTAAGTTTATAACCCAATATGATGCGATGACCACACGGGAAACGATTTCTGACTCCGTTTGAACATAGAATGCATCTTATGGTATGTCGACCCTTTGCACTCGGTGTTCGATCGCGCAAATCGTAAATCCTACAAACGCTAAACCTATATCCGATAGTACTCGCTTGACGCCGAAGGCAAGAGGGTCTACACCCTGAAGAAGGTCGATGCCCAGGGCCGTGTCACAAAATCCGCTCACCCTGCCCGATTCTCTCCCGATGACAAGTACTCTCGGTTCGTCGACCCCTGCCTGTAGTGAAGCGAGGGATTAGAAAAGCAATCGCATGAAGGAAACGGCTAGCTAATCAGGATCCCGCATCGATATAGGCACCGTGTCACTCTCAAGAAGAGATATGGTCTGCTTCTGACCCAGCAGCCCGGTATGAAGAACTCTTGCCTCCGTTGTGGAGTCGTACGTCGAGCTAACACATGATTACAGACAAGGAGGTTGCTGCGTTGTAATTTGTCGAATGATGGACTAATTGAATTTCGACGGGCAAAAGGTGTTTTGACATTCCGAATCATTTAATGGCGAATGGTGTTATGTGTGAACTAAGCGAAAAGAGATCTTTCCGAGACCTTTCGATTTCTGATATACTGGTTGGGAAAAGCCCAATGGCCATATTTTAGAGGAAATTCGCTTTTGATCTATATCCTTATATATGCCTATGTGCTCTATGAATCCATCGAAATCAATCCCTTATCGTAAACCCATCATAAACCCACATGGGCATCATTAAACATCAGGAAAGATACTTTTTTGGGCCAAACTCCGATCCAGTGTCAATGCAAAAGAGAAAAACGAAAGAGAAGGTCAGAAATGGGTGCCTTTACCGCTTTCTTGAGTTCACGTTTCGGCCAGCGCCCACCTTGATGCGACCTCCCTGTCTGCTTCGTTCTCCGGTCAAGATACCTGGGAGATAATCCTCGTCCATCAGATCCCGCTCTTTGCGTAGTCTTCGGTTCTCCTCTGCCGTGGCTCTTGTGAATTCCTTCTGGTCCTCGGCCAAGATGAGTTCCGTTCCCCAACCGTGTTTACCTCCACCTCCTTTCCATTTTCCATTAGAACTTCCGTGGACGGGCTTGGGGACACTGAACTTGTTGCCCCGGTTGTTCCACTGCATGTTCTTTTTCAAGTGCATGGTGAACTGCCCATTGGCAGTCGTGGTGCATGAGACACGGGTAAGGGTGTCCTTTCCGCAGCGAGGACAGAATTGTTTGTTCATATCCTTGGTGGTAAGGAAGCAAGCATGGCAACGTTTGATGAACGATTTGAGATGTCTAATTCTTTGCAAGGTGGTTGTCGAAAGCAGATTCAGGTTCATTTGAAGCAAAACGTTTTGACACTGGAGTTCCCATCAGTTCGCAGTTCTTATTTCATTCTAAAGGGAGTGCTACTCACCGCAAAATCAGTTGTCATGGTTGCAACCTGCATCACCTTGGGCTCCGGGGTTGCCGAAGAGCTTCCTTCATCGTGAGCCTGTCGCTTCTTGAAATTCGAAGGTGTAATCCATTCTCCACCATCGGATTCGTCGGCAGCAGCATCGGCTTCCTCTTCTTGTTCTTCTTCGAGTGCCTGAGCCGCCGAGGGATCGACGGGCGCATCCTCCTCCGCCGTCTCTGTGGCAGCGGCAGGGGATTCTGTTTGCGATTCCTCGTTACCACCCTCTAGGGTAGTGTTCTTGAGGTCCTCGGCCACGTTGTCCACCTCGGGGGCGGAGGACTCGATCTCAGCTGACTCGGGCTCGCCTTCGGTCTTCTGTTCTTCCTCCTTCGCGGGAGGCTTGCCATTCACTTGTTTCTGACCAGGAACACTCCGTAGTCGCCAGTCGCCGCCATTGCGCTCACACTCCAGCTCATACGCCAGCGCCAGGACCTCGATATCGGTTTTACTCAGCACGGACCGGTCACCGGTTTTGCGGGCAAATTCGCTCAAGATCGCCACGCTCTTCGGAGAGGGGGATCGCTGCTTCAAGAATGGCAGGTAGAGGGTTTCCACTCGAGCACGAGCATCGGGATCACGAATTTCGGCGACCACAGACGGGGTGATGATGAGTTCCTCACTTTGTGCGAGTAGGGTGGATAGCGGCGGGGTATTTTTGAGGATGGGACCGGCGTCAAGCACGATGGTGTGGACGGGTTTAGGCGGCGCGGTGGTAGTCGTGTCCGCCATGATGGATATGACTTGCTATCCGGTGGCTTTACTGGAATCAGATCGAGCAAGGAACAAGCCAGATGACGCACGTGTGGGGTAGTAGGAGGGAGAGAGTAAGGTGATTCAAAATGTGATGAGGCCCGATTTTCGAGGGGGGTTTTTTTTTTTTAGGTGGTCTGTGCGTGATCCTTATCTTAGCCCCGGCTTATCGGAGGACCTTTGCGGCCTGCGATTCTCAACTCTCGACTCTGCACAATAAGGATAAGTCTTCAGACCGATCGGACTGATCATCGTCCCCTTCTCCGAGGGAGCCTTATCAGTCATGTCATGCGCATGGCATTTCCCGGTTTAGCCACCACGCCTGTCTGATCTATCATCGGAACTTCATTCCTGCCCATCATTACATATACCAGTCAGATGGAGTGCCTGGGCGTAGAATTTGACTTGGGGAACATGGCACTTTCTATGAATAAACCGTTAACTTACATAATTTGATTATATTTGATTGATAGAAACAGCTTATTGTCACTCTCTTAGATAGGAACCAGGCTATATGTAGAGTATATCATTGAAACCACTGCAATCCTGCAACTGCTAGAATTCGTATGCAGAAAAACGAGTTATATTAGGGTGAAGTATTGCATTATTATTGGTATGACAATGGAGCACTTCAATGCCGAGAATCCTCGTGTATAGCTCATCTTCAAGAATTCAGAGGGACGTGTATCCATACACCATGGATAGGGATAAGTATACATACACAACCGGCGGGATATATTGCCCTGGAACAAAATGTATCAGTGATTTATCTAATTCGATATCTCATAGATCAAGAATCATTGACATTCAAGAAAGCTTATGGATGATACCTACCGAGAGAATACGTTCTTGTACTTTTCTCAACACAAGCCGGTCTATGCCGTAACTCAGATATCTCTTAGTTCTAGGCCTTCGCTTCTTGCTTGTCAACGATGATGCTTGTTCTCAGCAAGATTATTACTCTCAGAGAGCCAAGTCAGCGGGCAGGGATACGTACAGATATACATCCATACTGCCTGTGGAGGTAGTGGATACAACGCGTGTTGTGTATCCTCAACTAAGGGTAAACCCTGTAATCTATATTCACGACTCTTTACACAAGATGCTTGGACTAGCCGTTAAGCTCGGACGAGAATGCTAGGCGTGGCGATGATAGTCTAGTAGCCACGCTATCACCGAGTCGACCGGGGAAGGCCGCAGTCGCAGACTCGCATTGACAGCAAAAAGTACACGCATACACCGTACATGAGGAGGTGGATCGACAGGAGGATTTTTAACCCAATTGAGTCAACATGTGCAGATGCCCTGAAGATTGATGGGAATAGCAAACAGGATGTGTGCTTGCTCTTGTTTGTCCTCCATGCAAGCGCATAATTTAATTAGGGCTACGAGATACGGGAGGTGGCATAAGCAAACTTCATTGTCGGTCAAGAACAACATAACGTGGGCAATCTGTTTACTGTACAGTACATTCAGAACGGTGGTAGGAGTCAATCGAAGAATATTGATACCCCCACCAACTTTAATGAGCTGGTTTCATCTTCGTCTCCGATAGAAGAAGATATCTGCTCTGTATGGAGCACTGTACCCCAAGGTGTTCTGCACAATTTTATGAACTCGAAGTACAGGTCACATGGGAGGCCAATGCACTTCCCTTTTAGACTCCTCCCTTTTTCTCGTGAATCTCATTCATCGCAGAGTTGTTTCCCATTGTCCTATGTATACGAGGTGATCACAGCGGTGTCGATCATCATGGAGCACAGGACCCTTCTCAGAACTTACCATCTTCCCAGGCCTGACTGAGGATGTCACCATTCAACCGGATCAGAGCCAGCCAAGGAGAATGAGCTAAGTATTCCGTAATCTCCTCTGCTTCTTAGCGCACTTTTGAACCCAAGAGCGCAATCCACCAGCTCCTGACCGACACTTGCTCAGATAGTGCTAAATACTGGTAGAAACACCTGACTTGATAAAATCATGAGCTATATACCCTAGGAACATGGATTGTACGGACACTAAACTACGGTGTACAGTACCTGTACAGTAATAGCCGAAAAAGTAGCAGCTGCTAGCCCGCCTCCCCGTGCATTTCCAATCGATCTGATCTCTGGGAGTCTTGAATCGAGCAAACAGTCTCGGGTGCGAATAACACGAGAGACTAGTGCTCCTCGAGGGTTACACAACAATGCCACTTCCAGCCCGTCATCATGCCAGATCTGGTGGACAGCTGACATCCCATAGTCTCTGCTCGATCAAGTAGAGACTGTCGAAACGGTCAAAGGCCAAAGCGGCGATCGCCACCATTGTAAATCGGACGCCGGGTTGGGAGCGCTATTAACCACGGTGGCGGACTTTGTGCCACCATCTCGAGGCTTGGGATTAGGAACCTATAATTAAGTCCGAATTGTCGATAGAATTGGCATTTATTGGCCTTCGCATATTTGGGGGAACACTCCCAAGGCGAAAACATGATTATTAGGCTTTTCGAAGAAGCAATAATTTCTCTGGGCGGATCTAAATTTGATCGTCTCGGGACTGAAGCGAGACATTTGGAGCAAATGTGATCTATCGACTTTCGAGTGAATGGACCGGATCCACTTCGACCGGACGTTTTTTGCCCCTCTTTCTGTCTCCCCGTACGGAGTATCTCTTTCTCTCCTCTTTGTGCGCGAGAATAGAAACTGATCTGGTGGAATTTAGAGTGGAGCAACAGGTGGAAGCTGTCATCCGGCTGTACGGTACTTTGCATCCCCTGCATGTCCGTTATTCAATGTGGCTCGCTATCACCACCGGAAGAGAAGAAAATCGACACATCGCATCTTTCCCACAATTAGATTCTTCTGGAGGGCCGGAATGGTTTCGCTGAGATACCGACAGGAAAAGAACAAAAGAACCGATGAACGTCATCGCCCTCTTGCGAGGAGAAAAGGGGAGAAAAGAGTCTGGGAAAAGGGAAACAGGTATACCCTGTATCCCTTGCTCGAAGGGATGCCCGGTAGGGTAAGTGAAGCAATTCAAACTGCAATTTCTCTGCGACAAAGGAAGAGAGACCCCTTTCCAGGAGACAGCAGGGGCCCCGTTGTTGGTGACTCGGGAAGAATCCCTGCTGCAGCGCTGGGAAAGAACGAATGATTGAGTCACTGACAAGCTAGGCTCCAGTCCCCCCCCCTTTGCCCTTTGCTTGACCAAGTCCTGTACTATGTATGTATACATGTTTGGGTCCTAACTAACTCACTAGCTAGCCAACACAGGCAGAGAAGTCTAGAGATTAAATAGAGATTAATCCAGCCCTTCCTTCCCTTCGCCACGATCTGTCTGTCTTATGCACTGTCGAGCAGCTCAAGTAGGAGCTCGCTGTACACATCGTATGACAACCCATGGGCGTAGTCCATGCATACCAAGACAGACGCACATGTAGAGTGCGCACTGTAGGCCATCATACATCCGTCTGGCCTGCACGGCCCATCTCCTCTCCACCGGGAAAGTTTTGGATACATCGTCAATCTATTGACCTCTCCACCTATCCCCCTTCCTTCTCAATGGACCGGATGGTTTCCCTGAGCGGGTGGGCTCTGTTGGAGCCGATCATTGACGTTGCCATCAGCCTTAGTGACCCCAAAGGGCTGGGAACCTATCGCCTGATTGTCCGTTGTTGGTGTTGCAGGGGGGATGAGTTTAGTGCCAGGACTCCACAAAAAAGAGAAAAACCGAAAAAAAAGGGAAAAAAAAGGAAAAGAAAAAAAGGCAAAAAGAAACACGAAAGAAAAAGAAATTCCCGACATGAGAAAAAAATAGAGAAAGATCGAGCGTACCGGGCTAGACAACCCATGCCCACAGCTCTATCCATCAATCCTAAATGTGACAGTGGCTTCTATCCATGACTTGCTTATTTGCCTTCTCCCTTGCTTGCTTTTTCTTTTCATGCTCTTCCTGGTCTCCTTTCTCTATCTTTGCCGTACATCCTTGTTCCTTGTCCCTGTCCCTGTCGAGATATCGCTCCACCAATCCGGAGAAGCAAATGAAACGCTGAGCTAGGGTTCTCACGGCCCAGGTGCCTAGTACTAACTTCATCCCTCATGAAGCCTGGCCGTTTCTGGGACCCTGGAACGAAACGTTTATAACTCTTATCCACTCCGCAGTCGTTCGTGCTTCTTCCCTCCTCGAAATGCCACTGAGGTCTTCCATGCTCATACAGTGACACATAGACTCGGCGCATGCACGTCTGGTTGGGCTTGAGATTCCGGTGCCTGCCTGCATGAACGTCTAACAATTGACTTTCCTGTCACGATCCCGCTCGAGTTGGTCCTTCGTGTCTTGTACTTCCATCCAAGTCCTCCAAAGAGCAGCGATGTCGAGCCCTGATCACCACAGAGTCCTCCCTCGGAGTGACGGCACTACCTATCTGTCGTCTGGGGGAATAAAGGGGCTCTCTATCAGCGTGGTCTTTACCACTCTAGCAACATTCTTTGTCCTTGCTCGCCTGTACACTCGGACCAGACTGATGAACCGGATGGAGTCGAATGACTGGATGATTGTCATCGCCCTGGTAAGACATTTGCACTGTCCCGCATGATTCACACACGAGACATATCTAATGATCTGAGCCAGATCCTGTCATTTATCTTCATGGCATTGTTTATCGTGGAAGCCCTCAACGGCGTGGGTATGCATGCCGTAGATATTCCAGCACCCGTGATGCTCAAACAGATGAAGGTAAAAGCGAAAGATTCCTATCCTGTATAGTCAAGAGCTTGAGCTCACCCTGGACCTGGACAGGCATTCTGGATCACCATTCCCTTCTACAACGCCGCATTGCTTTGTGCCAAAGCATCCATTCTCATGCAGTACTGGCGCGTCTTCCCCACGAGACGTATGCGCTGCATTTCGTGGATCATGATCGGCGTGCTGGCCACCTACGGGACCTGGGCCGTCTTGAGTGCCTTTCTCAATTGTATCCCCGTGGCCAAATTCTGGGACCCTTTGCTGCCCGGGTATTGTTTGAGCATGAAGGGCCTCTGGTTCTCTAACGCATCTATGCATATTGCCACCGACCTTGCTATTCTGCTTATTCCCCTCCCGGCCTTAATTGCACTGGATCTTCCCAGGAGGCAGAAAATCGCCTTGATGTCTATCTTTGCGCTGGGCGGATTGTAAGTTGAAACCCTATCGACACAGCCTCTGCTTTCTCGATCGTACCTAATCGTGAATCTCCCCATCTAGCGTTTGTGTCACAAGCGTTTGCCGTCTCGTCGCTTTGAAGAAGATTGCGGACTCATCTGATCCCACCTGTATGTTCCCACAATATTTATCTATGTATCTATGCATCCATCCACCCCGACCACAGCACTAACTGAGGATCTCCATACTCTAGATGACAACGTCGACGCGGCAACCTGGTCCGCCATCGAATGCAACACCGGCATAATCTGCGCGTGTCTCCCGACTCTGCGTCCGCTTATCTCTCGCATGCTCCCTCATCTGCTCTCAACATTAAGCACCGGCGGCCAGTCCTATAACAATGCGAATGCGCCCCTATCGCAAAACCACGCTCCCACATACTGGAACGGCACCGGCACCGTATCCACAACAATCACGGCCATGGACGACCTGGAATACGGCCATTGCAGCTCCGAGGCTGATCGAGTTTTGACTCTTGCGCCCGGGACCGACGCCAACGGCAAAGAGAAGCTCATGCTGAAAGAGGCCAAAACGTCCCAGGAGCTCAAAGAGGCTGCCGTCACTATCGAATCTCGCACGGAATCGTCTTCCTCGTCGTCACCGTCCCGATGATATTACGGGAGCTGGTCCACATGGGAGTGTCGTTGAATGAATGGAGCTCCCTACGAAGAGGGACGGGAGCTGAACTATGAACATGATAAATCACCTTGCATCTTGATATCCACTGACTTTTCTTATGTTTTCACCCGCTTTCAGGTTTCACTGGGTCATACTCAGCTTCACATGATCTTGAACCTCTTTTGCCTTTTCGATTTACATATATATACACTCAGAGACATAACATTTCAATATATTAGGATACTATTCACCCATTAACTAATCGAATGTCAACTTGAAGCTTCAAGCCAAGATGCAACTAATAACAGCAATGTTCTAATTGATAGTCGTAAATAACTAAGGAACTGACATATCTATAGAGAGATTCGTACGTTTATATTGGATAAATATACAGCGTCTCCTTGACATGGACATGAGAACTAGAAGTCGGCAAATTCCTTGTCAACTTCCTCGAAGTGGTCAAAGAAGCCCTTAAAAATCTTCACTCCCAAGCCGGGGTCTAAGCTTCCGGTTGTAGCGCGGATGCTGTGCATGCTCAGCTGCGGAATTCCGACATCAATAGCTCTCATTCCAATGCGAGAGCTGGTCATGGGCCCGATCGTTCCTCCACTACGAGAGTCATTGCGGATCTGGAAGACCTGCAGGGTAGAGCCGGTGCGATCGGCGATGCGCTTCATAAAGCCATAGCTCACGCTGTCTGTCGTCATGTGGCCATTTGAATCGGCAGATACGGCCACGCCGACGTTTAGCCGGGGAGCATGGTTCTCTAGATAGACACCGGCGAAATTTGGATTGACGGCGTGGATGACATCCGAGGAGACGAAGAAGCTGTTTGCCACGGTCTGAGACAGAACATTGGGCCCGTATTCGGGTGCGAAGGCCTCCGTAATGCGCTCGATCACACTGCTCATGAAATTGGAACGGGCTCCTTGACGCAGCAAGCTACCAATTTCCTCATCATCAAACATCCCCACCATCTTCACAGAGCCGGTTGACGTGTCGTCTGTCGACGCTAAGAGAGCCTCTTGGGCAGCATAACAGCAGAGTTTGTCATCAATGCGACCGGCGAAAATGAAGTCTTTCTCCAAGCCACCAAGTCGCGCGGGTTGACTGTCGAATAACTCGAGCTCCCAACTGAGAATGGTGCTATAGTCGGTGATACCAAGCTCACCAGAGATTACTTTTACCAGCTTCTCTGGTTGTGTGGCCGCAAAGGTACCGGACTTAATACCGCTAGCGGCGTTGGATGACGACGGGGTCTCCTGCGAGAAGAGATCCGAGTTGTCAATGCCGATGATGGGAACCATCTGGGTCTCCTTGTTGAATGGCGGCTGCGAGGGAGCTCCGAAGTGAGGAGCGAGCGTCGGAATTCGCGCAATTGGCCAGTTCAACTTGACCAGTTTGGACTCGACTTTGCCGCTTTTAGGGTTGCGGACCAGTACACGACCACCGATCGAGAGATCTCGATCCCACCAGGTATCACTCAGAGCACCTGCGTACGGAGCAACTCCTAGTTGGACATACCCCGACTTTGTGGGCAACTTAGAGACGGGCTTCAATTTGGCGGTGAGCGCATCGATGTGGCCGGCGATGATAGCCAAACCATTGCCACTTTGGTAGTCCTTTCCAATAGAGAACGCAATAGAGGCACTGGCGTTCCGGGTAACGTAGTATTTCCCTCCACGCTCCAACTTAGAGGTCCAAGGTTCCCGCTCTGGTAGGCGCTTGTATCCGTTCTTCTCCAGCTGCCTGGTAAAGCCGTCGACCGCGTGGAAGATAGTGGGGTTCGTAGTCATGAAATCACAGTATGGCTTAGCATACTCCTCAGGGGAAAAGGCGCCCGAGCTTGTACTGGAAGGGACAGAGGGGGTGGAGGTGAATGCAGCTGTTTCTTCCGGCAGCTGGCCAGACAGGCGATAAGCCAGGGAAGAATCTCGGAGAGCCATGACGCTTTTTTTGGTCATGATGAGATAGCAGGAAGAGAATGAAACTGAGACAATTACGGTGAAGGGTACAGGAGGAAGGTGTCTAATGTGTGATAGATGTTTGAATTGAAGTAATGCGTGAGTGAGCGAGGAGAGAAGGAGAGAGAGAGAGAGACAGAGCGGCTGGGGAAGTTGGGGAAGCTTCCCTCGGAGGGGCCGCTTTCGGTTTAGCTCTCTGCAGGCCTCAGGAACCAAACTGATAAGCATGTCATACCCGTCACATGGCCACTCAGATACTTTCGAAGGTCATAAATCATTCATTGATTGCACCCGTGTAACTATATATCGCTCGCTTACGCTAGTCATTCCTCGTCCACATGATCATCAGATCCTTACCGGTTCTGCAACCCCTGATCCCCGCTCACCCTAGCTGCTGGAACCCACGAAAGCATTCCAGTCTACAACACCACCCGCACATTGATCAGTAATCGGCGGGCCAGTTGCGGTTGCTACTTCCTGATGATTTCGCTTGATTCCGAATCTGACGGGGCCCTGTTGTCCGTAGAACGGCACAGAAAAGTGGTTGAGACCTGGTGTCTTCACTCGGAAGAATGTCGGTGATTCACTTCCGATTTGAGCATATACATCACTCGGCTGGGATATGATGGTGCTGAAGAATACTCGGTCCTGAGATATTTGGCCAGGTGGCAGAACCTGCTGACCCGCGGCTGGGTTGTTCCCGGTGGTGCCTTCGGAGCTTCCCGCAGAGCTGGGGTTCAATCGGTACCAGTAGACAATCTTATCTGTGAAAGACATGGGGTACCTTGGATTGTAAAAGCCAGGGGACGCGGATCTGAGCTGGCTGTGAGGATTCATCAAGTTGCGGCGGTATGAATCAATGTAATAAGGCAAGAGTTCCCGCCACGCATCATGCGGATGATTCTGGACATATCGTGCCGCTCCATCCGGGATTCCAGGGTCATAAATTGGTCCGATATAATGGGTTTCCCCATAGTCATTCCAACTCAGAATCTAGAGTGAGCAAGATATATGCGTGAGCACAAGGCAAGACAAGAAATTGATAGAGAGGATCCTACCTGGACAAGCGAAGGCTGCAGCTCCATAACCTGCTGCCATCGATAGTGCCACATATCATCTCCACGCCAGAGCCAGTTCTTATGCCATTGGGGAAGGTTGGTATAGAACCAAGGGGCAACTGGCATCATGTATGGCTTTCCTGCCAGAGCCTTCATCCATGCTAAATCACTTGACGTGTTCTTATCATGGGCCCCAACAGGCCATGCATCCCAACTGAACGCACCGTCTATCTCGTGTAGGACGCTGCCGATACCCTGCGGTCCCATACTGGTCCAATTTGGCATAAATGTGCAATTGGTAACACTCTTGATCCTTCGCCAGTCGCCTGCATTGGCAACTCCTTCAAACGTAGAAACCAGGGGCTTCCCATGAAAGTGGAATTGTGCCTTTCGATTTTTGTACGCATTGATGGTGTTGATCACTCTGTCTGCAGGCCACGGGCCTCCAGATCCATAGTCGAAAGAAATGAACAAGGAGAAATTGCCGATCCTTTCGGCGGCATCATACGCCGTTTGGAGTACCCGGTCAGTATAGTCATCCTGGGGGGCCACGTTCAACGCAAAACCATCGATATGCGCTTTTGAGGCTTCGATTATGTCGGTCTCCCAGTGTTGCGGAGTCATGGAGTACGCATTGCCCACCTAAGAAACCTGTCAATGTGACCCAACGGGATTCTCAAGAACAGGCTTTAAGCTTACAATAAAGTGAGCGAAAACCGCCTGTGGTCCAGATGCTGACGGAGTCATCAGCGGTTTATATTGGGTCATACCCGGAGATGCTGCAAGCAACGATAGAAACAGGTTCTTGGTAAGCATGTTTGTTGCAAATAATTACCAGAAAGAGCAAAAAGAACGAAGGGCAGTCAAAAGGTATGGAGGGTGATTGCTTCTGGAGGCTGAGGTCATGATTCTTTCAAGGACGAGCAACACAGAGGCCTCTGGTTCAACAAAAAGACCAAAGGGAATTAGGTAAATAGATCAGGTTGGGAAACCGGGCTACGGGACAAGACATAAATGGGCGCTCAGGAACAGTGGCTGGAATTTGACCATCGGTGCGGTATCTGGCAAGTCTAGGAAATGGTATGCAGTAGGTTTGGGGGATAATTCAGGGACAGGTGCCCATCCGCGATCGGAATTCCTGCCCTATGCCAAGAGAACAAAGACCACTGGAAGCAAAGCATGCAATCAACCCACCTGGAGGAGAGGCAGGCGGCGTCGGCCGCTGTTGGGGGTGATGCGGCAACCCCTGGGGAGGCCCCTGAGGTGCCTGGCAGGGGCCATTGCTGGTACAGTTCTGGCATTGCTGATAGTGATGATGATGGTGTTCTTGCTTTTGCTCTTTGGGAAAGACGTGGTTCAGAATGCGATCGAGATGCTTATGTTTCACCATGGTGTCTGCTGGCGGAGCCACGAGAGAGAAACCGAAAAACCGCTGGGAAGAATTAAGGACGAGGGGGATCGGGTATGTGGAACCAGAGGGGTTTATAAAGGGCAGCACCATCGTTCTGGCATCCCTTGGAACGTCAGGGCTTCTCTGAACAGCTGGCACGAGGCACTTGTTGACCCAAAGGCGAAGATGTGACGGATCAGATTCAATACGCTGGAATCATGCCGTTGGACTGACAGTTGCTGCCCTACTCCCACGACCGACTTGCAGCACACTTGAGACTCACTGCGTCATCTCGCTGGTCCAGTTGAAAGTATGGCTGAGTTGTGCGATGCATACTGGTCGCGATGACGCAGCTGTAGAACCTGATTGCTGCATGCTGCATCGCCGACAACTTGATGGGGGCCAATGCATTCATTTTTGTTTTGGACGAAATTGATTCTGAAATTGTTTACTGTTGAAAATACCACGGGTCAAACACTTCTTGCGGGGAAAAGACCCGGAAATAGCCAGAAGCTGGTTGTTCCAAGAATGTCCGAAGAACGTCGACTTCACCGTGATGTCAGTCAATCCGGGGAGGCATCGCCACCGCTATAAAGTAACCACCGCGCTCAGGCTTTAGCGTAGAAGTCCTTAAGTTCATATTAAGCTTGGAATTTTTCTCGCATTTTCTGATCGACGGCATTTTTATTCTGTTGGGTCCACGATGGCTGCATCTCAGGCCGCCAATATTGCAGAGAAGATCGTGGGGCATTCGGACAATGCCACCATTGAAACCGATGTAAGCAACTACGCCAAGGGAGATTCGGGACAAGAAACAGGGGAGAAGATCAAGGCTACAGTATGGCAGGGCAAGAACACCGTCGAGGTTGGTGAGTAATGGATTACATTGGATCTCAACTGATCGTCGACAAACTCGGGCTGACACGGCGACAGTTGAGATGCCAAAGCCCAGAGTCATCAATGAAGGCGACGTCATCGTCAAGATCACCGGGAGTACAATCTGTGGGAGTGACCTCCATCTTTACCATGGTATGACTTGCATTTTCTTTTCTTTGTGGTACCACTCATGCATGTTGCAGGTGTCATCCCCCAGCTCGAGAAAGGAGATGTTCTCGGCCACGAGTTTTGCGGAGTGGTCGAGAGTGTAGGACCGACGGCGAAAAAGGTCAAGGTTGGGGATCGCGTGGTAGCGGCTTTCCCCATTGCCTGCGGCGATTGTAACAATTGTCAAAAGCAACTTACATCGACATGCGAGAGAACAAATGAGAACACCATCGAGAATGTCATGTATGGTAAACGCACCTCAGGCATGTTTGGATATAGCCATTTCACTGGTGGGTTCGCCGGTGGTCAGGCCGAGTATGTTCGCGTGCCCTACGGCGATATGAATCTGCTGCAGCTACCGGATGATGTCCCAGATGAAAAGGGCCTTTATCTGTCGGACGTCCTAGCTACCTCCTATCACTGCGTTGTAGACACCGGGGTGACGACCGGCGACATCGTCGCGGTCTGGGGGGCAGGGCCGATCGGGCAGATGGTCGTGGAGTTCAGTTTTACTCAAGGAGCCAGTCGAGTTATACTGATTGACGGAGGAGAGGCAGCGTGGCGGTTGGACTTCGTGCAATCTAAGAATCCGAAGGTCGAGACGCTTGATTTCAGTCAGCTACCACGAGGAGAGTCGATCACATCCCAGCTAAAGAAGATGGTTCCCGGCGGCCCTGATGTAGCCCTGGACTGCGCCGCGGGCGAATATGCTAAAGGATGGGCACACTACTTTGAGATGTTGCTGGGAATGGAGACAGACACGTCCGAGTTGTTGAACGAAATGATTACCAGTGTCCGCCCCTTCGGACGCATTGGTATTACGGGAATCTACGCTGGATACGTAAGTCAACATGTCCTTTCCTCCCGGGACTTTAGCTTGGGATTTCTGACACATGGAACCCCCTCTAGACCAACCATTTCAATATCGGAGCCGTTATGCAAACCGGCATCCGGTTGATCGGCAACGGCCAGGCTCCGGTGCACAGATACTGGCAGCATCTGCTGGAACTTATCCGACGCCAGGATATCAATCCGCTGGAAATGGTGACCCATCGCGTGCGCCTGGAGGACATGCCCCAGCTGTATGCTCTGTTCGAGAGACGAGAGCACGGCCTACAGAAGGCTTTTGTCCAGACCAAGTTCTCGTTCCCTCCGTCTGCTGGGGCACCACGGTTGACGGAGTTGCAAGACGTCCTTTAGGGTTTGCACTTTGCAATCGATGCTCGCATTATTGCTAATGGCAAGACTAATAATTACGCCAGTGACGAGGTAGTGGAGCCTGTATCTTTATTGGGGAAAATTGTCCGAGCGGATCTCTACTTTCTACGGAGTACTAGTGCAAGGTGTACGTACGTATTGAATTAATTTGATTATCTCTGACGTGACGTCAAGTCGAATTCCTAAAGGGGGAGTGGATTCACAAGGTGAAATTTTCAACATTAAAGGCCAAATTCACCGGGACTAGACGGCGATTATCGGTGGAACGTTGAGGGGGTCAGTCTTACGGAGGTAAGGATCAAAAACCTAGTTCTTCTGTTAGTAGTACTTAGTTCGAGTGACAGGATGAGTGACTAGTAAGAGTAGTCGAGTCAATTCGGGATCTGGAAGTCCCCCTTGCTCAATGCAAAGCGGACTAGTTTCGCATGAAACGGTCCCCCCAAAAACCCCGATTGGAAACCACAGAAATAGTGATATTGACAGTCGACCTCGACTTTTCTCGAACATGACCCGGTCTGCCTATTCCGACGGCTTTATGGCGGCTTTATCAAAAGTCGGTCAACCCAGCGAGTCAGTCGGTCCGGAATTCGCCCAATGGATTCCGTTCATCGGCAAAGACCACCTAAAAGAGACTCGGGAATTGGAATCACCGCCGGGGGAACCAGCCGTTAACGATGAAGGACTGCCTATTAGTAAATGAAAAACTGGAAACAGAATTTTCATAGGAAGGAAGCCCATCGGACTATGCTAGACCCGGCTAAGGCAAAGAGTCCGCGCTTCCCAATATTAAATTATTAATGATCGCCCTGCAAGGATGCCGCGCCCAATGAGGAAAAGGCCGGATCAGATAAGATCAGATGATGGAGGGATTCGCCATGCCGAGGGAATCCCTTTGGCCTTCCGGTTCTCTAATCTACGGAGTCTTCTCGCGCTCTCTCACCGGGTGTGGATTGAGGAACGCAAGATGGAGCCTGTTGCCTCTGCGTACCATTGGCTGGCAACGTTACCATTTCTAATCGTCCAGTCGCGTGGGAATGGAGTCAATGTTCAACAATGAACTCGAGGGAGCAGATTGCACCTTGTGCAGATGCAAATGAACCACTGCTACACTGTTCACTGTACTCATAGCCTCAGATTTAGAGCTCTAATCCCATCCTGGCTATCGCTCTGAACCTGTTGAATGCAAGGGTTGCGGCGGCGATCGCGGGTGAGAATATTTCACGCGCGCATCCAAAAGGAGGGCACACAGTACCCACATCCCATCCCGCCGGAAGTCTTGGTAGAAATAATAGAATTTTCGCGGGCCCATAAACGAAGTCTTGGAAGGTATGCCATCGTGACTCACCAGCCCTGCCGTGAAGGGAACAATGACCAGGGGAATTGGCGGACGTTTCCAGTCCGTTGTGGTCAGATGTACATAGCACGGAGTCCACGAGTACTTCGTGTGCCGGAATCGAAGCCTTGCAACTTGCAAGAGTACGGAGTATGCACGTAGCTTCCCCAAGGTGGTCGTACCCTAACCCCCGAGCAGCCAATTGATTGATAACTGGGCAGCATCCACGGGTCGACGAATGAGCGGCCCAAGCGAGTCCACTTGCTCTTTCCGAAATCGGGGCGAGCGCACGATAATCTAATCTGATCCGATCGTTCTTTTTTCCCAGCGTCTTTCCACTTTTCCTCCCCCTCTTTTCCCCCTTCGTTCGCTCTCCTTCCCTCTTCCCTGCTCCAATCTCCTCTCCCTCTCTGCCTTCTCGTGCCATCCCTGCTTTCTTGAACAGTCCACGTTCACGGTCGAGCGATTCTCGAGATCGAATTTCTCGCACAACATCACACCCCCAGCATTGGTTCCTAAACTCGTCTCGCTTACCGGCTTGAGGGAGCGCACATCCGCTCTTCCGGCCGAAGCGATCAAGTGACACCACCACACCTGGTCCGTCACCGTCTTCCTTTCCGCACCTCCCCGTCAGGACATGACCACTAATTGCGCCGCAGATTTCCTCTCGTCTCCTTCGAGAGGATTTCTCTCTCTTCAGTCATCTTAAAAAAGAGAATTAATCAATTAATCATAATACTTAAGTATGACTACCCCGGCTCCCTCGATAGCTCCGTTGGCTCCCGCACTGGCCGCCAAGCCTGCGATTTCACCGTCCCCCGGTCCGGGCACACCCGGCTCGATCACCTCCAAGGAATGGGTAATTCCACCACGCCCCAAACCCGGCCGCAAGCCTGCCACCGATACGCCTCCGACCAAACGGAAAGCCCAGAATCGTGCGGCGCAGAGAGCTTTTCGGGAGCGACGAGCCGCCCGGGTCAACGAACTCGAGGACCAAATTAAGCAGATCGAAGATGAGCATGATATCCACGTAGCCGCCTTCAAGGAGCAGATCTCCAACCTGTCTCACGAAGTCGAGCAATCCCGTAACGAGACGTCCTGGTGGCGAGACCGCTGCCACGCCCTCGAGAAGGAGGTCTCCGTCGAACGAAGTGCCAAGGAAGCGTTGGTGAAGGAATTCCGCTCCTCCATCTCCGATCACGCTACTTCGAGTGATAAGTCTCGGTCCTCGGCCGACCGTGAAGCTCAAGGAAGAGCGCAATCGAGTCATGTCCATGAAGAACGAGAGGATGTGCCTCTGGGTTGCAGCAACTGCTCGTCAAGTCACTGCCAGTGCATCGAAGACGCATTTAGCATGCCAGGTATCGAAACTCGCGATATGAAGCGCCCGAGCACTTCAGCAGCCGTCCGACCGGAACCTCAGATTAAGCCCGACCCGGAGGAAATGGAGATTGATTTTACAACGCGGTTTGCGGCCCCTCACGCCCAGGAAGACACATCCACGGCTGTTTCGTCGCCCGCGGTCGATCCCTGCGGATTCTGCCAGGACGGAACCCCGTGCATCTGTGCCGAGATGGCGGCTCAGGAGGAGCAGCGCGAGCAAAGGAGCTCGTTCGAGACCAACCGACTCGCCCCGATTCAGAACTTGTCCCAGTTCACCCCGCCCCCGTCCGACGGAGACGTTCGCTCGGAGGTGACCCTGCCCCCCATCAGCGAGGCAACCAATCCGTGTGCCAACGGCCCGGGCACCTGCGCCCAGTGCATGTCTGACCCGCAACGTACCCTTTTTTGCAAGACGCTGGCGGCATCCCGCTCCGCCAGCGTTGCCTCCTCCGGCTGCTGCGGCGGTAAGGGCGCCGACGGTGGATGCTGTATGTCCCGGAGCTCGAATCCACCTCCCCGGACCGGATCGACTGTCAATGCAAACCCCGCTAGATCCAAGACCCCTTCCTTGACCCTGTCGTATTCGGATGCTTTCACGACGCTGTCGCGACACCCGAACTTTTCTCGGGCCAGCGATGATATCTCCGCGTGGCTCCCCAAACTTCACACGCTACCAAACCCCAAGGACGTTGCCCCGGCGGAGACCTCGCGAGCCGCGATGGAAGTCGAGGCAGCCAGCGTGATGGGAGTTTTGCGATACTTCGACCGGAGATTTGCCGACAAATAATCATGTTTTCTTTTCGCTTTTTTTGTTTTTCTTTTACGATGATACCCAAACTTGACTCAAGAATGTCTGAGTTTGTATTATACATTTCCTTCGCTCAACTGACGAAGGGAGAGATGCGGTTCTTGTTTTAATATCCATTCTCTCATTTTTTTTTCTTCGGGGAACGAGACGCCGAAACTTCTTCGATTCCAACCTAAGAAGAAAGCATTTCTCGCAGAGATACACATGCGGACCCACGAGAGTGGAATGACCACCTTTCCTCTCGTACCAACCTAAATGACTTGAATGGGTGTATGACAGGCGTTACATGACTTGCACATTTTGTACTTTCTTTCTTATTTCTTGGATGATTTCGGACGAATTTTTTTTTCTTCACACAAAAAGGGGCGACGAACGATCCACTGAGATCGACCTACGGAGAACAATTCAGGGTTTCTTAATTTCTGCATTGGACAAGGGGAAAGTTTAGATAGACACGTCTCTCTCTCTCTCTCTCTCTCTCTCTCTCTCTCTCTCTCTCTCTCTCTCTCTCTCTCTCTCTCTACTCTGGCGATCTCGACATCGGATTGGGAACCATTGATACATAGACATAGGGTATGGAATGGAAAATTATGTTTCCTGGGCTGAGCGATTTGACTGGATTTTGCCTTTTTTTATCTGATACAACTATTCATTTCTATATACATTGCAGGAAATACTATGTTTTCGGCTTTTGTGAAATGACATGGGAGTTATCTATCCCTTGGGTCTGAATATTATCATTATTAGTTATCTTGCTATGTCTCTCTTACGCGACAATGGAGCGAAGAGGGCGATTGCAGATGATGTTCAACATGATTAGTTCTAAATCAATGTGTGCCATGTACGAGAATCGTGAATTGGACGAAAAAGAATCGAGTATCAACATAAGCCAGTCACCGAGGCGTAGCAAACAAGGGGTAGTAAGTCCAATAGGAGGGATATATTATGTACAGGCTAAACGAAGATACCCCCAACGCCGTCACTCCAACTGATCTTGTTATATGTGAAGATCAGGAATGCAGTCCTGATCGTACTGAACCAGTACAATAAGAGACGAAAATCCAACGAAGAGGTGAATAGAGAGGGCTAGAAGAGAGCATGAAGGGAGAGTGTGCGTGCCGAAAATATGAATTAATAAATGGAAAAGACGGGGTAGGATGTGATGCAGGAGAATGTGTTGTTGTTGTTGTTATAGGCAAGTTTCAACCGTCATTTGCCTCGGGCTCCGCATTAAAACTGACCACCACTCGTCAGCATTTCTTCGTCCCCAGCACCAGCGTTCCCAAGAAGACTGGCGCCCCAGATGCCGGCAATCCCCCACATGCCGATTCTCCAGCCCCGGTAGAGACCCTGGATGCCTTGGCCTTGTCGCTTGCGCAGAGCAACGGGCTTCTTGAGTGCCGTCCGTGCTTGCTCCACTTCCGATGGCGTTTGCGTCCCCTCCTCATACATGATCCCCCACATTGTGCCAACAACGCCACGGTATGTCTGGGGGGTGGGGACGATGGTTTCAACCTCCTGAGCCGCCGACGTGGCCGCGCTCGGTGACGCCAGCCCACCCACAGCCTGTTGCCGCAGACTGGGTGATGTAAACGTGGCGATCTGTGCGCGGCGGAGAACCGTCTCTAGCGGGAATCGAACGGCCAGCTCCAGGCCGGATCCAAGGAAGGTGAACAGGTTCCACATAGATGGGTTGAGGACGGGATCAAGTGATAGGTATGATTTCAGCAAAAGTGGGGTAGTAGTGGTAATGAAATTCGGCAGGCTGGAGTGAAGAACGGTGATGGGGACGAGGTGGGAAGGGATGGTGCAGTTGGGGGTGGGGATTTGTCGGACGGCTCGAAGAAGAGAGCGAGGCCCATGAGTGACTGGAGTCAGGATAAGGAACGTGCGGGCGGTGTCAATTGGCGACAGGATGATGGCCGACAGGGACGTCGAGATGAAGGACAGGAGGAGCGTAGCGACCGGGGAAGTCGACGTCAGAATGTCCGCCGTCATGGAGGACGAGATATCCTCCTCCGGCAAGCCCACAATGGCGGATATCAGGCTCCGAATGAATGTGTTCAACGTTGGGAGGAGCAGGGAATAGATGAACGTCGTGTTGGTGCCCTTCCACGGCGACGTAGGACCGCTGGTCGACCACAACTGCGATAACACCTCCATAAGGGAGGATTGGTTCTTGATGGCCAGAGCATGGCGAGAAGGCGTCGAGGATGGGATGTAGCCGCTGCGATCGGTGATATGGCGTCGAGGCTTTCGAGAGCGGGGACTTGACGGCGAAGAAACTGCAGGGGCGGCAGATGTGAAGTAGCTGCTCTCATCGTCCGACGACAACGATTCCTAGGCGGTACCGGTCGCGCCGTTAGCTATGGGTTCTGCCTCGCCAAACAAGAGCGAATTTCATTTGGTACATACATCGTCCTCATCGTCATCATCACGATACGAAGCGCTCGCTCCGGATCTCCGTCGGTCGTCCAACGGCCATGATCCCTCCGAGGAGTCTGGGGCGACATAGGTCTGTAGAATGGTTTTGGCAACGTCGAAAGGCTGGGCCGTCAAGATGCTAGTATAACGCCAGATACCCTGGTCCAGAGCATCTCGCAGCCAGCTAGACACCGATGGCGAATTGTCAAGATAATCCGAGTAGTCCAAGTCCGGCAGCAGGTCGCGCGCCGAGCTGCCAAACACCTGGGCCGATGACGCATCTGGAGGGGACGAGGCGTTGGTGACCTCCAGGCCCATGGCAGGCGGGATATAGTACGGGCGCAAAGGATTGGGCCCCTGTGACGAAGACATGGCGTCGGTAAATGTAACCCGGTCTCGGTTGGGGGGAGTTCAGCTCTGAAGCTCGAAATTCTTAGCTTGGTTGTTGGTGTGGTTCGGGGGGAGTTCGTGCGAGAAGTGGAGGAGGAAAAAGGCAGGAGTTGGAGCAGCGAATAATTATGTCCGGATTTCCCGCCTTCATTCGGGATTATCTTTTTTTTCTTCTCCGCGCCGTCGCCCTCCTCCCCTGTCTCCACTCCTCGTCTCTCCCCTCTTTCCTACATTTTCTTCTCTTTTTCTTTTTCTTTCGCTTGTCTTTTCCTCGGACCATTAGCCTCCCTCGCTAGATTCCTCACCATGTCGCTTTGGAGAGAAACGTGTTTGAACCTGCGACATGTTTCCCGGACGATCCCCGGAGATCGCATGCGTCATGCTCAATCGATGAGGTTCCTCAGCTCGTCAGCAATTGCTCCCCGTCGACTCGGACTGGACTCAAGGGGACCGTCTTTGGCAGCGAAGACCCGGGGGTCGTTCCAAAGGTTGAACACGGGACGGCGAAGCTTCTCGGCGACAGCGGGCGTTCAACATGGTCATATCACACCTCCCAAGCCGGGCGAAGAGTGAGTCATATCCGAATGGCTACGATAAGCAAATAAGCACCAGGACTGATCGCTGATCTATTTTCACTAGAATCAACGTGACTTTCATCGATAAGGACGGGACAAAGGTCGACCTCCAAGTAGCCGAGGGGGACAACTTGTTGGACATTGCGCAAGCCAATGACCTTGAGATGGAAGGTTCGGAGCCCGTTTAGAAACCTATGCGACGAGATATCGGATTACTGACATCTGTATTCGTGACTCTAGGAGCCTGTGGCGGTTCGTGTGCTTGCTCTACGTGCCATGTCATAGTTGAGGACCCCGACATGTTCGATAAGATGGAAGAACCGTCCGATGATGAGAATGATATGTTGGACTTGGCTTTCGGCCTGACAGAAACGTCCCGCCTGGGCTGTCAAGTTTTGATGAATAAGGACCTCGACGGAATGGTGGTCCGGTTGCCCTCGATGACTCGGAACTTGCAGGCGAGTGATTTCGAGCAGAAATAAAGCGCCCCGTGAGAGCGGGATCTGGGCCCTGAACGAGGGGGGGCATGTACGATATGGTTGCGCATTTGATGGTAAGGCAGGCGGCGGCCATTGGCATTCCATCGGTTGGAGTTGATCTGTTGCGATTGAAAACAAGACTAGTATATAGTATTCTCTCATCCCCATTCTATTTGACAAAATCCTATAAATAAGAGCGACTTTTGATCCACATGTACTTGTTAAAAAAAATTCAAGGGAAAAAAAACAATAACCTGAATAAAGCAATACCCTTAAACGCCCCAGTCATGCCTAGTTCGGATCGCAGTAGAGCGAGTGTCTGCCGTTACGCTTCTTCGATATTCAACGGCTTTCCCTTCTTTCCGTTGATCAATTCCAGAAAGCCCTGCTTGCTGACCTCGTTGACGGCCTTCTCGCGCTCGCCCATGCCGACGGTGCCCTTTTTTCTTTCGTCCTTGACTGCAGCTTCTCCGCGCACCTGGGCGGCCCGAACTGCGTTGAACAGCTTGACCACACCCCTCTGTGCGGTCTTGCGCAGACGCTTCTCTTCCTCCGCGACAGCGCCTGTCTGACCCCGCTCAACACCCAAGACATCGCGGACTCGGCCGCGATCGAGTTCTTCCTTCTTCTCGGCCCGCAACTTGGCCCGTGCCTGGTTATCTAATTTCTCGTCTGCGATTTCGGTACTGGTTTGTTGCGCCGATTTGCTGCGGGAGAGGACGGGGTCGGCGCGGGCGGAGGTCGGAAGTTTGGTCGAGAGAATCTTGGAGATAGAGGTCGAGAAAGCGGTCGGGTCGTTTCGTTTGGAAAGCGTTTTTCGGTCTGCATTGGGGGCCGTCATAGATACATCGGAGTCGCCATCGTCGTCTGAATCATTCGATGCGTCTGATCCCGAAGCTTCATCGTCTTCGTCCTTCTCCTCGTCGTTCTCGGGGGATTCGTCGCTGGATTCCGCTTTCGATTTTAACGACGCGCCGGTAGGTTTGGTTGGCTTCTTGGTCGGCTTCTGCTTCTTCGGGGCGACCGCAGTCTCCTCTTCGTCGGAATCGGCCAAATTGACGGCCTTGAAATCGGTGGCAGGTTCATCCTCCTCGTCGGAGCTGCTGTAATAGCCGCGCTGCTTCTTGAACTTCTTGGACCGGCCAGCTTTCCCTTGGATGCCGTCCAAGACCTTGCGCTTCTTGCCAAAAGCCGGAGCCATAATGAGGAGAGTCTAGTTGAGTAACGGACTCTCGTACTCCCAACTTTGAGTGGTTTTGAATTTGAGGGTTGGAAGGTTGATGGATGTCACTTTCTCTTATTTTATCTTTTCTTTTTTTTTCTTCGGGCGACGAAAGGCGGAAAGGCCGGTTGCCACCTGTGATTGGCGGGGGTCTCTCCGCATTCCCCTTCGGGCTTTCGCTGGCTTCTTCGCCTTCGTCTCGCCTACATTGTCCCTCCCTCCTCGCTCTCGTCCTCGCTCACGTCCTCTCACCCCGCTGTCCTCTCCATCCTGCATACCTTGTCATCTTTTGTATCCTTGTTCTAAATCACATCTTACGCCATGGTCCTTCAGGATCTCGGGCGGCGGATCAACGCCGCCGTCAATGATTTGACCAGGTCCAACAATCTTGATGAGACGGTGCGTGCTTTCTTCGCAGATGAGATACTTATATATATAAATTTGCTAACAAATTGGCATAGGCTTTCGATGAAATGCTGAAGGAGATCTGCTCGGCTCTTCTTTCAGCCGACGTTAACGTTCGCCTGGTCAAAAACCTCCGGAAATCGATCAAGTCCAGCGTGGACTTCTCGTCGTTGCCCTCCGCTGTCAACAAGAAACGCCTGATCCAGAAAGCCGTCTTCGATGAGCTGGTCGCCCTGGTTGATCCGCATGCGGAGCCGTTCCGCCCCAAGAAGGGTCGGTCCAACGTGATTATGTTCGTGGGTTTGCAGGGTGCGGGCAAGACCACTACTTGTACTAAACTGGCCCGTCACTATCAAATGCGAGGATTCAAGACCGCTCTAGTCTGCGCCGATACCTTCCGAGCCGGTGCTTTTGATCAGCTGAAGCAGAATGCCACCAAGGCCAAGATTCCCTACTACGGAAGTCTCACGCAGACCGACCCCGCCGTGGTGGCGGCTGAAGGTGTCACCAAATTCAAGAAGGAGCGCTTCGAGGTTATCATCGTCGATACCAGTGGTCGTCACAAGCAGGAAGAGGAGCTGTTCACCGAAATGACCCAGATTCAGACCGCCGTGACCCCGGATCAGACCATCCTGGTTCTCGACAGCACGATCGGTCAAGCCGCCGAGGCCCAGTCGGCCGCCTTCAAAGCGACCGCGGATTTCGGGGCGATCATCATCACCAAGACAGATGGTCACGCTGCCGGAGGTGGTGCCATCTCCGCCGTCGCAGCCACAAACACGCCGATCATCTACCTCGGTACCGGTGAACACTTGATGGATTTAGAACGGTTCGAGCCTAAAGCTTTCATTCAAAAGCTTTTGGGGATGGGTGACATGGCTGGACTGGTTGAGCACGTGCAGGCTGTCACCAAGGACTCGGCCTCCGCCAAGGAGACTTACAAGCACATCTCGGAGGGAATTTACACGATCCGCGATTTCCGCGAGAACATCACTTCTATCATGAAGATGGGCCCCCTGTCAAAACTCTCCGGCATGATTCCAGGCCTGTCCAACCTCACTGCGGGCCTGGATGACGAAGACGGTTCGCTCAAACTCCGACGTATGATCTACATCTTTGACAGCATGACCACGAAGGAACTGGACGGCGACGGCAAAGTCTTTGTGGAAAAGCCCAGCCGCATGGTGCGTATCGCCTGCGGCAGCGGCACCTCGGTGCGCGAAGTCGAGGACCTTCTCTCGCAGCACCGCATGATGGCCGGGATGGCGAAGCGCGTCGGCGGCCAAAAGAAGCAGATGCAGCGTGCCCAGAACATGCTCAAAGGTGGCAACAAGGACCAACAGCTGGCTGCCATGCAGAAACGTATGGCTGCCATGGGTGGTGCCGGCGGTGGTGGCTTCCCCGGGATGCCGGGCATGGGTGATATGTCCAAGATGATGCAGATGCTTCAGGGACAAGGAGGCGGAGGCGGTGGTGGAATGCCTGGTATGGGCGGCATGGATCTTCAAGGAATGATGAGCCAAATGAGCGGACTGATGGGAGGCATGGGAGGCATGGGAGGCGGCGGTGGAGGTCGCGGCAGAGGGCGATGATCTTCTTGACTTCTCGTTCTTTTTTTGTTTTTCGGATGCCGTTACTTACGTACTACCTTCTATGCTCTGTCTTATTTGATGATGCCGTCTCATGGACCACGGTTTGTCTCTTCTAGCATGGGATTGGCGTTGGGTGTGCATTGATCTGTTCTTGTTCATCTTGCAATTTGAGATATTATACATATTTATTACACTCCTGTGATTACTATTCCCTCTTTCTCTGTTCTCTTTTCCTCGCTTTTTCTCCCTACCTGCATGCTTGCCCTGGGGAATGGGTTGTATCATGAATGGAGAACGGGATGAACTGCAGCACTCTACTCGGGAGGATTCTACTCGGGAAGAATAATTGGATAATCCATGATATTAAGAATGCTAAACCAAAGCTGTTTATAATTATTTGCTCACGTGGAACACTCTCCTACGTACCAATCTTGACTCCGCCCATGAAGGATTGGTGCGATTCACCTTAGGTCTTCTTCGCTTTGTCCATCAAGCCATAGAGTAGTCCCATGACCTGATGTTGAACCTCGCCGGCAACCTCTTCGATGCGGCCGATCGTGGTCTTGGCCAAGATATGTCCAAAGCCAGTTTCCGATTTATCCTCTACGGCCTTGCCCGGAAGAAGACGGGGGTGTTTCCCGGACGCCGCGTATGCGACTCGACCTTCGTACCCTGGCAAAGGGACGCTGAGAGAGTACTTCCAGACGACGTCGTCGTCGATGTAAAGCGAGTAAGTCAGGACGGAGCTAGGGATTTTGATGAGCGCGCCGCTGGGAGTCTGCACCGTCTCATCTTGGATATCAATGTCAATCAACCCGTACTTGACGTTGCCGTCGGGAAGGTACTTGACGGTGACATCCTCGGTGTCGGTCTGACGATACGTTCGGATGGGCAGATAGAACATGCTGAGCGGACCGACGCTGAATTCATGCAAGCCCTCGCCGGCCGTGTTGGGATGCAGCTCATCCGGGGTCCAGTCCAGCGTGGGATCGGGGAACCGCGTGGCTCCAAATTCGTGCCGGTCGCCGCTCAACAGGACGATACGGACGCCGAGCTCGCGCTCGGCGCGCCACATGGCTTCAAATACGGTGCGGCGCTCATCCAGGAACCCGCCCCAGGTGTCGGTGGTACCGACGTGCCAGTTCTTCGTGAATGGAACGCTGGAGGCGATGATCTTCCAACGGACTTCGGCGGGTTCGGGACGAGCAAGGTAGGCCAGGAGAGATTGCAACTGGGCCGAGCCTATGATGGTAGAGTTGGGTTTCGCGGGTTCCGAACGGTAGGTGCGAGTGTCCAGCATGAAGAACGAGGCTGGACCATGGATGAAAGAGAAATACGTGGTGTTTTCTGGAGCAGCGAATGGGTTCGGAGGGATGGGAGGGTTGACACTGACATGGTAATGGATGTAGGGGTCGGCCGCGGCGGGGTATGGCGCGGTGGCGTTGCCCTTTGACCAGTCGTTCGCAATCTCGTGGTCGTCCAAGGTGTGAATCCAGGGGAGGTCGATGGCAGGAGCGTCGTCGGGGGTCGACCACGAAGGCGACTTGTAAACGCGTCGGTATTCGCTGCGATAGTGAGAGACCGACGAGCCGAAGCGCTGGGGCACATCGACGTAGATGAAGTCGCCGAGGAACAGCATGAAGGATGGTCGCAGCAAAGCCGGTAACTGGCGGATGGTTTCTGTCATTTTCTCGATCCCCGGGATGCGCAATGGGTGAGTCAAGGGATTGTAGGGGAAGTTGGACTTCATGCAGCTGGACGTCAAGAAAGACAGCCGGTTGGCCGATTTCGATCCGGGGAGAGGTGCGGTCACAAACGATCCCGTGCGGTTGTTGGACAGGGAGTATCGGTATTGCGAAGATGGCTTCAAGCCTCGCAGAGTCACAGAAGCCGTAAAATCCGTCGATTCGTCCAGCGAATAGATGATGCCTTCCTCCACCCACGGTGCAGATTGGGTGTCCGCTTCCTGGTAGTGTACCACTAGAGGCAACTGGGCGACATCAGGCTCTCGAACGAGAAGACTGGCAGTTGTCGGAGATACGTAGCCGATTCTTGAAAGGGCCACATCTTCACCGGGGTAAAGGATTAACCCGTGGAATAGGAAATCGAGGGTGAGCAGCGTGAGGGCTAAGTTGATCAGTATGGTCAATCGTGTCGCGCGCCGGGAGGTGGCGGATGGTAGGCCCGTCAACAGCGTCTTAAGCACGCCGCCGTATGAAGATGGCTGAGAATTCTCTGTAAGGCATTTCCTTCATAAGCATTTCTTCGCCAGCACCGACTAGAAACAGAAAGACGAATATTCACTCACTAGACTTGGATATAGATGCCTTGGGTCGATCGGTGGCCGATACAAGTGACAGTAGCGACGTGACGTACACCGCAAGTGCAGTCAGGACTATGCGGGGGAAAAGATGGCCAGGGATCTGCAGATCGACTCGGCATGAGTTCTACTCCGTAATTGTTCCTGAACCAAGCAAGAGGGGAAACACACCCAGCGTAGAAAGATGAAGGCGGCCAGTCTCAGGATTACCGAGCTGGTGGCAGCGGCAACGCGCGGTAGGGATGCCATTCTCGCTTCACGGGGAGTTTGGTAGGAGGTAAAGAGGCATTTGATCAAATCATGTCGACTCTGTTGCTGTGCTCTGGTCGGAGTTTCTAGCGGTGACGGGGTGAGAACGGAGAAGGGGAGAAGACGCGCAGGGACTGCGGGAACCGGAGCTATGACGACATCGCATCCACAAGAGAACTTGAGCACCGTTCGGTTGGAATTTCTAATGATTGCTAGTTACATAGATGTTGATCTACTCTTGATAATTATAGTAATGCAGTCTAGCAATAAGCGCTTTTAGCGCCTCCGCGACGCCGCGAACACCAGGTCCATCATGTGCATGCTGAGCGACATGGCCGCTGCCCATTGCCAGGGCTTCTCGCGTCCTCCCGGGTAGGAATTGAAGTACTCCCAGCCCATGACACCGCCAAAGTTTGGATATTTTTGGACCAGGTAGCCCAGTATAGGTCCCATCTTGTCCAACGGCACGAAGCCTTGGGATCCGTTGCCGGGATTCGTCAACAGGCCGTAGACCACCCGTTGCGGCGACCAGCCCCGTGCGATGATGGCCTCATACATGCGCGGATTGTCGGCGGGACCCCATCCGTTGTAAAACTGCGCGTTGTACCAACTGATCTTGGACGCCCGCTGCTGCTCCAGGACGTGGTAATCGAAGCCCGACAGGTTTCCTGCGCCCAACAGCGCGGCTGCGACTGGGGCCAACGTCACGATGAAGTCGTCTCCTAGATCGGCTTTGAGCCGGTCGATCAGTCGGATGATGCCCGTCAGCGACATAACTTCTTCCACGTCCAAGTCCATGCCATCTAGCTGAAAGCGTCGAATGGTCGCCAGTAATGGTTGGTAATAGTGATTGAAAGACTCTAGGTCTCCGTCTAGGCTGCGAAACGAACCCTGCGCCGCGCCTCCCAGCATCCCCATGATTCGGACGCCGCTTTGCTTCATCAGCGGCACCTCGGTCCACAGTGTATCGTACATGCTATTGTCTGGCGGATCGTTATTTAAGGTGATATGGTTGGGGTCGGCATTCAGGTGGAAGGCTGCGAGGATGACATGTGTAACGCCCGTGTGATTCTGTATCAGCGGCAGCATCGAGACATACTGGCCGTCGGGGCAAATGGTCTGGTGATAACACACCACCCGGCATCGTTCGGCGCGAGAACGTACCGGAGGCATTGTTCAGAAGTAATGGAGTAATGAATGCGGGTGTAAAAACTAAAAAGTTCAAGTGAGAGAAATCGCGGGGTGGTAAAAGACAGTGGAGGCCGATGACGGTCGATAACTGAGCCCCACCGACGGCGAGTCTCGGTCTAGCATGCTTATATAGTAGATGGGGACTATGTCTATGGAGACCTAAAAACAAGAAGAAACCATTCTAGATTAGATGGAAGAAGGAAGAAGGGACCACGAGGGGAAGTTGTCGTGAGAATTGGAAAACAGAAGGCGCAGTTGACCAGAGAGACCTTTTCGAGGGCGGCTGACTCATCCCCTTCTCTCTCTCTCTCTCTTCCTTCCCTCCTTCCTTCCTTCCTACCACTACCACGCCGTGTGTCCCCCGTCGATGACAACACTCGTCCCCGTCATGGAGCTGCTGGCTTCGGAGAGCAGGAACACAATCGGTCCTGCAAATCCCTCCGGTGCGGCTAGTCGACCCAGCATATTCTCTTGCTCCCAGATCTGCTTCAGTCCCGGTACTTAGGCCAGGTTCTGTTGCACCATGGGTGTGATGATGTGTCCGGGACATAGGGAATCGACACGAATCCCGGATCGACCCCATTCCATAGCCAGATTCCGAGCCAGCTGAATGACCGCGGCTTTGGAGGAGTTGTACACGGCACAATTCAATCCTTTGTTAGCAACCAACCCGGACATGCTTGCGATCAACACAATTGACCCGCCCTATCCATAGCGTATCATCTACTACGCAACTACGTTGGCAAACATGAAAACCCCAGTGTAGTTGATATCCAAGACTTCGGATACTTCCTGTGCAGTATAGTCGATTGCCGCCTTGGCCCGTTGCACCCCAGCTGCTGCTACGAGACCGTCAATACGTCCGTCCCGGGATACGAGATTTGCGATGGTCTGGTCAAGTACACGACGACTCCGAACTTCGATGTGATGGTAATGGAGCGAGCCTCCGGCACCCGCAGCCCCTCGTTGTAATACGGGGAATTCCGGGTCGGGGTGAACCAGTCTGTCGAAACAATGCACTATGCCACTCATTTGTCAGGGTTTGCTAGGACAATGTTCCTTCGCGAGTGCATCAAACCTTTGGCGACTCTTTGCGCAATAGCCTCTGCCAGTGTCAATCCTAATCCCCTCCTGCCTCCCGTGATAACATAGACTTTGCCCTGGAGATCGAAATTTAGGCCTTGTCGGGGTCTGTCCCTGACCAGTGAGGGTTTATGGGCCAGTCTTTGCTGAGATATTAGGCCTTGCCCGTAAGAGGCAGAAATGTACCGAAACATCACCGAGGGTCGATGAAGGAGACGGCCGGTCAAGGGTGCAATTTCCCGCAGTATGGGTACTACATATGGTCTCAGTGAAATCATATTTGCCGCGAGTTGCTCTGATACACCCCAATATTGGCTGTCTGGATTTTGATCCACGAGTGCTTGGTATCATTTCGGTTCGATGGGGAATCCTTGATATATAAACACCGTGTGCTCACAACAGAGCACCCCATAGCGGGAACTTGCCAGCGTCGAAATGCTCAAGGCTAATCCAGGTCATCTTCGAGTTTTCTCGTTGCTGATCGAATCTAGTTCGGGCTTCTGACATGGAAGTATAGGTGCGATATACTGACTCTTGCATAGACTGCCTATTTCATATTGATGCAGAGCGTTTCCATTCCGGATGGCATTGATGCTAGTTTAGATCAGGCTCTCTATGATCTCATGTATATGTCCTCGCATGGCTTTTCCGATTGAGGGACGATTCCTGGTCAGTACCTAGGTAGTAGGTAGGTAGGTATTCGAAGGTATTCTTAGTATAAGCAATACAGATTAGAAAACCGTATGTATATTATGACAAAACAGGTAAGGTACAGGTCAACCGCACTAGGCCAGATCGGGGTCCCGTAAACAAGGTGCCTTGTGGCCTGAAACATCCGGCGTCCTCTCGTCTCTGCGCATCGCGTGTGGAACTTCCCTCTACTCCACCGCGATCAGTCCATTCCATGCGACTGAGCGACTCGGGCATCTCCAATTCATGATCTTCTGATCCCTTCGCCCCGAGCGTAAGAGCGCGACCCAACCTACTTAGGCAATAAAGATCTAGCGAAGGACTTCCCCCCCAATCACCATGGCCGATACCACCTCGCACGACACAATCGGCGCGTCCACGCTGGCCACCCCCCTTTTCATGCCCTCATCTCCCCCTGGCCCGAATCACGACCTGCTAGGCTCCCCCGAGCGATCCCAAACCCCCGCGTCCGAACATCCCGCCGACGAATCGCGGTTGCGGAACCGCCCTTCGCCGGGGTCGTCCAGAGCGTCGTCCCCCGACCGCGCGCTGAGAGAGCTGGAAGCCCGTCTGGCGGAATACACGATGGATTTCAGCCAGTTTCCCAGTGGCCAACAGGATTTCGATGAGGATCTCCCAGATGAACCCCAATTGCCGCATGAAGAAGATCGATTGTCGGACGTCGCCGGGCCGGAGGACTTTACGGCAAACCTAGAGAGATATCTCATGGGCGAAGACGACACGGATATCTTTGATCATAAAGAAATGGATAAGATCCAGTTATCAGAGCCGCATAATGACAGGGAAGGACATGAGGAAGTACAGTTTGCACCAGAGGAAGGAGTGAAACAACAGACCCAGCCTCCGACCCAGCCACAGGACCAAACGCACGCGCAGGAAGAACAGCAGCAGCAGAGCTCCCAACTCCATCAACCCGCGATCGAAGATGAACCGGAACTGGGCGAATATAGCGAATTCGGCCCCCCTGTCGATATGTCCACCCCGTCCCATTTACTCCGCAGACCCAGTGGTTTGGCTAAAGATGTGACGCATCTCGCGAATATTGAAGAAGATCCGGATGACGACTTAGAGCCGGCGGCGACTCCGTCGGTTCGGAAGCAACGGACCCCGTCGATTAAAGGGGGAAAGGATACAGAAGGGGATTTACGTCGACAGATTGGCGATCTACAACGGGCGCTTCGAGACCGGGATGAGCAATTGGAGAGAAACCATCGGCGGGTCCTGGAAGCCGCTTCGGCCGGAGAACAGATCAAACATTTGCAGGCGGAACTTCAACGGAAGACGACCCTGCTAGACGAGCTGCATGCTAAGCGTGGCGACGAGACGCTTCTACGTGAACAGATTCAGCTGCTACAGAAGCAAAATGAGGAGAGAGAATCATTTCTACAAAGGTCGTCGATCAGCTCGACGGAGCTCAGCGCTCTCCAGAAACAAATCGGGGACATGCACAAGGAAATGCAAAATCGCTATTCTTTTACGGATTTGGAGAGTGAGAGGCTGGAAACGATTACGCACCTGCGCCAGCAGTTAACCATGACTCAGGAGCAAGTGAAAAAACGGGACTCTGCCCTGGACGAAACCTTGGAGAAACTGCAAGAACTCACGACCGTAAAGGAGCAACAACTGCGCGAGAACAATACCATGGTTGATGGACTCCGAGCGCAAATCGACGACCATGTACTGGAGATCGAGAGGCTTGAGACCGACCTGGAGCGCGCGAACCACGCGTACCACACTCTAGAGGACCGAATCTCTTCGTTGGAGACCAGGAACCGCCCATTGGAAGAGAAGAACAGTACCCTTGAAGCTGACCTGGAGCGCGCACAGTCGCAGATGACGGCCCAAGAGAATGCTCTCAAGGCCATGGCCGCGGACCTCCCCGTTGAGTCGGGTGGAAACACCTACACCGAGATATTGGAGCTGATCAAAGATCTGGGCCAGCCCACCACGACACGCCCTGCCGATGTCCTCATGAAGGAGAAAGGTCCGGTCGATCCAGAACTGGAACTGCTCCGTGAGGAAATCACCAAACTCCACGCCGAATTAAAGGATGCCTCATCCGTCCGGAAGGCCATGGAAATCCAAGCAACACGGTCCCAGGAACAAACCACCGAAGCGCATACTCTGATCAACTCCATCGAGAGCGAAAACACCCGTCTGAGCCGACGTGCCGAAGACCTGAAATCCAACCTCGACAAGGCCAATCGCGAACTAGCCCAAGTCAAGGATGCACACTCCGAGACACTCGTCACCATCCAGCATCTCCAGGAGGAAAAGAAAAAGCAACAACCCAGCCCGCCTCCATCACCTCCATTCCAACGGCAAAAAGAATCTGCCCTCGAGGAGACTCACCAGGCGCAGCTGAAAAGTCTCCAAACGGCCCATGCCACCGCCATCTCCACCCTCCGCACATCCCACGCCGACTCCACCCGCAAATTGCGAGACCTTCTCTCTGCCGCCGAGAAGCGAGAATCCAATCTCCAGGCTGATCTCCAGTCCTTGCGCACCTCTCGCTCCAACCAAGGCAAAGACCTGCAATCTCTACGCGCCGAGATCGAACGCCTCGAGTCCGTTATCGCCGTCAAAGACGAAACAGCTGCGGCGGTGGATCAACGCATTGCGCGGTCTGTCGAGAAGCGCGAAAAGGAATGGGAGCGTCGCGTGGATCTCCTACTCAAGGAACGAGAGCGAATGAGCCGAGCTCTTATGTGGTCTTGGGGCGAGAAGGAAGTCAAAGAGCCCAAGGAGCCGCCACTTGATGAACAGGGTCGACGCAAGCAGGGCTACAAGTATAAACATGCGCAGAAGAGTGGCAGTGCGAAGAAAGCATGAAGCGTTTTCTGCTCCATTCTCGAGTTTTTGGTTTGACTTGGTATCGGTTGTTTCCGGTGTTTATTTTTTATTGTTTTCGGGATGGCTTATGTCTTTAATTATTCTTTCTTCGGGGTTTCTACTCTTTGTTTGTACTGGTGCATAGGGCAGGATCGTGAGTGGGATTAATTCGTCTGGCGTCTTTGGGGTGTCCAAGGACAGCATATAACGGCAGCATATAGCATTACTATGCTCAAAAGACTCATTCTTCCGTTCAACATAATTCACATACATCTCATCTGGTTATTTAGATTCAGCCATAGCTATCACATCCTGCAGGGGATCATTATTTGAACATAGAATAAATGTGCTCGCTCCAAAAAGCGTCAAGAAATATTAATCCAAGATCACACTTGAAATAGTAGTTTAGCCTCTTCCCTTCTCTTTCCTTCGCTCCACCGATTCTCATCATCTATCCGTAAAAGATACGTCTGACCGGCAGACTTTTTTTATTATTAGTAGTACCTGTGCATACTAGTGCGGGAGGTGCCTCGATAAGTGTTGTCATCTGAGAATATATCCCCTCGAGGCTCATCCATAGATGTTCCCGTTTCTCGGATGCAATCTAAATGGCCAGAGGACGAAAACCCACCACACGTACTGCTGCGAGATCGCCGCGTGCTTGGGTAGATGATTTCGGCGTCGTTTCGACGGGACTGGGACCACATGCGTCGTGGTTCAGGCCGACTCCGCTTGGACCATCGAGTGTGTGGAAGGTGCTGACTTCTGGAATAACGAGGGACCTGAACAGGCTCGAACTGACAATGGCTTTGACGCCTGTCGCTGTGTCGCATGCTTTGGCGGTTAACGATCCTGTCTGGTTCCACCACGGAGGCTCTATGGCTGGGAGCTCTGTTCAGAGGATGGAGCGTAAGGGGGCTGATAGGGACCGAGGTGAACTTGGGATGGTGCTGATAGACAGTTTGAATGGGACCGGTCTGCGTGGTGTTGGATCTGTGCACGTTAGATGGTGCAGGTATTACAGCTTCGGGGGCCTCTGCAGAGTTCGTTGTCATGGACCGTGGAAGCGACGGCCTCGGAGGGTCCGCATTGTTGGCGTCAGGGGAAGAAATCGATCGTTGCCGCTCGGTAGAAGATTCTGGGTGCGATTGAAGTTCGTCTTTCGGATCATTGGTATTCTCGGGTTCTATTTGCTTCTCGAGATCTCGCGGGACATTGGGATCGGCCAGGGCTCTTATTTGAGGGTCTGCTGATAGCGGAAGTGATAGCGGAAATGTTTTCGGGAGAATCTTGCGGAGCGAGGATAAAGACGATTTCTGTCTCTTGTGAATAGAGTTGGATGAGCTTCCAGCGCCATCGGGTAGCTCGAACAGGGGAGGAGGTTGCCAAAAAGGACCATGCATAACCGTCGATGTTGCACCAGTCGGTGTTCGGCAGATAGAGCTCATGTCGTTGATTGTACTCCCTCCTGGCGATCTCCTACTCAGAGTGCCGTTAGGCGAGATTGTTGATCCCGAGAGGACGTCGCTGTTCTCACTCCCGGGGTCTACATCGAGTGAGAGGTGCGGTCTTGGATGAATTGGCGTGGGATGCTGAATAATTGAAGACCAATTGGACTTCTTCATTGGATCGCTTGGAGACAATTGGTACTCCCTAGTTCCATAGGCAGCATCGGGACGGCGGCAGATGTAGTAAATATCACTTTTCAAGGTACTGTCGCTTTGCATTGTTGAGCTCGAGATGAAGCTGCCATCTCGGATTGCTCGTGGATCTTTGTATACACCCAGCAAGGACACATCATATGGGCGATCACTTAGCTCCCTGGAGCAAAAATAAAGGCACACTGTGATACTGGTCAAAGTTAATGAAGATCGGGATAAGCGTACAAAAGGGAGAGGGCTCACAAGGCGATGACAGAAACTATAACAGCAGCTCGGTGAAGTGCGCAGCTAACGCCCTCTTTCCAGAAGTTGTCTCGGGAAGATTCTTGAAGACATGAGACCTGTTGCGAGACGACTACTAGACCGGCGACGCTAGCAGCTAGCCAGACAATAATTGTTAATCGCAGTAGATAGATACAACCCTTATGGAGAACGGCCTTTTGGCTCCCGAACCCGGCAACCTTGTTATATTGCCAAGCGAGGATGCTATGTAGAACCACGAGGGGAACCGTGAGAAATGACTAAGAACCAGGATCAGGATCAGCGTGCACCTTGTCAGTGAGCAGGGGTGAACCTACCGCCACAAGAGCGAGTATAAGACTTGGAGTCATCTTCGAATCAACATGTCGGTAAGCGTAGAGATATAGCGCCAATGCCCACTCGATAAGTGATTCCAAAAGCAGGACATAGAGGGAGATAAAAATAACAACTTTGGTCCATGATCCGCTTTTTTTATGCAACCCCGATCGACTAGCCATGCTTTGATTCCAGAGAAAATGCCTGAAGCAGCTAAAATGCAGTTTCCATCAATAAGAATGGTGAAGCATTCGCGAGAGTATAAAGTAGATAGCCGGCGGGAACTACAAGACGGATGGCCAAAAATGAAAGATATATGTGATGTTCCGAATTGACAAAGAGCTGAGATTCCAATTGGCATAGAATTATTTTTTCTGGGAGTTCAAGAAACACACAGGTATTATTATAAAAGGAGATCGGTTGAGTACGATTGACAGGCCCATACTAAATGGGCTAGGTGATTGAGCGCCTTGGGCGCGTCAACGCGGAAGCAGAGGGGCCGGAATGCATAAGCATGAGGCATGGTGCAAAAGCAGCAAGCTTCAAGAGACATGGCCTGTATGGGATTGAGAGCACCATTTCTCAGGAATGCAGGTTGAAACCCGGAAGAAACACACATACTTGAGAGCATCAAGGGGTTGAAAATTGGAAAAAAAAAATCCCTGGTTACCCATTAAGGTTTGTAAGTTGGATCTGTATAACCTCATGGAAGAGAAGGGCGCTCATAATTGAATTATCCCATCAATACACGCGCGCCTTCATAGGGATTGGGGGAAACTCTCCCTTGATTGAAGGCGAACACGCGTGGGAGCAAAGGGAGATCCGAGCTTCCTAGTAGAAATGATGGGGTGCGAATGTTGCAGGGATCAAGGGGGGGCATCTTAACGTTAATCGAGGTTCCCCCAGGAGAAGACAGGGGATGGAAGAATGAACAGCGAAGGATGAGGGATGAAGGATGAAGGATGAACAGGTGAAGATGGAGAAAGAGGGAAGAAAAGGAAACTCCACGTGATACTCGCCCATTTGGACGCATCGCCAACTTTTCTCTCTCTTCCCTCTCTACACCTGCCAGGATCCAACTATGCATGTGTTTTTCTTTAATTTGGCTTGACTCATCGCCATCTTGCTGGCATGAAGGAAATCGAACGCGTCGCGCCAACGGTTCAGATTCCGGTCCCCAACGCCGGTATAGTTACTATAACCCCTATGGATGAAGATAATTATTGACTTCTTCTGATGGTCCACGTCGCCACAGGTCGTTCCTAAGTCATGATATTGTCGGTTTATCTACACTTCATGGGCTTGTGTTACAGTCCCATTTGGTATACGGCAGCAATACATTAGACTTCCACATCAGTGTTCAGTGGAAGCATTTTCGCGGCCATGCATCTATTTATAGTCAATATTCTTTCCTAGATTTTCTCGCCTAAATGTCTAAACAAAGGCGATTTATGTTCGACAAGGCTTCGCGTCTTTCCGGCTCATCTCGATAAATTTGTCCACTCTCAGCAAAAGCACATCCGCCTGGAAGCGTTTGTTGATGTCATTGATGTCACTGCCAGCAGCTTCAAGAGCAAAGAACTCTTGAAACATTGACACTCAAGAGTTTGATGAAATCAATTCCCTGGGTCAGCTCTTTGTGGAACGAGGTATAGATTGGGGTCTTGTTAATATCGCACTCGAACGATCTTTCAGGATCCGGGTTCATTGCGATCGCGACCGAACCGATCAGATCAGATCACGCCAATTGAAATGATGACCTGAGAATATATATCTGGGATAGGCCTGTGGGCCTTATCGGTAAGAATGGGGAGTTTATCGCTGCCATCGCAGCTAAGAGGTGCCAAAGATGGTATTTGGTGGAGACTTGGAGTCAGAGTCAGAGTCCGAGGCAGGGAAACATGCAGCAAATGAATGAACGGTGAGAATTGCCTGCCGAAACGGATCGGCAATGATTAGGGACGAAGCTCTGCGGGGAAGTCCGTTATTATTGTTGTATAGGCTTATCGACGCCGCGATCCACCCCCACGTCTCGGCCGCGTTCCAATGAGAAGACTCACAATGGCCGCTAATTGAACGAACTTATCTATCGCTTTCGCCTTCTTTATCAAGATTGGAGAACAATGCCCCCACGTTCCCTTGCTCGTCCCTTGCGGAATGAAACCCTCGCGATGTAACTATCGCAGTGAGGGGATGAGGGGAAAAGGTCCCCATATCCTTTCCCCTCTCTACTCAATTCGCTTCTCTCCTATTCTCTCTTCCTCCCTCTGTGCCTCTCTCCATATCAGCATCGTGTCATTAGCTGTTAATCGGCAGATCATGTCCATCTCCAACGAACCCCAACCTCCATACCCTCTTCATGACTCGGTGAAAGACCTTTTGGACCCGGAGTATGTGAAGTTTTACAACCAGCATGTCATCAATTTACAACAGGTTCATCTTCAGCCGGTTGAGGCCTCGAGAACTGGCGGCGTCCTGATTCCCGGGGGTGGCCCGCTGCTCGACGTCGGAAAGACGGAAGATATCACCATCCAGCGACGAGAAACAGAAGGCCCAGAGATCCTACTGCGGGCGTTCATTCCCAAGGGAGAAAAGCCTGCGTCGGGATGGCCGGTAATGCTCTATTTCCACGGAGGTGGTTGGGTTCTTGGGAACATCAATACGGAGAACCCCGTATGTACCAATCTGTGCGTGCGGGGAAACTGCGTTGTCGTGACGGTTGACTATCGGTAGGCGAGCTATGCGCTGGATATACTTTAATTACCCATAGGTCACAGTGACTGATTCTCTTAGGCTTGCCCCCGAAAATCGTTGGCCAGCTGCCGTACACGACTGCTGGGAAGCTTTGCTCTGGCTCTTGGCCGATGGTCCCTCGAGACTTCCCATCGACATCTCCAAGATGGCCACTGGAGGTTCTTCTGCTGGTGGGAACCTCGCCTCGATCATCACGCACAAGGCGCTCACGTTATCCCCTCCCGTACACTTCCTTGCGCAGTTACTCTCGGTCCCAGTCGCAGATAACACAGCTACGGTGGAGAACAATGAGTCCTACCGGCGATATGAACGCACGCCAGCCCTTCCGGCTCCTAAAATGTTGTGGTATCGCAACCATTACCTTCCTGACGAGGCGGATTGGGCCAACCCCGAGGCGAGTCCGCTGTTTTATCGGGGAGACTGGTCACAACTTCCGAGGGCATTAGTAATGGTGGGCGAGCTGGACGTTCTCCGAACGGAAGGGGAGCAATATGCGGATAAGTTGAAAAAGGCTGGCGTGCAGGTGGATCTGCAAGTGATGAAGGGAATGCCGCATCCATTCCTGGCGATGGATGGGGTGCTCCAGGAGGGAAAGAGGTCGATCACATTGATGTGTGATTTGCTGAAGGAGGTCTTTTAGTCTTGATTGATATTATTGATTAACCTCAGATCAACTTATTCAAAGTTAAAATAGAAATATATCTATTTAGATATTCGCTCTTCAACTGTCCCTTCGTTCCATCGGCCGTTTACAAGGCGAGTGACTGGCCACCGCTTTCGTACTTCAAAAGTCGATGTATAAGCATACTGCCCTTCATAGACTTTCCAACAAACATGATAGGTAAGGATTTATGGAGATAGTCACAGATAGTCAGAGATAGCAACTCGATGGGATCTCCATCGGAGACCAAGTGGAATAGCAATGAGTGGCAAGAAATAAAGAAGTCATGGTCCTAGTTTTATCTAGATTTACCTGTCGCTCTTGTGCTTGAAGATATGAATGTAATGATTAGTGGTCATGATTTACAACAGACTTCTACTACATGGCTTTTCGTTACGGAAATGATCAGATCACCTTAGTTCTGTTGCTATGTTAAACGCAATGCCCAGTCCGCTCAATTCACGGCCTCAAGAATTATCCATGAAATATTAATGGGTACTGAGCGTTAGTAGTGGACTGAATCTGGACCAAATATATGGCAGGCTGACCCAGCTAGCTGTCGTCGCTTGCTGTTCTCAGACACCACGTACAATGTGGTACTATGACTTGATACCTATCGCACTGCAAATCTCAATAACCCCCGGCGCATCGAACCTGTTCAATACTCTGAGCTTCAATTCGGGTTCGGCAACGAAGCCAAGCCTTTCGGATCTGTGGCAGTACGTAGATCGTATGATGGACACACCCGCGGGAGGTCCTCGCAATTTCCAACGGCTTCGTCCCGTAGCACAAAGAGATTCCATAGTGGTCAAGACCCTATAACAGGAATGATAGTGACACACTGCTTTCAATTTTTGTGAGAGGCGGGAAGTTGCATGTAGCGGATATCGTCGATTTGTTTGCTTCGGGGCGGCATTTGGAAGCCTTAGGAGGTACAGCGCTCGCCATGATATCCATTCTATTAGATTCTTGTTTTCCTTTATCCTTCCTCACCCCATTCCCATCTAAAATCCGGGCGTACGGCGAGTTTTCTGGATCACAAAAAAATGACACAAAGCACCCACTTCGTGCGCAAAGTGCCGAAATGAAAAGCTACCACGGCGAAGCGAGGGTCCTCGGATACATAGCGGAACTTTTTTTTCTATTCAATCTGACAGGGTTATATGGTAGGCACCCACCATGCTAGGCATCATTCTCATTTCCACGCAGAGGTGACTAGAGGCAGATAGTGCTAGGCTGGCGACTGCCATAAGCGTGGCGTCCGACATGGCCTAATAGCCTTATCTCGTTGGACCGTGGTTCATCTCCCTGAACAGTGGGGTTCGAGGCGCTAAGAGAATTCCTGAGAAAATGTTGCCCCGGTGGTTCTCTTCTCTTTGCTCCGGAGAGGGTCAGTGCTCAGTTGATGCGGCTAGCGGAGATTGCGGTCCTCCAAAATTGCGCGAAATGAGCGTCGATGTAACCTCGTGCAATCCATGTAGAAAGACTGACTCACTGAGATCGGTTAGCGGTAGAAACTGTCCAGGATGCTCCAGTCTAGTGTGTAAACTAGAGAGTGTAGAGAAGATGGATTCCTTTCCGTTTGGATCGGCGAAGATCCGGGACGATCAGGTGACTCGCCCGTTGACCGTGCGGCTGCCCCTTTAAGACTAGTGGATGTTTTGATCATCGCTAATTGGTGTTCCTGACGAGATGCGATGCCACTAGCGCCAGGAGTGGATCCAGCCTTCCCTTAGTGGGTCTAGTGCATCTCTATCTCTCTCTTTTCCTTTCTTTCTTTCTTTCTTTCTACTCCGTACCACCGTCAACCATGTGGTGGCCACGTCCATCCGTCATGGCATCTTTTTCGTCCTTCTGCTTTTATTTTTCTTCTTTTCTTTCCGTTGATCCATGATGGTGCCTGTTGTCCAAGACCTCGGCTCATTTGTCTTCCAACGGTCTTCTTCTGGAGTAACTACGTAGTCGCTAAAACCTGGAACTCATTGCTATCCTGATGGAGGAGCCGATTACCGGACCCTCCTCCGACACCCCGTCGGACTGGCTCCAGGAGCAGTTAGCTTGTGGTATCCCTCTTACCTTTCTCATGCAAGTCTGGTCACTAAAGTCTAGCGTAGATATTCTAGTCCCTATCTCGTGCGGCTCTACACCAGGATAGGACCCCTCTTTACGAATGGATATCGTTCGGCCATGGTATTCTCCATGATGGTAATTTCGCCGAACCAATCGGTCCCTGGAATCGTTCTTGTCCTCAGGCACGCTAACCGCAAGCGTCTCGACGGTCTCTATGGTTTGCAATTATGGAGAGATTGTTATCCTGTTTGAACCCTGTAGGCTTTGAGCCCCCCATTATCATTTCCTAATTGTGCGCGGGCAGACTCGGTTGTACCAGTTCTGTGGTGGTGAGACGCTAGATGCCTGGAATGCATGCTAATTTCCCCCGGGCTGTCCGTATATTTAACTCCGTCCGGTTTTCTCGCCATAATCTTTGTCTCTCTTTCTTTCTGTCTCTCCGGCTGTCCAACCTGTTCTCCTGTTTGTAGGACCGGTCCAAGCAGGCGTTTTTTGTCTGCGTCCTTTCGTTGACTTGTTTGCACACACGCTCTTTTTAGCTAGACATACCTATTGGATTGGCCTCTGGCCACTTGTCATTCCCTTTCCCAATCACACTCTTTTTTGCCTTTTACGGTCTTGGTCTTCAGAAAGAGAAAAGAAGAATCATGATTTCCCAAAGGGCTCTCGCCGTGGTTGCGGCAATCTCATGCCTCGCCTCGCCAGCGTTTGCTTTTGATGCCCAGTCAAAGTCTAACGTTGCTGTCTATTACGTATGGTCCCCTTACTGGTGTCAAAAATTGAACTCTCCACCAAGTGTCTAGGTGTAAGTGTTAACCTTCTTTCCAGGGTCAAGGGTACGAACAGCCTCGCCTGAGAGAAATCTGTCAAGATGCCTCGGTAGACATCATTAACCTGGGATTCATCAATGTATTCCCCGGTCAGGGTGCCGGCGGATGGCCTGGCAGTAATTTTGCCAATCAGTGTGATGGCAAGACTTATGAGATTGGTGGAGTCAAAACGCACCTGCTTTCTGGCTGCCATCAATTGGTAGAGGACATTCCTCTTTGCCAGGCAGCGGGAAAGAAAGTTCTGCTGTCGCTAGGAGGCGCAAGTCCAGATACCCAACGGATCCTGTCTGAAACGGATGCGCTTCTATTTACCGACTTTCTTTGGGGAGCCTTTGGACCTATTGATGATGCGTGGGTGGCCATGGATGGTCCTCGTCCTTTCGGTGATGTTGTTGTTGATGGATTTGACTTTGATATCGAGCACAACGGTGGTTTTGGTAAGTTCTTTGCTTCGAGGCCGCCGTGTATACAAACAAGGCCAGGACGTGTTCTGATTTGCCATAGGCTACGCCACCATGATCGATCGGTTCCGGGAACACTTCGATCTTATCCCTGACCGTACCTTTTACATCTCTGGCGCACCCCAGTGCTCAATCCCCGACCAACAATTAGGCCTCGCAATTGCCGCGTCTGTCTTTGACTTTGTCTGGGTCCAGTTCTATAACACGGCAGGATGCTCTGCCCGGGACTTTTTCAACGTTGCCGGAAACGGCAAAGGCGGCTTCAGCTATGATGCATGGGTCAACGTCATCAAGAACGGGCGCAATCGCGCGGCGAAGTTGTATATTGGACTTCCGGCCAGCGAGAGTGCTGCCAAACCGGGATACTATCTCACTCCTGAAGAGGTCGACGTTCTGGTTGCACGGTACATGGGTCGTTATCCGGATACCTTCGGTGGCATCATGCTTTGGGAGGCCACTGCATCGGAGCGAAACCAGATCGACGGAGCTGCCTATGCCGAGCATATGAAGAACATCCTAGTCCAACGCGATCCTGCGCATCCCACTCCAACTGCGGTCCCTTCCAGCACCATCCCCGTCACATCCAGCAGACCTATCTCCTCGGGGACAACGTCTACTTCAATCATTGTGTCACCAACTACCTCCTCTGTTGCCACCACATCGCCGTCGCATACCAGCCGCTCGAGCTCCTATCCCAGTCCGTCGGCCACCACGAAAGTGACCAGCACGCTTACTCCCTCGAGGTCCCCGGTCACTTCCGGAAGACCCAGCCCATCGACCTCGCCGGTTACGTCTCGGACAAGGTCCACCCCCGTGATACGCACGTCGACAGTCTCGACCATCACCAGCCATTCTAGCAGCTCGGTGCCGTCTAGAACGCCCACGTCGCACCACCCAAGCCCGTCAACCAGTGTGATCGCTTCTAGTACTCGAGTCTCTTCCAGCTCGCATATTAGTTCGGGACGGCCCAGTTCGTCGACTTGGGCCTCCACAGTGTCTTCTACCATCTCGCGCACCTCCCAGGCCACTACATTGAGCCCGTCAGGGAAACTTCCTAGCAGCAACGGCCAATCAAATACTATTCCATCGCAGGGAGCCACCGCTTCGTCCTCAAATGAGACCGGCAAGCCAACGGGATCGTCCACCGGCACGGCATCTCATCATGGAAGCGGCACCATCACAATGCCCCCTGGCGTCACGGATGGGCCTCAGACAACGGCTCCGGCTAACCCCAACGGCTCCAGTTCTGGGGGCGTCACCATCACGACCGTGATTGTCACTTCGTACACCAGCATCTGCCCGACAGGATTCACCACGATTACCACGACTTACACGACAACGTACTGTCCTGGAACGATCCCGGCCACGGCCACGGTTACCAATCCTCCTCCGGGGTCAGCACAGACGACGGCTCCCAGCCCGCCAGAGGGATGGACCACGACGGTGACTGTTTGCACGCAATGCGCGGCAACCCCTACCACGGTGACTCTCACCGTGCCAGTCACTGCCACCGTGACCAACCGTCCCTCTGCCCCCGAATCGCAGACCAACGCTGCTGCTGCTCCTCCACCGGCGGGATGGACCACAACGGTGACGGTGTGCACTCGATGCGGACCATCGCCTACCACGTTGACTCTCACCGTGCCCGTCAGTGCGGCGACCGAGACCGTACCTGGATCTGGCCCGTCGGTCGGCACTGGTCCAGAAGGGGGCGCCGGCACCCCTTCCAACCTGGATACCACCAACACCCATTATCTACCTCCTGCGCCCACCCGGTCCCCTATCTTTGGGACTGGGAACGCTCATCCTCGCCCTTCGACTTCGACCTTGTTTGTGCAGCCGTCGCCCAGTGAATCGCGGGTGCCGGTCGCTCCGAGTACAACGTCAGAGTATCCGGCGCCCATGTTCACCGGCGCAGCACCGCGCCAGGCTAGACTCAGCCACGCGGCCGGCGCCTTGTTAGTTGTGGCTCTGCCCGTGCTCATGATGATGTGAAATCCTTACGGGGACATGTTTTTGAATTTCATTTCGCTACACCTTGTTCTTTTCAATTTGGCTTTTTTTTTTTTACTTTCTTTCTTTCTTTTAATTTAATGTAGCACTTCATACCTTCTTGACGGACCTTCCTGGGCGAGAGGAGATCTGCCTGATCTATCTTCGTGGTTATAATCTATATAGATATATTTCTTGGTCATAATCTATATGGTTTGTTACTTCAAGTCACGAGTTAAGCTTCGGGCCAAGGCGGCACGTGCCGACCGAGCCAAGCCAAGTAAACAAACAGTCTACACTCAACATATACTTACGGAGTAAGTTGTGTCCTCTGTCGGGGAGTCCCTGCCGTGTAGCCTGTAGGCAGGATGGCGGATTCAGGAGTCCAGATGACCTGTGGCAGTGTCCTCTCCATAATCAACATTTAATATGGAGGGTCCGGTCTAGTCGCAGCTGGCGTCTGAAACCGCCCCGCTAGCCAGCAGTCTAATCCCAACTGTCTTCAATCGATGATTTCGGAACGTACTAAAGGACCCAATGAGGTAATGCCAGATCTCGACTGCCCCAAAAGGAGGGGCTAGTCAGCTTTTTGGGATGGCAGAACGGGGTCTTTGTTTGATGGGTTTTGCAGAGCCCCCTCGCGCCACTTTTTTCCCTTCCGACATTCTTCCATTACCTATAAAATATAACGGCCTTCCCCTTTCTAGCTCTCCCTTTTTCATCATCGTCATCCTCTTTTTCCTCTTTCCCTTCTTTCTTTGATCTTCAACCAACATACCCACAACCAAACAAATCCACCCCCACCATGGATCTCGTCGGCAAACTCGTCGGAAAGGTGCTCGAATCCAAGAGCGGTGAAAGCAGCGGTGGCAGCGGCGGCGGCGGATACGGAGGATATCCCGAGCAGCAGCAGCAGCAGCAGCAACAATACGGCGGATACTCTGCGCCTCCTCCCTCCGGCCCTCCGCCCGGTGCCTCGCAAGACCTGCCGTACCCGTGGATCGCCCGCTGGGACGACCAGAGCGGCCGCTACTTCTACGTCAACGAGCAGACCGGCGAGCGAACCTGGCACCGCCCCGGCGGCGCTCCCCCGCCACAGCAATACGGGGGCGGCCAGCCGTCGTATGGCGAATATGGTCAACAACCGTCGTATGGCCAACCGTCATACGGCCAGCCGGCCTATGGTCAACCCCAACCATCGTATGGCGGCCAGCCCGGGTACGGGTATGAGGGATCTCGTGGCGGAGAGTACTATTCCCAACAGCAGCAGCAGCAGCAGCCCGAGAAGAAGAGTAACCACGGGTTGATGTATGGCGCGGCCGGCGCGGCAGTCGGAGTTGCGGGTGGTGCGCTTTTGATGCACGAGGGCGAGAAGATTCGTATGTGATGTCCCTCTTTTCTTTATCTTGCGTGCCGAGTCATTGTTTGTTATTATCCAGGCAGTTTCAGCTGACCATTTCCCCTCCCCGGGGGCGACAGATGAGAACTGGGATGAGAACAAAGAGAAGTTTGAACAAGGAGTGGAGGATTTCCCGGAGGATGCGGCCCATTGGACCGGTGAAAAAGTAAGCAAGCAAATACCCTCCCTAAGTGATGATCGCTGCGTGAGGGAGCGTGAGTACAGTATCAGTCCGTTCTAACCCGTCTCGTTATCTAGGTCGGTGAAGTCGAGCAGATCCCCGATCGGATCGAAGATGGCTGGGACCGCGCCGAGGACCGCGTCGAGGATGGTTGGGATAATGCGGTGGACAATGTGGAGGACTTCCCTGAGAATGCGGCGCACTGGACGGGGGAGAAGGTCGGCGAGGTTGAGTCGTTTGGCGACGACCTTGGAGATGCTTACGACGCCGGAGAGGCCGAGGGTAGAGACGACGATTGGTAAATGCGCCTGGGGATCTGATCTGGGTAGAATCTTTGGGCATGGAATTATCAATTGAATAAAGACGGATTTATGCGCTCCTGACTAAGCCCTTCCCCGCACGTGTCCCGGACCTCGGCTGGCGGGGCCATGGGAAGATACGTAGATGTATATCTTGACTGACCCTCTCTCCTGCGTGGGGAATTCAGGTCTGCGCCTTGTATTCAAAAGCACCAGCATCACAATGTCTGCCTCATCATCACCGTCACCTCCGCTCGCCGGAGTACGTGTCGTAGAATTGGCAGGTCTTGCTCCGGGTTTGTCCTCATCTAAATCTGGACTCTCGCTGCCATACATGCAAGCTAATGACCATCCAGGCCCATTTGCAGGTCTTCTGCTGGCCGACTACGGAGCATCGGTGCTGCGCATCGATCGGCCCAATGCCGTGAGTGCTGACCAGTTAACCCGACACAAAACATCGGTCACGCTGGACCTACGCGACCCGGCTTCACACCGCGCTCTGCTGTCCATTCTGGCCACGGCCGACGTTCTCATCGACCCCTACCGCCCGGGAGTCTTGGAACGTCTGGGCCTCTCGCCCTCCGAGGTTCTCCTCAAGCACAATCCCCGTCTAATTGTGGCCCGGATGACGGGGTTCCGGCGCGACGGTAAGTATAAGGACATGGCTGGTCACGACATCAACTATATTGCCGTGTCCGGCGTCCTCTCCATGCTGGGTCGTTCGGGCGAGGCCCCGTACGCTCCGGGGAACATCCTGGGCGATTTCGCCGGTGGAGGCGCCATGTGCTTTTTGGGGATATTGCTGGCTTTGTTGGCACGCTCGGACACGGGACGCGGCCAGGTTGTCGAGGCGAACATGGTAGACGGGTCGGCATATCTGGCTGCGATGCCGCGATTGAACCGCCACACGCCACTATGGAACCAACCTCGCGGCCAGAACATGCTGGACGGAGGGAGTCCGTTCTACGACACCTACGAGACCAAAGATCCGGGCAAGTATTTTGCCGTGGGGGCGTTGGAACCTCAGTTCTACGCGGCGCTTCTGAAGGGCCTCGGGTTCGGCCCCAAAGAGCTGCCGTCGCGTGACGACCGCACCAATTGGCCAGTCCTGCGAGCGGCCTTTGGCCAACGGTTTCGAGAGAAGACCCGCGCAGAGTGGGAGGCCATATTCGACGGCACCGATGCTTGCGCGACGCCGGTATTGGAACAGAGCGAGCTCGAAGAGAGCGGGTACGAGCAACGGTCGGCCGTCCATCTGACTGAGACCCCGGCCTTGCCTATTGCCGCGGACGACGGGGCCTGGTCCGGAGGTGGACTCGCCCCGGGAACCGGCGGACAAGAGACCCTCCAGGCCTGGTTGGGATGGGAGAAAGGAAGACACTATGGGGTTCGCGCGGATGGGGCGCTGGTGCAGGTTGCAGCAGACAGTAAGGCGAAGCTGTGAGGCTGCCTGAGGCCAGTAGCATAGGGCTGCGGTGGTAGGGAGGGGGATCTGCTGGAAAGTTTGGAGAGTAGATGTGTAAATGTAAATATCTTGTTTGTGCCACCATATAAGCCCCGTGCATAATTTGGTCGACATAATCTTGAAATCGAGTCCAGGAGATCCATGGAAAGCGCAATGCACACGGGTGCACGGGATAGCAGGACTTGCTCGATCTTGTTTCGCATGCAGACTGGGCTGCACCGACCGGTGCTTGATGTGAAACATGGTCGTCGTCAGATCCTGTCCGACTCAACTTCTCGGTGCCGAGATAAGCACCGAGTCTTCTCCAGGACGAACCCCTTCCCTCCAGGCGAGTGGTCACACAGGTGGAACGCAGCGATCTCCATCGACCAAACACTGTGCGCGTTAGGGTCACGTCTGAGGTCTTCAGAGTTTAGAAACCCCTCAACGACTCCAAGGCGATCCGTCCGATGGATGCAAGGAGGCATACGGCAGTACACCCTGCACTGAGTGCATACTCAGCACATACATATGATATGCGCGATTTTCTGTGGGAGATGGACGTCCGCTGTCGATCCATTCCCAAGGTGGCGAGGCGGGAATTTGGATATTCAACATCGATTATCTGGGGGATAGCCCAGGGGCTGGAATTGGAATACTGGCGAGACTGATGGCATCAACATTGACATAAGAACTAAATAAACCAACCGACCAGTCATGTGGTTGCCAATCCGGGGAACAGGGAAGATCCTCCTTTTGGGAAAGACCCGAGTCGGGGAATTCCCACCGTGCGGGGTAACTACATAATCATCTCTCAGTGATCAGTATGCAGGTGTACATCCGTACATGACAATGATGTGATTTCCATACGGACCCCGGAGTTGTGATAAGCACTCCTACTCCGTCGAGTTATATATTAAAGGGCTAGATGCACACATTGCTATGTAGTGTGTACACAGTAGGTACTCTGTTCTCGAGGGCCAATCATGACGCCAACTTCTCTTTCAGGAGCACCGTCTCTGATGGCGATAAGATCAACAAAGGCCCGGATTGGGAACTCGATTCACGATCATTGCCACATTCTGGATAGTTACTCAGTTACCCCGGAAAAGGGGCCAGGACCAGGGCACCTCCTGTAATTAGGGCCTCGGACTCCGTAAGATAGTACAGTACCCCGTAGGTTATCTCCCCCTTATCCCCCTTATTATTAAAACAGGAAACCCAATCATCGTCAACGGCATGGACGACTGTTATCATCATGATGTGGCCAGCCTCCCAAGGACCTCGAGGGCCGTGCTACCGAATGGCATGGAAAGCCATGGAAGCGGAACGACGGACGAATCCAGAGTCAGCTGTCACCTCCCCATGAACGTTCACGAGAGCTCTCTCGGGGTGGTGTGGTCAGCAACCGTTGGGAGCTTCCAGGGATCGCGTGATGTCTGCGTTCATCAAATGATTATCGCCGAATGTTGATTATCGACCGGCCTCGTAAAGTCTCTTCCTCTCCAAACTTTCCAGCTCGGAGCGTAACGACATCCGTGCTGGATCGTGGATGTGCCCCGACCTCCTGCCTATCCGAGTAAGAAGGAGGGTGCTCCCAGTATCGACAGTTCATGCTCAGGAAAACCTATGGCTCCCTCCCTGCTACCGCAACAGTCAGACTCCCGCTGAATGGCCCCCATTCCACGCTGTCATAAGGATCAATGTCCATGAGATGATAAGCCCAAAAAATGAGCAAGGCAATAATTTAGATCAATACGGAGTAAGAATGAAACGAAACGAAACGAGATAAAAAATAAAAACATGCTAAAACATCAGAAAAATAAAAAAAAAGTCAAGACGATTCCCTTCTTCGGCAGCAGGCAGGAGAGACACGCAACGCCGGGCTGCAAGGACAAACCTTGCAGGCACACCCCGGGAGGCGGTCAAGCTGCGACTAATGCACCAAGCTGTGTGGCCCTTCACCGCCAACCTCCAGATACCTCGGTGCTCATACATGCCTCTAAGGTCAGGCAGGTACCTTGGGTAACCACCCGTCTCTAGGTAGCCCGCCCGCCTGCCTACATGCATACCGGAGACATACCAGCCACGGGGGTTTCTACCTGGCTACCCTCTACAAGCCCGTCGGTCCAAACTCGAAGCGCCAACCAGGGGGAGGGGCGCTTGAGGGACGGGCATTATTGATTGATGGTTTCCCGGACGCTTCATAACTCCATAACATCATATGTTATCTCTCCTCCCCCTCATTTCCCTGCCTCCGTCCACTATCTGGCTGCCTTTGACATACGATCATCATTCATCAATCACCCCCGAAACGACGAGAGGGAAAATCCCCGCAGTCTCTCTGCCGCGCGATAACGGATTGAATGTTGATCACGCAAGCTGTGCCACACAAAGCCGTTGTTGAGTTGTTTGCCTCTCATGGAGTTTCCCTGGGACTGGCGGGACTTGAACCACGAGGATGTAAACTCTACCAGGCGTTCGGCCGCCCAAACGGACGGTCTCAAAATATGGACCAGAACCCCAGCAGAAATTGGCTTTGGACTATTCATCTGATCCCTCCTGATAAGAGATAGGATTGAGGACCGAGTCAGATAACCAGGTAGTAGTCCGAATACGGACGACGTGACTGCGCCGTCCAAAGTAGAGGATCACCAACGGCGCTTGCTACGGGCTGATAATGATAATCGACCAATCTGTAACATCCTAAGTGTACACATAATAAAACCATCGTCATCGTCGTCTCAAAATTAATCTGCGACCACCTCATCTTCCCCATACCCCCTAATCCGGAATGATCATCCTGGCTGCCCCGGGAATTATTGTGGTGGTTTTATTGTTATTTTTATTTTGGCTTTTATTTTTATTCTCAAATTTCCCCAACGAATGGTGCAATTATTGGCCACGACACCTCCAACTGGGTGCTGGCGTCATGTAGCTTGGAAATAGTACCAACTCGGCACCCCCTGATTGGCCTCTCGGCTCTTAGTGCCAGCGCACTCAGCCGGAAGGGGAGTAGCGCTAACCGCCACCCAATGCTCCGCCCTCGACCGAGGGGACTAGACCCGATGAAAGTTGAAAATGGAAGCATGCATCAGCGTCCGTTTCCCCCAATCCCATCCTCATCAGTCATCACCTGTCCGGCTGCCTAGGTGGGGTCCGTCAGGATGAATTCGGTCTAGTCCCTTCTTGAGAAGGGACGCCCGGCGGTTGATCCTCGACGGGGGTTCTCAGCATTGTGCAAGTGGTGCATTACGGTGTTAAAATGTTATGCTCGCTGGAGTGACGAAGGTGCTTTCCCGCCGAGACCCTGTCCGGACCTGCAGGAACCTTTCCTTTAGTAGACCCCAGTACATTCCGGGATGCTTGCCTGGGCAGCCAGGCCTCCCTGCCCTATATACTCAAAGCAAAACATGAAAGCATGAAAACCAAAATACCCTCTACTGAGAATGTCTATTACTCCATATAGCGTGCCTAGTACCCGGTAAGTCGTGATGATCAATGTCGATTCCTGTCTCCGAAAAGTTAAACTATGTCCCAACTATAATCTTAGGAGGAA